ATTCAACTTTTCTTTTAAACTTTGCTACTCTCAATTCTCTTCCAATAGATATACATATAATAGGAACAGAGAAAAAAAAGAATAAAAAAAATAGATTAAGAAAAAAGAAGCTCCTTTTTACCATCTTAATCTCGTATAAGGAATAGGAAAAGAAAAGTTCCAAATTTAATGTCGAAATGGATAACTTTTCCTTCACCTTGTTAATAGACATAATTCTGGATTTACCATGGAAAATTTGATTCTCAAAGTCTATTGTCTCTCTCTCTCTCTCTCTCTCTCTCTCTCTCTCTCTCTCTATTCACATTATATTGAATTCGTTTAGTGTTCAAAGTTTGTTTTTCTCATTATTATTATTTCATGATTATGATCATTGAAATCTTATTAACTATTGCAAAGTCATCAACCATTGTGACATAATTCACTATTAAGGTTTCAATTGGGTTGAGGAATAAAAAATTGTAATTAGAAAATGATATTATCAATGATCATGAAAGTTTCGAGCTATATATTAATGGATAACGATATTAATTGTTAATCCCTTTGATTTTGTCTTTTGTCATTTAATTTTCATTCAAATTGATTGAATCTTTTACTTTCACCAGTCTCTCTCCAAGTTAAGGTTCAAAATCTCATTTACTCTGAATTATTATCTCATTTTTTTTCCTCATCATATCTCATCAGTTTTCATAATATTACACAATTTATATTTTCCTTTCACATAATGATATTAATAATGATAATAATAATACTTCATCATGTTTGTCAGAATTTACAATTTTTCTCATTCTTTCATTTCTCTTATACAGTATTCATCAATTCAGTTCAAATCTATCATGTAATTTCATGAGTCAATGAGGGTATGAATACAAAATGATATTTATATATAAAAGTTTATCATTGAATTTGAATAATAATCTCTGATTTTTTTTCAGGATGATTATGAGTGAAAAATTTTCATCGTCATAAAGTAAAAAATTGAACCAATTCAGTAAAAATGAGCTCCGATGTCTCATAGATATCATGATAGATTGAGGATCAATTACTTTTATCGTGATAAGTTTTCAAGTATTCAGCTAAAGATAATAATTGCTACACAGAGAAAAATATTATCTAAATAATGTGTTGATAACTTTTTTTGTTTACATTCATTTACGATAATAGAAAAAGAGTTACAGATAATAATTATTGCTCTAATTATTCATCATGATTCAGTTAATATGGATTGTATAATTTTCAGTAATGACTGTTATTAATACACTCGCAAGTTAAATTGGGCGAAAAGGTAAAAATATATTATATAATGGTAATTGATAATCTTCATTATCTTTACTGTCCATTGCTATAAAGTTACTTTGTGCCAAGTGACCATTACACTTACAGGTTCTTGGTACTGGTCATTTGGCTGAAATATTATTCATCTCTTTACAGGGAGTGAAAATGGTTCAATTACAATTTATATATATATAAATTAGTTTGATTACTTTGATCATTGATTCATATCACATTCAATCAACGTTCCGCTCATCATGACCATGGGAAATCAGTCATATTATCACTTTTAACATCATTGGTTAATCATGATGAGATAATTGTTAACCTGAAAAAAAAGTTCAACCGTTGAAACTTAAACTTATTGATAAAAGTGAAAGGGAAATTCATCCATGGTTATCGATTCAGTTTCAATGGATTCTGGTGATAATAATCAATGGAAAGAGACATTACCTGTAATGTTCATTATCATTATCTCTTCCTCTTTAATCTTCTCACTCTTATTATCACTCCCTGAAGATGTAGATTGAGTTAAGATAAAAGGCCTGAGAGAACGAAGAAGAAACAAAAAACTAAAGATAAAACAACTTTTCTTACAGCTTATTTTTGTATCTCTTCGATAATTGTAATACATCGTGATAAGTAAAAAAAGTATCCAATTAATTTCCATCCAGTTCATGATGGAGTTGCTGAGTACGATGATAATAATAACAGAATTGATTAAGTGATGATGATACGAATTATTTTCATTATTATTATTCTAAAGTGAGTTATCAAAATGAGCTCTTTTGTTGCTCGAAATTCAATTGATAGTTTTAGTTTCAATCGATATTCATGATGATCATTGTCATGTTTTGAATACTTTATTCTGTCTTTTTAACCACACAGTTCATGATTGTTAAACATTTCTCTTCCTGAATAATCATGATAAAAAATTAACTTAATCTTGGATCAACTTTATCTCTCTCTCTCTCTCAACTAAATCACTTTGTTAGATTTTGTTTTACCTTTTCTTCCCATGGGAAGACCCTCGATAAGTACAATTCATTGTTACCATGAGCTTTTTTGTAGTTCCCTTTGTATTCAGTTGTTTATCGTTGATGTTCATTCATGAGATGAAATAATAGAAACAACCTGATTGATGATAGTGATTTGAAAACTTTGAAACTTTTGTGATACAAAATAATTAGGTTACAATTTTGCTTTATCCCTTTCACCTGAAATAATGCAACCACTTTATTTCAAATGATTACTTTGATTAGCTTTTCATGATCAACATTGAATACTAATGATGATTAAACTAATCTGATGCAGAGAAGAGTCTTGAAAATAGACTAATAGATAAATTTTCATCAAATTAAGATGTTAACCTTCAATACCACCGTTGCAATCATCACCTCATCCTCATCTTTTTGTCTCCTCTTGTGGCAAATCTTGTATTGTTATTTTACTCTGTTTATTTCTTGAGTATTAATATTGCTCACGAGTAGACCTTATATCCAATTATCAGAGTTGAATGTAATTGTCATCTTTCAACTCTCTCTCTCTCTCTCATCATGTTAGGGAAGTGAGAGCTTAAGATTATCAGATTTTATCTTCTTGCAATCATTTATCAGATTAAGATACAACAACAACATCAAGGTTAGAAAGACATCATTCCAATATCATCTATTAGCGAAAAACAAATCAAACTTGTTCAGTGATGAACAATTTGTTTTGTCCTTCATGTTTCCATGAGAAGACAAAACAAAAATGAAATTCAATTATCACCCAGACATGACACAAATAGATGATGAAATTTCTCCCTGGTTACTGACTTAAATCTGAGAGAGATGGTTGTTATATTTTTTGTTAGAACCAGTTAAATGTGATAGTAAACTTATGAAAATCGCCGTGAAACTGTTGAATATCAGAATGAACTTTCTTTCTTTTCTTGGTACATTGTTTGCGAATTAAATTATCGAGAAATTTCATATTTTGTAGTAAGATTTGATTCTCTTAATATTGTGTCAAGATAAAGGGATTGCCCTTCGAGCAAAAGTGAGAAATAAAGTATCGCCTCATAAACGAGATTACCCAGAAAGTACAGTTAACTTGAACTAAAGTTCGAGTTTCAATTTGTTAGTTAATAGGTTCTTTTTTTGCTTCTACAAGTTATTAGAATGAACATAATCCAAATAGAAGTGAATTTTTATAACATTATCACGAATCGACCAATGGCTATTCAGTTTTCTTCAAATTTCGTATTAAAATTCATTCAATTGTACGAAAAAAAATTCTATTGTTTTTATTACATATAAATAGAAATTAACTTCAACAGTTACAATTTACTAAACAATAATAAAATAAAAAAATTCTTATATTCAATTAATTAGTCGTTGAAAGTTAATGAGTTCAAGTTTACTTTCAATTTCACCAAATACAATTAACGAGTTAATTGTTGGTAAACAAGAGCAGTTTAATAAAGTCAGAATAAGTAATTAAATGCAAAAAATGCGATGCTTTAAATTACAATTAATTGTTGTTCGTATTATAACAATTATACATGAATTAAATTAGGCAAAGTTAATTCATTTTAATCATTAATTTAATAAAAATAACAAGCGGGAAAAAACTTTCTTACGAAAGTTTTTTTAAGGTTGTTTGCCAGACCCGTGGTTTGTTGAAATGGGAATCGTTTTTTAATAGAAAAATTCAAAACTAACTCTAAACTTTCTCACTACTCTCTTTTTCTTTTTCTCTTTCTTTCTCTTTCTTTCTCGTCTCTTTCTCTTTTTCTCTTTCTTTTTCATCTCTTTTTCTTTTTCTTTCTCGTCTCTTTGTCTCTTTTTCATCTCTTTCTCTTCTTTCTATTTCTTTCTCGTCTCTTTCTCTTTTTCTCTTTCTTTATCTTTCTCCTCTCTTTTTCTTCTTTCTCTTTCTTTCTCTTTCTTTCTCTTTCTTTCTCTTTCTTTCTCGTCTCTTTCTCGTCATCTTTCTCTTTATCTCTCTCTTTCTCCTCTTTTTTTCTTTCTCGTCTCTTTGTCTCTTTTTCATCTCTTTCTTTCTCTTTCTTTCTCTTTCTTTCTCTTTCTTTCTCGTCCCTTTCTCTTTTTCTTTTTCTTTCTCCTCTCTTTTTCTTCTTTCTCTTTCTTTCTCTTTCTTTTTGAAATACGCGCTGTAAAAAAGCTTAACTGCGCATGCGTACACAAAAATCTTTGAGTCAGAATTTCTCATGAACGGCTATTCAGATTTTGTTCGTACTATTTTTCGCTACTGTAGTATTTTCCGCTCTATTTTTTGGTACCTCAACATCTCATAGAATCCTTTTATCTTGAGCTCAATCTTTACCCAAAATTTGAGCTTATCTTATTCAAGTTTGTAGATTAAGGAAACGTGATTATATTGATTGATTTGTATATTAATCATTATAAGGAAAAGCTTCATTGAAAATTGGTAAATTTTCATAGTTAATTTAGATCAATTTAACAAATTGAATTACAAGAAATTAAATTACCAATTAAATGATAACAATTATAAATTAGATCTGAATATTCATCTGTTGAACCTAAAGGTTAATTCAGCAATTGTTGAAGATAACAATTCTAATCAAGTTTGAAATATTACTATTGTAGCAAATGATGAAGATATTAATTGAAACTGTACATTTACAATTGTGTAACAATTAACTAATTATCTGGATCTTCTTTGTACTAATTGTTTATTTTTTTTTCCTTTTAAATTGATCACAGTTCTTTTATCAATAACCATGGGACTCATGTTATTAATGGGAACACTAACTGTTCATATTACCAAATATTTACCTCCCGGAGCTGATTTGTGGATTGAATTAATTGTTACTAGTTTATTTACTCTAATTGTGGTCCTGGTTATTTTAATTATCAGGCAACCAAAACATGATTCAAATTCACGTAATTCAATTCCCTGTGTACCTTTGCTACCGATATGTGCCATTTGGATGGATGTACATTTGATTGTTTGCCTTCCCAGTTCATCTTGGATCGCATTTCTTATATGGTCATTCATAGGTAAGACTATTTGGTCAGTTATTGGATTTTTCGTTAAGAACTTTTTTTTCTTATTCTTTTTTGTCTGGAAAAGTATAAAATGTTCTAATTTGTCTTCGCCTGTTCCATATTGATACTGTTATCGTTTGTCATCATGTTTAATGCCCTGCGGGTTGTTATATGAATTTCTCTCTTTCTCTTTGGAAATTTACTCTTTTTTTTCCTCGCTCATTTCTCTTTTCATGTGGCTGAAACTTTTGCTTTCGAACTTTTTGAATATTTTTTGTTGCTTTTTCTTTCTATTCTCAAGTCAACATATTCAATGAATCTTTTTCTTTACTTATACACTATGGAATAAACAACTTTGTTCCTTTAAAGTTCATCTTTTTTCGTTTTGATTTATTCTTTTTGTTATCTTATCATGTTTATGAACATTTTCTGTCGTCTATTATTAGTTCATATCTGATTTCTTGATGTGTGAATTATTCATCAGAACTTTTTCTTTGCCCCCTTGTCCATAGGAATTACAAATTTCCTCTGATTATGATAAACTTGTGATGTTTCATTCATGAAATTTTCTCTCATTTCTCATGAAAATTGTCACCAATGGACTGATTTCGCTTATTATCTCTCCCAAAATTCCCAAGCTCCCCTACACCTTTTTATCATCACTAAGCTTAATATTACCCTAGGGTTAAGTAACTCAGAAGTGTCACCAAAGGTAAATAAACATAGATATTTCTCTCTCTCTCTTTTCCTCTACTAATACTTTCATAGACTAGTCATTCAATATTACCTGAAAGGTGAGTTAAGGGAATGAAAGATAATGAAGATAACATTTTGTTTTCTTATTAGTCCTCGAGGTGTAACATTTACTCGACGAGATGTTGACGAAAAAAAGAAAGTTCGATAAGTAATAACATCTACTATATAAATCTAGTAGTAGTGAATATAATGATAAGTGTTAAATTGAAAATTTCTCATAGACGAAAGACCAAATAGAACTTTTTTTCCTTCGATAATGATAATCAATTCTCTTTTCAGATTAATTCTGATTGATTTTGTTCCCCTCGAATTTAGAGTAGAACAAACAATAGTTTAGAAGTGATCGACAGAGAGAACGAAAAGTTCTCAAATTGAATTTCATATTTTCTTCTCTCTCTCTCTCTCTCTCTTGTTATCAATTTCCATCGAATCAGCTACCACACCCCTCGAGTGTCAACAACTGTTCAAATCTTATTATCTGATAACAATTGTTATCTAATGTCATCATTTTTCATCATTATAACTTTTGTTCAACTTTTTTTATCGAACGAAAAAAAAAGTTTTATCTTCTCATCAAATCGTCATCATCATTATATTAGTATTATTATTGTTATTATTTTCCATCTTTTTCTGATTCCATATGAACTTTTTTTTCTCTCTCTCTCTCTTCAACTTCCTCAACGATCATGATAATAACAATTCACCATTAATGTGACACATTCTGTTACATTTAATCAAAAAATCATCTACAAGTTTTTCTCCTTCCATTCTCATGTTATCATGTATCTCGGTTATTGTTTTGTGTTCACTTTTCTTTCCAAGTTAATTTCGCATTTCATCAAGTTGATTCATTTTCTCTGAGATTCTGTGTTTATTAAGAATCGTTATTACCTTTTAACAGTCTGATCTTTTTAACGATAAACTGTTAATTAGTTTGAATAGAAAAGTATTTATTTGATAGATTGTGTTGTTGATTTTTTCTTTTCTCTTTCTTTCATCTGAGTAACTTTAACTTGATTTTTACGGTAGATTTTATTGACGGTTAACAATCAAATCAACAATTTGAATTGATTTTCAATCAATTGATCAGAAATTTCATCATCTTTACCAGTGGTCATTTTCTTGAAAGAGTCGGGGAAACAAATTAGGGAAACAAAATCAGCCTCAGGAACTTTTTCATCTTCCTTTTCCTCTTCAAGATAATGATGATAAAACTGTTTACAGAATTGAGACTTAATCATCATCATCATCATCATCAGCACCAGAAAATAAAGACTAATCTTACTTCAATCTTTTCCCTTTAGATCTTGACCTTTCTCATTCTCAACTGTATTTATACACTTTATTGGTCAATGTCAATGTTGACAGAAGATGATGTTCCCTTACAATATTAACCTAGAAACTTTAATTAACAATTTAATGTTCAACATCAGCTAATCTCTTATTTTTTGTTTCTTACCTTTGAGCCAAGATCATCAATACCATTTCCTTTATTCCTTCAGATGTAATTTCATTTTCTAACAAGAAATTATTAATACTTAATGATAATAACTACAATTTTGATGATATTAATCAACGGAAACACTTACTAACAAATACAAACAATTGTTATCTTTCAATGATAATTCAATTGCTCAGTTGTGAAATTTTCCGCCAATTTTGATCTGAACTCATGTGAATGAGTGAAAAGTTAAATCTTTGTCCAGTTTTGTCAATTCAAATTTAGTTCATTGTTTCAACTGAACCGCTATTGATTTAGCAACTGAATTGGACTTTTTATTCAATCCTAAATTCATCACCTTAAGGCTAATATCATGTATTCATTGAAGTATTACCATGTATGTGAGGTGTTCATTCACAGTTCTCTCCATTTTTAGCATCTATTAACTGCAAGAATTTCACCAAAGATAACAATCTTGAGAGAATCTTTCTTCACCTTCAGGTTGGAATTTCCAATCGTATTGAACAGCCAGAATACTACAAATTGAATTGAGTTCATATTGAAATCAGAATTATACTATATTATTGAGCAAGAATAATTCAACAACACCAAGGGTGTGATTATTCAGATGTGTAATTTGCTTGGAGTATTTGTAAAGTATCAACATTCAATATGAAGTATATGAAATATTTTAAAGTTCATAATCTAAATTCTGGTGATGGTTTATATATTTATTTGTTATCAACAATTGCCTAACCGATAAAGACTCAGTATTGATTAAGGTGAGGAAGAAGTGAAAAAAAAAATCAAATTGGGAAAATCAACTGAATTGAAATAGACACGAATAGAATTTCATAATTTCATGACAATCGAGTTATTAAAATTACCATGAAAACGAGAGAGAAAGAGAGAGAGATTCCATGAAAAAAATGACGATAAAATCCCACAGAGACTTATAAGTATCATGATGTATTATTCAGATTTCATCATTATCATCTTAATATTCAGATTCAGTAACCAGAATCTCATGTGAGTTTTTTGTTCACGTTACTATCTGATTCAAATCTGCTCACCTCATTCAGATTCAATCAGGAAATTGGAAATGTAATAATAAAACAATGAGATAAACATTTAACTCCCACCAATTTAATCAATATCAATTTGCTGATATTCTGATTTAACTTTTCTTTTACATCTTACATTTGCTTGGATTTAATTTCCACCAAGATTATCATGAAAATCTGAATAAATCTTATTTCCCTCATGGTTATTGGTAGATTACTTTTTTTTTCCTTTCTCAATATTGTTTAGAGTTGATGATTATGATGATGATTCTTCTGTCCATTACTTTCTGTATCTGAGATTTCAAATGGACAAAGTTACATGGAAATTGTTCAAAACTAAATCAAATTTGGTGGTTTTCATTATTAAATATTCTGTTCACATTTACGATTTGGTTTCTGGCCCCATGAAAATTTCATTATAACATTTTAATGTCACTTTCATCATTCTCATCTTTCAATTCACCTTTTCTTTGTTGATGGTCTAAAGTTATACAAACTTCCCAAACTGTTTATCACATTACATCAAACATTATGATTATCATCAGTTATTATATCACCACCCTGAGCATTATCTTCATGATGATGATCAACATCATGAGGACACAAGCAAAAAAAAAACAATACAAAGTTACAAGCTAAATTGCTAAGAAAAGCATAAGCATCAAGATCAATGGATGAAAAGAAAAAGTTTATCTGGTTATCATTACAGTTTAACCAATAAGTTGATGATAACACGCAAAATAATCATTAAGATTAAGATAGACAAAGATGATTCTGAGCCATCATGAAGACAATCATGAAAAATAGCTTTTCCCAAGCCAAAAGTGTTCAAGTTAAGTAATAAAACAAGGGCAGGAAAAAAAACAGTTACCATTTCAATGGTCAGAATTTTAATACCTTAATCAGGTCAATGGAATGAAAAATAATAACAAACCAGACATTTCATGATGTTCATGATAATTCAGAGCATCTTGTTGGAAGATTCAAACAATGGGACACTTACGGGTGAAAATGGATTTTACTGAATTGGTTGAATGTTTGTGAGATTATGATGAATTCATGATGTGATATTTTTCCCCTGTTGTTAGCTGATTTCATCAACTGTTATATTGATTGAAATTCATGAGTAATTTTTTTTCCTTTCTCCTTCTCTATCATTGTTATTATTGCAAAATTATTCTATCATAATCCTCACGTGATAGGTTATTGTAATCATCATGTTATGATAATAGACTAATGGTCTCATTGCATGACTTGAACTTTGTATTGGATGAAAAATGATTATCATGAAAGTTTCAGAAACTATGGAAACTATGAATTGAATGTTAAAAAAAGTATTCAAATGATAACAGTTGATTATATTATCTTATATGTAAGATCCTCCATATGAAAGGAATAACTAATAACAAGAAACTTTTTTTTTCTTCTCTTTTCTTTTTGAAGGAATTTTCGTTTACATGGGATATAGTGTTTGGCATAGCCATGAATCTGATGAAGATGAAGATGAAGATAATTCACTTGGAATCCATGGGTTAAGCCTTAATGTTGCCATTGATGAGGAAAATGATGAGATAGTCCATTGCCTGGAAGATATTACCGATGGATCATCTGTTTAATATTACAAATCAACAACAATCAAATGGTTAATCATACATATCTATTAATAAAAACTAGAGTTGAAATCGTTGACTATTTGAATGTTAAGCCATAAGGATAACAAATAATAATAATACAAATTGGTAATGACAACAGCAATCGATACAAGGAAACATAAACAATTGATGTAACAATTTTTGTTTCTACAACTTAATGACTGTACATTCATTCATACTAATGGACCAAAATCAATGTTAATTTGTTAATGTAATTTGAAACAATAATAATAACAATCAACAAGCGAATGCCATTGATTTGTTTCATTTTCGCGACACTTTTCGAGTTTGTAACTATTACAAAACTAAATGAGAAAGAAAGTGATACGAACCTTTGGATTAATATTCACCAAAATCAATTTAATCAGTGCCGAAAAGAAAAGCGGATGAAATAAAGATTTTAGGACTCAGATCTCTCTCTCTCTCTCTCTCTCTCTCTCTCTCTCTCTCTCTCTCTCTCTCTCTCTCGAACTAGGAAAAATTTGTTCAGAATGAATTAAATTAATTTGAATTTCGATAGAATAACTTTTTTATGATCAATCGATTAAAGAACCTTCATCTTTGTCCTAAGTACTCATATATCTCATTAATGTAATTTGACATAACCTTCATTTTACCGGTTGATTGAAAAGTTTAACAAGTTTTTAGCTATTGAGGTTTATCTCATTATTGATGAATGAAATTCAATGAAGAGAAAATGTTCTCCTGATGGTAATTAGAATACGGTCCCTTTTTCTTGTTATTGTTTTGAATTTTTGTTGGTTTCACTTTTAGATTGGATTGTTGTTTAATTGTTCAACTCAATTTTCTCTGATTGACTTTTAATTGAAAACTTTAACTCTAGTGAAATGCCTAAAGTTCGTGTTCGTGGTAATCCACCTGAAGGATGGGAATTGATTGAACCAACACTGGAAGAATTGGAAGGTAAAATGAGGGAAGCTGAAAGGGAATCACATGAAGGTAAACGTCGAGTTGAAAGTCTTTGGCCAATATTTAAAATTCACAATCAACGGAATCGATTCCTTTATGATTTATACTATAAGAGAAAAGACATTTCCAAGGAGCTTTATGATTTCTGTGTTAAACAAAAACTGGCTGATCAAGCGTTAATTGCTAAATGGAAAAAGCCTGGTTATGAAAATCTTTGTTGTTTACGTTGTATTCAAGTTAAAGATACAAATTTCGGGACTAATTGTATCTGCCGAGTACCAAAGGATAAATTGGATGAAAGTCGACCAGTTCAGTGTAATAATTGTGGTTGTCGAGGTTGTTCCGGGTAAAGAAATGTCAACCCTGAAACAATGTTTTCTTAAATGAATTTCGTGTCATCTAATTCACTGGTAAACTTTGTGTATAAATTGTATTCTGACTTACAAATTTCACTCATCACCATTAAATTTTTGGCTAAATTAACTATACATTACAGTTTTAATGGTTTTGTTATATTTACAATTAACCATTGATTGTTCAACTGAATAATAGTTTAGTCACACTTCTACCATAAGCATCGATTGTTTCATCGTTTTCTTGGCCATCCAACAAGTCGGTTAAAGCTTTTCCATAATTTTCGATGTCAGTTTTGCTTTTAACTTCTAAATCATCTTTTTGTGATTTACTTTCTTTCAAAATTTCCATAATTTTCTTCTTGGATGAACTTTTCTCAAAGAAGAATCTCTCCCAATCCTGAGGTTCTTTCAATTTTTCCCAATCTTCGGTTTTCTGAAATACGAGAAGAAAAAACATCGAATGATTCATTTGTTCTAATTTATCATGAAATTTTCAGAACTTTCATTCTGAACAAATTGTTTACATACCCATGATTCATAATAAACTGCAGTTAATTGATAAAAAGCATAATCAATATTTTGTTTCCTCAATGGACAAGCTGAGGTTTCGATTGTGACCATATCGGTTTCTGGGTTGTATCTTTTGTCTAATAAACGAATCATTTTATCCCTTGAATGCTCATCAAGCTCTAATCTGGATAATTTGAATTGAACTGTAACAATACGAGCCCTTGGATCTCTGATTGTTGGAGATGCATGACAATAGTCTGAGGTGATGATTTCTACGGGAAAATGTTTCTCAATCTTTTCCTCGGTCTCCAATCCAATCGGCCATTGACTTGGAGAGAAAAATAGAAAGAGAGAGAAAAGCAAATTAGCATCAATGAAATTAGCAGAAGACAAATGGACTGATTGAGAAATCGATTTACCTGCAGAACTTTTTCAAAGCTTGACACTGTTTCTTAATATTAGGTGGTGTCAAATGAAGGAAATTGGGAATCTTCACAAGCTCTGGATTGTTAAATTTTCCCAATCGAGGTTTATTCGCAAGACAACCCATGTAAACAGGTAAGGGAACACTGTTTGGATTAAATGATTTAGCTGTTGGCCAAACAGCATTCCAATCTTGATCAATGGACATTTTCAGATACCTTGGGGCCATGATTGCACTTCGATACATTTCCGCTCGTTTAACACGACCAGTTTGCTTTGGTTTCGGTAAAAATGGCATTCGTTCAAAATCCTCTTCTTCCTCGAATGAAGCCTCACCAGTCGATTCCATTGAACTGACTGAACGAAAACATTTACCAATTGGTCTTAACGAAGGGACAACCATCTTCCCATTTAATCTGGTAAACACTGACATTGTCAATATAAATTTAGAACAGTCTAAAAACAATCAACACAATTAAATCAAAATATAAAATCAATTCAATCCAAAGGTAAAAGTTATCAGCTGATCCTGTAAGAGACAAAAACAAAGAGCTTGAAATTACAATTAAACCACAAAGGTGAGAATTGATTACTTACCTTAAACTGAGAACTTCAATCCTGCAAATACAAAGATGTCATGTAATCAATGATTTGAACCCAAATTGAGCAATTAAATTACCAACAAACAATCAAAACAAATGTTCATTAAGGTTAATCATCAACATGTTTCCATTGAATGGACCGTCTTCTCATCTTCATTTGTTTGATCAACAATTAATTCTATTCTTCCAGGAAATATATTCATTTCTAATTAAAAGAAGATTAATTCATTGATATTCGGTTAATTAATCTAATTAGAAATCTAATTAAATCATTAAAATAAATTTCTTTTCAAAAGATTGACTAATCAACGAATGATAATTAGAATATGGTCCCTTTTTCGCAGAGAAAATTTTTTTTGTTTTGATTTATGTTTACCATTCTAATTGTTTCAATTAACTAATTTAATCAGTTTTAATTGATTAATTTCTATTGAATTGTTATGGGTGAAGAAAATCCTGTTCTAGATTTAGTTAATAAAACTCGACCAACACGTTGGGATAGAAAAATATTATCTTTATACAAAGTTTATCCATCTCCAAATGAGATTCCTGAATTTGTAGCGTAAGTATTGATGATGAAATCATTTTTTCTATTTCATTTTTCTATTAATTTTACTCATTACAATTAATTTATTGGTTTGTTTAATTGTTTGATATGATCTAATGTTCATTGAGATGATATTAGTTATTGTTAAATCTTTGAAATTTTTGGTATTTTTGAGGCTCTTCAATGGAAGAGTCTTCACCTTTGAATATTGTGTTTCTTTTACTATTTAACTGATTGTTCACTAATTGTCTGCATCTTTTTCTTCATCTAGTCGGAGTACAATTACCTTTTATCGAAATAAATTCAGGATTCATTATTCTATTGGAACCATGGTTTTGTTAAGCTTTGGATTCGCTGGTGTAGCTTATATTGGAAACAAACACATGGAAGCCAGAAACAATCTCTTATACAGTGATTACCAAAAGGAAATGATGAAAAAGCATTAATCAAATTAATATAAATCATATTCTTATATACATGTATAATATATTACAATAATAGATTCAATTCCTAGCAGGTTTAATCTATGTTAATCACCAAGATATTCAATCAGATATTCTATCCATTAATCTACAAAAATAATAATGTCTCTATGGAATAGTTGATAATAATAATTACATTATTATTGTTAATATGATTGTACAAAAAATCAATCTTTTAGTCAAATTAGTTTATTTGATTGTAGTTCTATCCTTCAATCAGCTGAATAATTGACCAAAAGTTGATTACGATTGTAAAATTGTACTTAATCTAGAGTTTATCTTAATTTTGTGTCTATTACTAACCAACATTGTACATGAGATGAATTAATCTAAATTGGATTATCACCATTTTAATGGTTAAGTTAATCTGCTAAATTGTGACACGATAAAAATAAAAAAGGTACAGAAATGCCTGATATATAATATAAAACATTTATTATTATTATCATTGGTAATTAACTAACCCAAGAATATGATTTACCTTTAATCAAATCATTTGTTGATCGACTGAGTAAATCAACTTATATTTCCTTTTCTTTGCTTAATTGTATCCAATATGTTTGTGTTACGTGATTAATTGCTGTGGTAATTTCAATCCTTTTCACTTACAACACTTAATAGAAAGTCTTTGAGATCCATTCTCGAAACGTTGAACAAATTTCTTGTTACATTGTCCAGCAATCTCTACATATACTCTCTTGAAACAAGTATGATCACTACCCATTGACCTTAGGAGCTCTTTCACTTCCGAAACTCCGTCATAAGGGCGACCACCGCCACGAAGATCATCAAACACCGGGAAAAATCTGATTCTTGGAGTATAAGAACATACGATTTGACTTCAATAAAGTCCTCAAACATTTGGAAATCTCAGCCGTAACCTTTAGCCTCTTATCGACAAGCTTGAAACGAATGTTCTTGACCTCATCTTTGTGACAACCATTCGAAAAATATAGCATCAAATGAAACGAATCTAAGTGGTAAGAATCGGAATCATTTAGATAAAAGAACACGTTGAAATACATTTTCAAAGAACAGGTAAGAATAAGTGAATCCGACTGACAATAAGTCGCTGATTAAATCAGTATGATTTCCATTTCTTCGAGTGCAGTAAGTGACCTTCCACCTTCGGGTGACTGTTTTAACTATTCACTATTCTATTATATTTCAATTATCAAGTTCCAAAGTTATCAGCGTTCATTTGGTCCGGCAAAAGTTCATCACGATTGATGAAAACACCACAACTTTCAGAATTTATGATCAGTTAATCTGGAAAGGAATAGAGAGTTTCTGGAACTTGAAATTATTATAAGAAAACGATTAATAATCTCATAAGAAAATAAAAGAATTGATTTACGATCAAATTTAATTGTTGATTGCACTTCTCCGGCAAATTTAATTGATTTGTTTTGTTTTTGTTAATTCTAATATTACAATCAATTTTGTGTATATTGAGCAGTGAAGTTGATTAACTTGATAAGATCAAGTGACAATTAGTTGATTATAATCAAATCTTTTTGTTTGTCATTGTGTTGGAAATTCAAGTTACAATTAAAATATGATTTTAGATTGATTAACAATTAAGATTCCAATTTGACTCCAATTTGTTTCCAAATGATAATAATAATAATAATAATAATAATATCTGAAATTAGAATCAATTAACAATCAATATATGATTTTGTTTTTCTTGATGATTTGTTTTGAGTATTCATATCGGGAATTTGGAAATACATTTCTTTTCAGATATCATGAGATATATAAATAGTTAATTACATACAACTATCATTAGTCTAACTATTTAAATTGTTGTTAAATTAATTTCTTGTCCTTTAATCAATAAGCTAAAAGTTAATTCTATTCTAAGTATTAATTTGACAAAATAATTAAGGTTAAAGAGCTTGAAGATGAGGTTGAGAGTGATGAGTCGGGGGTGGACCATGTCCAGGTACATAATAGGGATGAGATCGATGAGTTGATCTTTGTAGATGATGTAAACTTGGTGATCTTAAATTGTCACTTGATTCAAGTCTGGTCATCATTGTGGTCATTGAATGTGTATGATTTAAATGATGATTAGTGGGATTTAAGTGATTTGGTGTATGATTTGTTAATTGATGATGATGATGAGCCAGTAAAGACTCTGGTGGTATTGATGGAGGTGGTGGTGAATTTAATGACTGCAAATGATGAAGTTGTTGTTGTGAATGTTGTTGTTGTTGTTGTGTTTGATGATTAACTTGATTAGATTGAGTTTGTTGAGGAGAAATGTGATTTCCTTGTTGTTGTTGTTGCTCTTGAGCTCGTTGATGATCAGATGATGATGATGGTGAATGTTGTTGCTGTGAATGATTTTGATGATTTTGATGATGTTGACCTGGAGATTGAAGTTGTGAGTGATGTTGTTGGTGTGTTTGTTGCTGTTCCAATGGATGAACATGTCTAAATGAAAGTGGAAAATAATAACAATTATTATTTAGTAACAATTAAGCTGATTCAATTAAATTATATTCGTAATTGTTACTATGCTTACCCATCGAGAGTATTTTCCGGTAAATGTTGATTCTATCAAGAAAACAAAACGATGAAAAAGTGATGATATTAGTTAGTTGAATAAATTTTGTTTCACTATTATAATTTGAATTATAATTAAACAGTGCGAGTAAATGATTCCAGTTGATTCAATTGTTTCTCATTAATCACAACAATAATTAGATTATCATGGTTAAAATGTGATGAGTTTATCTTACAATTAAGGTTCACATGTGATGGAAACAATTGAACCAGAAAAGGAAAACAAAAAGTTAATTTAACACCAATTAAATACTTTCATTTTGATAGTTAATTATTTCTGTGGTTTAATTAACTGTTTTTCTGGCTAATCAATTAATATTTGTGACAGTTACCTGTGATCAATGATGATTACAGGAAGTGCTAATCTTGATTGTGTATTAAAATTATGCATAACCGATTTAATTTTGTAACTTTCAATGTCATCTTGATTAACTTGAGAAGTTAATTAACAGAGATGGATTAACTTTAAATTCAACAGTGAAAGGTATATAATCAATGATCCAATCTGATACACACGAGTGATTAATTTACTTTTCCCATAGATGGATCATTATTTTAATATTATTTTCAATGTGAAACTATTTATATATTGTTATTATTTATTCAGAAATAATTGTTGATTGTTGATTTACTAATTAGGAGGGGAAAGGTGAAATAAAGTCAAATAATCAATTGTAATTGAGACTCACTTGAATCAATGGTGGGCTTCCTGAAGGTTGAGGTTGAGGTTGTGGTTGTTGTGATTGTGATTGTGATAACTGTTGATTAACTTGATTAGTTTGTTGTGGTGAAATGTGATTACCCTGTTGTTGTTGTTGTTGATCTTGAGCTCGTTGATGTTCAGTGGGTGGTGAATGTTGTGAATGATTCTGATGATTACCATGAAGTTGACCTGGGGATTGGAGTTGCTGGTGATGTTGATGCTCTAATGAATGTACATGCCTGAAAGAAAGAAACGATAAATTGTTAATTTTTGCTTCTTTTTCCATCTATTAATTATGTTGATAATCAACAATTAAGTGGTCACTGAATGGATACTAATTGTAGTATAATAATAGAAGATAAATACTAACCCATCGAGAGTATTTTCAGGTAGATGTTGATTCTGTAGATAGAAAATGAAGAATAAGAAGAAAAAACAAAATGAAGATTAAATTGTTATCAAAGTTTAATGACAATTAAGCTTTTGATGGTCAAATAGTGCGAATAATTAGTTAACTATATTGTGTTACTTTTTCTATTCTTTTTGCTATTTCAACTGATTTGATTGTTTTCTCATTTCAAATTAGGTAAATGTAATTAAGAGCTGAATGTGGTGATAAGTTGATCAACTGTTTAGTGTTAAAATTTTCTGAGACAATTAATTAACATTGAGAATATAAAAACTAACTTGTTCTAATGTTTGAATTTGTTTTTGTTTCGATACGATGAAAGATCAAGTTGGTTGCTTATAATGAGCACCGAATCTTCATCTTGACGATTAACTGATTTTCCTAACTGTTTTCGCAATTAACTGCGACAATGTTACATTAACAGAGATGTTTTTTTGTTTGACATAAACGAGTACAAGGGGAATGTGAGGTTGTAGAGGGAGAAAAAGATGCGATCAATGATCCAACCAGTTACACTTGAGTGGTAAATATACTTTTCCCATGTATTAAAATTATTAGCAAATATACACACAAGAGATACTATTATGTGAAGAAATGTATTGTTATTGTGAGAAAATTTATATTATAATTAATACTGTTTGATAATTAGTTATTAAAATAGAGAAACACAGGTTAAGGTTAACCATTAACTGTACTCACTGTAATCAATGAACTTGGCGGTGTTTCTGTTGGTTGAGGGTTAATTGATTGAGGTTGTTGTTGTTGTAGAGAGGCAGGATGACCATGGGAATGTTGTTGTTGTTGTTGTTGTTGTTGGTGGAGTGATTGTTGGTCTAAGGGATGGAGAGTTGTTAGGTGAGATGATGGTGAATAGTTATGATATACTCCATTGTGATGAGGGTGATGGTTAATGAAAGGTATTGGTGACAATAATGGGTCCAGTTCTGTTAGATGGTGAGGGTGGTGTTGTGGTGGTGTTAATGGATGATGAAGAGGATGATGGTGTGGAAGGTGAAGTCCGTTGTTGGGATTATGAGTGTGATGTTGATAAGGATTAACATTGTGATGAGTATGATTAGGATGAGGGTGTGAATGATTGGTGGTTGTTGGATGATGTGTTAGAGAGGGATGATGATGAGGTGATAAATTGTGATGGTTTTGGGATGTTGAATGTTGTTGTAGTTGTTGTTGCTGCTGCTGCTGTTGTTGTTGTTGTTGTTGTTGTTGTTGTTGTTGTTGTTGATGGTGAAGATGGTGTTGATGAGCAGCATGGTGGACATGAAGTGGAGGATGATGAGGATTATGGGAAAAAGATCTGGGCCCGGATTCAGGTGTATAAGTGAAGGTGAAACCTGTTGAATAAATAACACCATCATCACGAACCAGATTAACGTCAATGGTGATTGGATAACGAACCCATTCCCAACCTTCTCGAAACTCTGATACGTGTGGAACTACACATAGAAGTGACTCTTGACATCTAGGGAGAGAAAAAGTATCAAAAAAGAACAGTTAAATTAAATCGAAAGAAAAAAGTTTTCGAAAAAACTAAAAGAACATTTTAGAAGAGAAAATTAAAACTTCTAATCGATTAGTTACTTTTTCAATTTGATTTTTTTTCTATTTGAATTTAATTTACCTGAAAAATGTTTCAGTCTCTACATCAGCGAACCAAACTTTCAAATTTTCGGTGAAATTTTCTCCAGTCAATTCCAACATGGTGACATCAGTATTATTATTATTCCCTCCATTTGCTGTTGCTCCATTTCCATTGAGATTTAAATTGTGAACTATTGGAACAGGACTAACTGGACCACTTCCTAAGCCTCCGGGTAAAATATTCCCATGCGTAAAAGTGTATTCAGCTTTATCGGTGCTAATTATTGTCCATGAAGCACCATCAGTGATCACTTCTTTGTTTGGTTCCTTTGGACAGGGTGTTGCCTGGAATTGGATTATCCTTTCCTGAGATAAACAGAGATACATTCTCTCGGTATCTTTCATGTAAAAGGCACATTTATGTAATTGGGAAACTGGATCATCGGCATCTAATAGAGCATTCTGCTTGTCTACCTTACGAATTACCTGATCAACACCAAGTCAATCAAAGAAATAATTGAGAAAAATCAACAAAAAGGAGAAAGTTAATCATCAAATAGAAACATTAATAAAAGTCTATTTGATATTCAATCAGTGTAAACATTTCACATTTCGGCTAGTTCATTATTAACCCTTTGAGATTTAAAGGTCATTGGAAGGACATTTAAACCTATTTGTTAGTAGCAAATAATATCAAAGTTTAAGTAAACTTATTGTTTGTCAATTTGCTAATGATAAATATCAAATTTACTCTAGAAAATAATCAATGAGCATGTTAATTAATAAAACTCACCAGCCTTGGCAAGGACATTCCAGTTACAGAGCAAACAAGTTTAACTGTTGATCCATAATGAATATAACCATCTCTATATGACTCTTTGGTATCTGGTTCATTTTCATCAACTAATTAAATAGTCAATCATCATAATGATCACAATTAACAATCCAATTTAGCAAAACAAACCAAAGAGAGAAATATAAATAAATTATAATATGGAAAACAAAACATTGTAAAAGTAGAAAATGAAAGCAAAAAAAAACTTAACAATCAAAACACAATTTAAACTAAATTAAGTTAACCCTTTTTTTCCCATCAACAGATAAAAGTAACAATAACAACAATTAACTAATTCCATTACCAGTGATAACCAATCAACTACCAACAATAACTTAGTAATAATATTTTGTTTTCCTCGATCTTGTTGGGTAAATCGAAACTTTTATGGAAACTTTAATGAACTTTTTTTTTGTCTCTTTGATGAACAAAAATAAGACATGATCATGATCAGAATCATTAAATAATCACTCTAATGATTTGATAACTTAATTATTAGCTTTCTAAATTGTTCCCAATTATAATTCTAATATGATATGAAATACTCTATAGAAACATGATATTATTTTCCTATAAAATTGAATACAAGATTCTGATTCTCTCAGGTGATATCCTAATAGATGGCGTTGTTTGGATAACCATTTTATCACAATTAACTTTTAACTATATCATTCGTATAGGGTTTTAACTGAATTAATATTAATCATCGTGATTATAAATGGTGATAAACATGAGAAAGATAAATGATTATGAACAGAGAGAGAGAGAGAGAGAGAAAAGTTATCAAGAATTTACTAAAACAATAGGATTCATGTTATGAATTTTTAATTGTTATTATTCAGCGACACAATTAACAAACTAAATTAACTGATTAATTTGTTAATTTTTATCACTTTAACTTTTTGTTTCTTTTCTTCAAGTTGTTGTAATGTCTTTATGATTTAAACGATAACAGTTTAATTGTTGTGATAGACAATTAATTTTAACTTTAATTGTAAATTATTCAAAATATTAATCATGATAATGATCAGGTTTATGTTTGGTTTTTATTTGGTATTTTGGTTTATAGTTTTTTTAGTATTTAGATGAGATTTGATTGTTTAATTGTTAATTTTTTTGTTTTTTGTTTCTTCTTGATTATTAAGGTGTTGTAATTGAGTTAATTGTTTGAAACTCACCCAAATGAATTGTAAATGCTCCCCATTGAGATGAACTCGCATGAAAATTATTGTTTTCAACATGAAGATAACGAGTTGAGACTGTTTGAGATCGAAGTCGATTGAACAAGGCTACTTTTGTTCCCGATGCTATACACACTGATGATTACGAACAGGATGGAATAGATAATAACAAGAACAACAATTAATCACTAATCATCGAGTATTCGATCAATTAATCAGTCGCTACTTACAATCTGCATTCTTAAGTGATTGTTTCTTCTTGGAGGGTTTGGAAATGACCTTAATCCGTTTGGAATAGAAAACACCAATATCGTCGGCATTTGCATAAAACATTTTCACCGATAACATGAAATGTTTTCGTTTATCTGAATCACTTATATACAGAGTTTTGGCTGCACAAAAGTTCTGGACAATCGGACGATTGGATGGACAATGGTCAATGAGAAAATGGAATGGATCAATATCAAGAATGAAATTGGGAATTGGAAATATTGGAAAATGGAAATGAAAGAATTGAGCTAATTACCTTTCCATTGAAATCTAATTGTTGCATTTCTTGGTCTGAATTACCGATTCCGATGAAGGCACAAATTTGTGTTGATGATTCTGATTGTCCAGCTTGTATCATTTGCTGTTGTCTATGTGACCAACCTTGACCATAGAGGTAAATACATGGAGGTGGACAAAAGAATCGCTTCTCGTTTCCATAAGATTTTTGGGCGACCTTTGCATGTAATATAACTATTTTCATCTCTTTACGCTCACGAATATATTGTCTCATTGTTTCTCTCGTCGATTCTTTTGCTAACTGTGCCTCCCACCGACGAAGTCTTGTGGATTCGTCCATCGATATAATGGACGTTGGCGTTGTTATTGGCGAATGTAACGAAGAGGGTGGACTTGAGGGCGATTGTTGAAGAGACAATGGTTGAGTTAAATGTTGTGGAGGTGGGGGTGGTAGTGGACCTGGTGTACCATTGTGCTGATGATGGTGAAGATGATTAGCACTATTTGATGAGGATGAGGATGAAGATGGAGAAGATGACGAGTGATTTGGTATCATTAAAATTAAACTTGCAATTTGCAATTAAACTTTGCAAATTAATGGAAACAATCAATTTTAAATCCAAAATATGAACACAAGACACAGAAACGAGATCAAAACATTGGATTGTATCATATGATGATACACTTAAAGATAAACAAAAGGCTCTATTGGTTATTAGTAAATATTATCAAATGAAATCATTAAGCTTTTTTTCACACTGATGATGAGGGAGGATGATGGCTACGAGTACGAGAATGATTATGATGATGGAAAAACATTAAAGCCGAAGGAGAAGAAGAACTAAAAAAATAATATCTTCTCATGTCTTCAAACATTATCTTCCTTCTAATCTTTTCTCCCTCCTTCTCTCTCTTTCTCTTGCTCAATCTCCCTCGTTATGTCTGCTCTTTCATGTTTACTATCTCTCTCTCTCTCTCTCTCTCTCTCTCTCTAATTCATTCATTCTTCTTCTCTGTTTTCACCCCTCTTATTATTTGCTCCCTATCTTCCGATCATCCCATCCACCTCCGTTTTCATCCTCATCTTCATCTTCTCCATCATTGTTATTACATCTTCTTTCATCAAGTCTTATTAAATTCTTGTTTCGTATAAAACGAAAGGAGTAGCAACGAACGACAAGACAAAGATGATAAAAAGGGGACAGTAGATGAAGATAGGGTTTTGTTTATGTCCACTACTTGGTGATGAAAAAAAGTGGGAAGGAGTTTCCATGAAGTAGGTGGATGAATTGTAGAGCTGAAAAAAAGTTTACTGAATGAGAGAATCAACAAAAGAAGGAGATGAATGGGGGATAATTTTTTTTTCTTTTTTTCAGCCAATCAGAAAAGAGAATTGAGCAAGTTTTCAGAATCTGATACACAGGTAAACACCATGTAAGTTGAAACTCAGTAGAAAAAACTTCACCAACAATGATACAAGAGAATAGAATCTACTATTTCGACTCTCTCTCTCTCTCTCTCTTCTGTCTCTTTTTCTTCCTCTTTCTACCTGATGATGATGATGAAGACAAAAGAGCTTACCTGTTATACGCTTGAAGGTGAAGCGTTTTTACCTTGGTCCCGTGGGAAAGTACAGAGTGAGTAGATACGAAAAGGGTATTTCAAGTCTCTCTTTCTCTTCTTTCTTTTTTTTACTTTCTTTTATCATCCACTCTCCCCCAATTATCCCCACTCTACCCCTCGGCTCTCTCTCTCTCTCTCTCTCTTCCACCCTCCTCCCACTTTCTTCATTGCAGCTACTGTATTTCGCTTCAGAATCACTTCTGAACGAAAGAAAAAGAAACTGAATTAAAATCATCACAAGATTCAGAAAATAGCCTCAGGGTAAAATATTATATTTATATTATTATGAGAACAGAAGTAAAAGAGGAAGACAGAAGATGAAGACGATGATGATAATGATGCTGATGATTATGATGATAGTGATTAAATACAATTTGTAGTCATGTAAATAATTTACTTACCTGTCAGTAAATTGTTTGGCCTATTCAGGTTGATTGTTGATTGTTGAACAAGACACAATGTTGATAATTATTTAATCACGAATTTTAAACTTTTCTCTTATTATCATTATTTAGAAAATTTTCTCCCCCCCTTCTTTAAATTGTAATAATATCTTTATAATAATAATAATAATCGCTTATTATATAATATTATCAATAAGCATCATTATCACAAGGTTGATTACCAATCAAATTTGAATACAATTTAAATCAATGACCACCGACGATGGATAAATAATCAAACTATTCATTGATATTTCTTGAGAGTATCATTGATATTAAATTGGTTATCTAATGATAATAATCATCCAAAGATGATCAATGATTAAATCAATATGATAAACACCTTGATAACAATAGTCCAGTTAATGGTCAAGTAAATGAGATAATATCATATCTTGTAAAAGGTAAAAGGTGAAAAAGAATAAATTTTTTTTCGATTTTCCTAAACATTGGAATTCAATGAATGTAAGTGTTCATCAATACCTGGTGGTCTCAATGAAGATGAAGATGAAGATGAAGATGATGATGATGATGATAGGTAAGATTATCTCTAATCTTGATGATCATCTTTAACCTTGATATCGGCAATGATTTAGGTCTTTGATTGTGATTAAATGATAACAATCAGTTATCCACAACACTCAGTGATTAGCAGAGATAACAATCAAATCTTAATCTTGATCATCATTCGTAGTAGTAGTGATTAACTTGAACCTTATTGTGATTTAATTAAATTGTGTTTGTGTGTGTATTTAGTTGATTGTATTGCATTTCTCTCAATGATTAACTTATATATCTTTTTTTTTAATTGTTGTTATTGTTTCAATTTTAAAACAATGTCAAGTTAATTGAACTAATTTAGTTTATTTCTCTCAAGTATCAATTGCTTTATTTAAATAGTTACTTGATATTTACTACTATTAATAATTTAATTGATTTACTTATATTAACAATCTATTGACTTTAAATAATTTATTTAACAATTTAGAAATCAATTGAGTCAATAAGAATATCCAATTGTTTAACTTATATTAAATTGTTTTTCAAGTTGTAATACAATTGTTACAACAATTAGGGAATATCAATTTACCTTAACTAATATCTTTTTGTTCAAGTTGATCATTTAATTGATTAATATCACGATATTCTGATTCCGTGATTATTTGATTGAATTACAAGTTAATTGTAAATGGTTAAATTAATTATACAACTTCAAGATTATCATAAGAAAAGCTGAAATTAGTTGTTAATTGTTGAACAATCAACTAAATAGTTCAATTAGAACGGGCAAGTTTTCATATAATCGATTTGGAAATGAATTTTCCAGGACAATCAGCTGGTGATGTTCAGGATTCTGATGAATAGGATTTATAGAGTTGATGGGTGGGTCATCATGTAATTCAATGTCAATAACAATGAAGAGAGAGAGAGAGAGAGAGAGAGAGAGAAAAGTTCACAGTTATTTCCATAAAAAGTTGAAATTCTTTCCCAGAATTTTTGTTGATTCCTATTCACATGTTCAATTGATGGAAATATTTTGAATAGAGACAATTTTCTGATTACTATTTTCAATTCGTAATTGTTACAATTACTATTCAATACATCACATCTATCAAAGAGCATTAATGACAAATACTGAATCAAATTCAATTGTAACTCAATTATGTTACTGACCCGAAATGATAACAAAGTGATTTGTCTGCATTCATTTTACTTTATTCATTTTTTTATTCATTCTTATTACTATCCAATCATCTTGATGATGATAATAAGATGACGAGAATCTAAATTCAGACATTATATAAGTGACTTGGCTCTCACCATCATGTTCATCATCGTCATCATTGCCATATCTCCATCCTCATCCTCATCCTGATCAACATCATTATCATCATGTGTTGGCTACTGTTTATTGTTGTTGTTGTTAAAAGGACTCGAAATTGTGGGAAAACAATTTGTTTTTTTTTCTTTTCAAAAAAAAATAAATTTTCTTCATATTTTACATTTTGTTCAGAGTTGATTCAGGAATGAAATGAAGCTGCATCAATGGATGAGGAGGTGGTGGTGATGATGATGATGATGATGATTCTGGAGGAGGAAGAGAGATGATGAAAGAAAGAAAGTTGAAACTACCCTTTTTTGCTCAACTATTTTACTATTACTACTATTCTGTACTTTCCCACGGGAGAGAAGTAGCTACGCTTTTTCACCTTCAAGCTTCAGGTAACTTTCTGTCTTCATCGTTATCATCATCTCCAGGCTAAAAGTGAGAGAGAGAGAGGAGAGAGAGAGAGAGAGAGAGAGAGAGAGAGGGAGAGACACTCACATCTCAGAATCTTGTTTGAAGTTTTGTTTATCTTCTGTTTGATTCATCATGATACTTTAACTGTATCAGCTTTTAATTCAAATTTGAAACTTTTGATTGATTTATCAATGAACTTTTTCACTTTGTCTTCTCAGTTTCTAACTTTACACTCCCTCTGATGCTAATAAATGATAATCTCACCGCATCTTTGGAAACTCTTTCCATCCCTTTACTTTCATTTTGTCTTCGTTCTGATTATTGTCTTAATATTAAAACGATCTTTTTTCTTGGGAATTAACGAGAAGCAGGAAAAATGAAACAAGATGATACTCTCTAATGAGAATGGTGATGAGGATGGAGATGAAGATGAAGATGAGAAAGAGGAAAAGAAGATAATTTTTGTTGCAAATCCTGAGAAGATGTTTCTTCCATCATCATCATCTTCTCTGAAGATTTTGTTCATCTTCTATTGTAAAAAAGAAACTTTTTCAACTTGTATTTCATTTCCGTCATCATCATACTTACTTTTCACCTTCTCCATCCTCATCCTCATCCTCATCCTCATCTTCCCAAGGGCTTTTCCCTCTCCCTCTTTTCCATGAAAATTTCGATAAATAATATTACCAACACATTAATTTTGTACCAATGTTTTCATCTCAGTCTATTTAAGTATCAAATTAACTCTAAACCATCAATCTTAACAAGTTTAATTGTGATGATTGGGCCAATCATTATTACGCTTCGGTGGTCTCTTTTTAATCATCCTCATCCTTATCATTATTATCAACAAATTGTTGATAGTTATGTTTATCAGCTTAAATTCAAGTGAATCATTATTATTCTGATTCATTCATTCATGTTCATGATTAATCATCATGATGCACTTTCATTTATTGAACAATTTTACTCAAATCATTTTATATTTACACTAATCAACACACACAATCAATTTGAGGGAAAAAAAAGTTATTACAATTCAATTACATTCAAATAATAATAATAACTGTTACCGGAAATTGTCAATCAAATCTAAATCTCTGTTAATCACTCAATTTGTTAATCTTCAAATATAAAAAGTAATTTAAAATCCAAATCTAATCAGATTAACAGTTATCCTTGATTAAACATCATCAACAATTGATAAACAAATATTTCAATCAAGACAAGATTAATTATTAAATCGTCATGATGATTATAATGTTGACAGATTAAATTGAAAATCAATCAATCTCAAAGGAAATTAATTTGATTATTGTACCAATTAAATTGTCATAATTAGCTTATAATAATAAATCTTGACCAATTAACTTTTTTACTTTGACATTTAAAACAATCAACAAGCTCAATATCAACTGTATGGAAAACAATTAAATAATTGATCACAATCACAATCAAAATTAAACATTATCATTAGTATAAAATAAATATTGTTAAATTATTGTATTTCTGATGATTAACTTTTGATTGTTATCATTTAACTTTTCGGGTCTGATTATTAATCATTGCAATTACTGTTGTTGTTGTTGTTGTTTTTTGTTCACATCATTAAAAATAAAGTTTATCTATTGTTGATAATCAATTGATTCAATTATTTATCAATAATAATAATCATGAAAACAATATATAAATAATTAAAGAGAAAAACTTTTTAATCTAATCATAGTTACATTGATTAATCAGAGACAATTAGTAATAAAAAAAAATGATTTCATGATAATTGCCTGAGGGGGAGACTTTTAATATTAACTCATTAATTAAATATATATATTAATATAATAATCGTAATCATGATTTAATCATAATCATGGATCCGTTGAAAATGTTTATAGTCTAGCAATTAAGATTTGACATTGTTAAACCACAACAATTTAGCCTAAGGGATAACCTTAAATCAGTTTAATCATTATAATATAATCATTGGTTATTAGTAACTCAATTTTTCATTCATGAATTCATTAAAAGTTAATTCAAAAGTTTACCAACAACTTTGTTAGTTTAATCACAATTAATAGTACAGTCGAGTAGGAATAATTTATTTATATTGTATACTATGATTGTCCCTGCTAATTGTTGTGATTTATGAGGTAGTCTAAATGATTTACCAGATAATTAGAAGCACTATTTGCACAATTAGATTTGATTGTTGTGCCTGTGGACTTTGTAATTGTTTTCAAGTTTCGTTACAATTGAAATAAAGGTTAACCTTGATATTGAGTTTCGAGGGGTTTTTATTAATACAAAGGTGTTAAGGTGTTGAACATGATGATGATTCGTGTTTAACTAATGGTTTAAATTATTGATGATAATCAAGTTTATCATCTAGTTAATGATAAGATACTTTTCTTTCAAGGGGTCACAGACAATTGAACTGAATCAATGGTGTAATCAACAATTTCCATGATTTTTGTGAAACTTTTTTTTTCTTCCTCTGCTTCACCTTCAATTTTTTTCCTTCACCTCATATTCTTACCCACCTCATCATCCACCCTCAGTGTTATGGTTGAAATAGTTTATCATCATCATCATCATCTTATCACTATCAAAGGTAAGTGATTATGATGATATTGAGTTAGTCAGGTAAACCACAAACATCCTTGTTCAAACTTATTCATCCTTAGGAATCAAATCATCGAGTCTTTTTTTATCATCACCATTTTCTAATCATAATGATTCTCGTTTCAATATAATCAGGCTCATTGTCCACAATCATGTTGACCTTATTTTTTACTTTTCTTTCAATCAAATCGATTGTCATAATTTTGTAATCCAAATTTATTATTGAAAAGGTGTGATGGTTAATTGTTATTCGCCTGATTAATGGTAACAATTTAGTGATTGTTTTACTATGAGGTTTGTTTTTCTCATGTTCTTTTGTATCAATAGAGGGCGTCAATCACTTTGATCAATCGAACCTCGAATTTGAGTTCGAGTAAGACAAAGTTCAAGTTGCAAGTGCAATTTTTGCAAGTTGATATTATAATAGATGTAAAATATAATCAATTGTGGTGTTACCTTTCAATCAACTCTTTATTAATCACAATAATCATCAATAACAGTAATTATTTAACTATTTTTTTTGTACAAACAACAATAAAAAAAGGTCAATCAATTAAAGTAATAACAAAAAAAAAGTTACTATAAAATCAGAACATGAATCGAGAAATTTATAATATTAAATAAAATGATATCAGTGAAAAAAAGCTAAATTGTTCAGACAGTAAATTCAATTATGATTTATCCTTGATTGAGTTTCATCAGATCTTTTTTTTCAAGATGATGATAAAGAAGATAAAATATGAAGATCATCGTCAATACAATAGACAGTCTTTCAGCATTGAAACTCACCAAGCCAGTTTAACATCATCCCCAAAATCAACAAAAGTAGTAGTTGTGATACTTTGGCACAGGTAAGATGAAGATGAAGATGAAGATGAAGATGAAGATGAAGATGAAGATGATGATGATGAAAAAAAAGATAAGAATGAAAGGTTGAGTAGACCTAGTTTCTCTCTCTCTCTCTCTTTCTCTCTCTCTCTCTCTCTCTCTCTCTTTCTCTCTCTCTCTCTTGTCATCTTCATCGTCTCTCCTTTTTTGTTGCTGTTGGCTGATTACAATGAAAGGGTGTTGATTAAATTTGATTAAAGTTAATTGAGGTTGAGTCCAACAAAAAAAAATCGTTGACGGAGGTCTTAAGGCCACCTTCAAAGTTTATCATCAGCGTCATCATCAATTGTCTGCTATCATCCAATAGTATCATCACTATCATCTTTATCATCTTTCCGCATCTATTATTAAAGATTATCTTCTTCCTAATCATCATTTAATTCAATAACAACAATTTCATGATTATTGTTATTATTTAACTTAATCTAACGGTAGTCAAGTTAATCTTTATCCTACTTTTTTGTTAATCTTTTTTCATGGATTAAATTTACTTAATAATTATCCAGATGATTAACTTGATTTAATGTTATATTACATCAACTGTTAGTTTCAATTGTTCACAATTCAATCATGAAGATGATATAGTTACAATCATCGACTATGATTGTCTCAACTATAGATTGAAATTATATAAAACACTGATTAAGATTATCATCTAAATTATGATTGATTCATTAACTTGGAAAGATAATCAACTTGTTTTTTATTTATTTATTTAACTTTCTACCAATCGATTGATTATAATCAATTTTAATTGTTACTATTTTGCTCGTATTTGCAAAAAAAAGGGTTAAATTGTGAACACGATCAACAGAAAACAATTTAAAATAATCATTAAGCTTTAAATCATTAGATTTAACCATTAACTGGATGAAAGAAAACAAAAGTTTCATCATCATTGATTGTTAATCAAATGACGATCATGGTAATGATTTAAGTTAATTTACTGATGATAATTAGGAAGGAAAAAAGTTCCATTGATGAGATTGAATTTAAATGATACCTTTTAGCATCTTCTTTCATTTTCTCTTACTTTTACCATTCATATTCGTTTCCATGGAAACATTTTATCATCATCATCATCTTCATCTTCATCTTCATCTGCTTCGACTCGAACAAGTCCAATTCATCGTCAATACATATTATCATTTCTCTGTCACTTTCTCCTATCACCAATTTCCATTAACCATCATAGTATCTCTCTCATTTATTAATAGAAATCATTTTATCCACTCCAAGCCCTTTGGTCAATCTAAATTTCCACCTCAATCCAATGAGTTCAACCTTTGGCCTGAATCCTTTTTACCCTTTAACCTTTCACATAACACTGATCATCTCCTCCTTCACCTCTCTTACCTCCTCCCATTGTCAAGTTTAATTATCCACCTTCATCCTCCCATTTAATGTTAATCCAAACACTTTAGTGGTTAATCATGATTCAAATCAACATTTAACTGATCACTAACCTGTTTTTCCGTTACAATTAATATTAATTATCATCATTATTATTATCTCTCAATTGAATCAACCAATTATAACCATCAAATGTATCACTTTGTATTAAATTGTGCTTTAATGTAAACAATTAAAACTATATAATTGTCAATCTTTAATCTTCATCAATCTTTCATCAATCCCAAATCTAAATGTTTACTTAATCAATCTGACAATTAGATTAACATCAACAACAATTACAAATGCAAAATTTAAATGTCATTATAAATAAATACCGTTGAAACTTGTATGTTGGATTCAAAGTGAACAATTAAAACAATGTATCTTTTTAAATTGTGAATGAATAATCAAACAATCAACTCTCAAATTGTTCACAGCAATTAAATCAACAATTTGAGTTTAATTTCCTTTATGATTTTTCTTATGTGTTGTTGTTGCGCATTCAATTGATCAGCTGATTGTCAAGCTTCACAACGAGAGGTTAGTTAATTGTTATTAACTAAAAACATCATCTTAATCATATCAACCACTTAAACGTAAGTAGTTTACCTATTTTCTTAATCATTATGTTCTTAAAAATTGTTTAATTAAATTAATTACTTCAATCTGATTATCTCAATATTTATATAACACTAATTGTTTTGATTTAATTATATCAAGTTGAAAACGTGAGGTTAATTTGATTGTTAATCTGATCACAATCTAACCCCATCACCATCATCTAGTTTAATCACTTAAATTATTACAATTAGAAACACTTAATGTTAACAATTAAATTAACAAATCATATCTGAGAAAAAAAAAGTTTCTGATACAATTTAAATAATAGTAAATCTTTTAATACTTTAATAGTTCATTTAAATTGTAACAATTATATTTGATACAGACAGCAACAAGAGGGTTCACATGGTAAACAATCAAACAATTAAGTTGGGAACAATTAACTAATTACATTAAATCAATGTTTCCATTACAAAGTCCGATAAATCAAATGAAAAGTTTATTAACTTTATCATAAGTTTGAAATTCATTCATCAATTCAGAATGTGAATGATGTTTATGAGTAAATGACTTGATGGTAAATAGATTCCAAGTATCATGAAAATGATTACAATTATTGTCACCAAAAACCTTGAATTTGTTAATCATCAGAATGAAAAAGGTAAACGATTTACCTTGAAAATGGCGACAAAAGAAAGGGAAAGTTTCAGATTCAGTTTTTTTTCCTACTCCATTATTTGAATTATATTTGGAATCTGAACCCAACTGAACTTAATATAATATAATCATCAGAATAATATGTTGATGATGATGAAAAGGAAAAAGATTCACTGTCTTCTTCTCAAGGTGATGATGATTTCGGAAGAGAAACAATGTTATTGGAAGTGAGAACTTGCTGAATGCGAGAAAAAACTTGGTAAGAAAATTTCTGTTCTCTTGCCTTTATTCACATGAAAATAGAGTGAAAATGTTCTGAACAGTGGATTTGATGATGATGATCATCATCATCATCATGAAGATGATGTAAAAATAACTAGACTGGACCATGATGATGATGATGATGAGAAGGTGTTAAATTCCCTTAAAAATATTCCGATGTGTATTACCCATAAATGAGAAAAGTGAAAACAAAGTCAAGGTCAGAATTCACACTTTCGATTCTGTATTCATCATATTCTAACGGTAAATTACATTAACCCAATTCCCTATCAAGTTTACCACCATCATAATTCATCAATCCCAAAGATAATAATCAATATTATCATGAAGAAGAAAAAAAAGGTTACAAATGAGACGGAACAATTTTCAAGACAAAAACTAGACAAAAGTGATCGTACATTATATTGTTGGTGATGATGAGGATGATGGAGGTACTGGAGCTCTTTGGGTAGGAGGAAGAGGATGAAGAGAGGAGGAAGATAAGTCTATGTAATTTTGTTGTTGTTAGTATATTAAATGGGAATGATAAGTAATAATATATATAACATATGGATTGATTCCCAGAGCATTTAAATGAAAAAAGCCCATAGGTTTTTGTATCGGTTCATTTTGAATCCATTTATTTCAATGGTAAAAACATCATTCACTTTTCATCTTCATTGAAAGATAATAACATTTGCAGCTCTCCTCTCTCTCTCTCTCACTCCCTTTTTGTTTTTATCACTCAGCTGATTTAATCAATTCCTGTGGTTCACCATTAAAATGCTTTAACTTTCAAATTTTGAATCAATTTAATAGGAAAACAATCAATATCTATTAATACAATCAATTGTTAACTTTAAATACATTTCATGTCCATTGGTATTGATTGTGTTTTGCATTTTCTACTCCAATTGTTAAATCATTTACTGAACAATATTTGGATGTTAATTATTATTGTTATCATCATGTTGATGATTATGATTAATTTTGAGAAGAAATTTTCAATTTAAATGTAAGTATATTAATATAATGTGCTTTCTTCTTATACAATCTATTTCTTCAAACTATTAATCGATAATTAAATGATTAAAATCATTGATTACTATTGTTAACTATTAATAATTTGTTGAACTTTTATCTGTGGAAAAAAAATGTCCATGGTTATCATTTGGTGTATTATTATTATCAAATTATCTTGATAATGATGGAGGAGTTTTAATTATCAACTATATGTATTGTAACATAATAATGTTGCTGATAATTGTTGTTAAATTGTCACCATCATCATATTCAAATGTAAAGTTACATCAATGAGGATTCAATTGGCTCATTGATGGATTGCGTTTGTTGATTGTTATCACAAATTATTATCTTAATCATTATCATGGAAAAAAAAGTGAATTCTGGTTAATTCTTGGAACCAGAATTTATCATGATGATAATATCGTTTTCTGTTGAATCTGATTTGATTGAGTGGAAAAGCTTTTTCTCTCTCAGTTCCAACATCATCTTTGTTTTATTATACAACCGAAAACCCAAACAAAGAGGATGATAATGATGATGAAGATGAAGATGATGATGAAGATAAACCTTAACTGCTGATGCTTCAATTTATATATTTATTATTATCTTCATTCTGGGAATTATTCCATATGTTTACAATGTTACCTTCGATTCCCTTTTAATTTCAAGCTTGTTATCGAATGAGACAAAAACTTATAAAGTGAAAAGATGAATTAGTTATGCTCTTTCTTTATCTTCATCATCATCATCTCTCTCTCTCTCTTTCTGTCATCACCATCATGATTATCATCCTCATCCCAATATCCCTTGAAATAATACAAATCGAGTAAACCAAATATCCGGAATCAAATGTAATCTCAACTTGACAAAAGTCCCAATAGTTAATCAATTGATTAACCGTAACAAAAGTAAATTACAGAAAAATTTAGTCACTTACATATTGATTAACAGAGTATGATAATAATTACATAGTACTAACAATTTACAACTAATAACTGAATAGATTTGCATCATGAATAAGTTATTAACTCATTTATACAAAAGGAAAATATTAATTTACTGATGCAATTAATAGTTAATATCTATTATAAGGTATGACCGGTAAAGAATGGAAGTAAACTTTGAAATTTATTAATTAATTAATGAAATTGAATTTGTGTATGAATTTTTTCTGATAGACTTTTGGAATAACTAGAAGTTGAATGTGAGGTTAAAATAATCGATTTTAGCAAAAGTCCGTTCTCCAGATCACTTCGATCAAATTATCGTCGAAAATTCTAAATAATTTTTTCGATCTTAATTAATCTGATTTGTTAGCTATGACTAAGTTTTCGATAATAAATTCATAATCAGCACAATTTGAGCTTCACAATGATATAAAATTTTCATGTATTAGGAAAACAATTAACTAATTAGGACAATTTTTTTTAATTTAGATCGGTAAAATCGAGTATTTTTATTGAATTCGCGCGACAATTTAAACAGCATTATTAACTTTTCAACTATTCGAGATAATTTGAAAATTTTTTCGGCAGTATTCGATGAAGAGTAAGGATTGAAATTGATTTTGCAAATAAAATTGTGAAAAAAATTCGAAGTTCCAACGAATTTGAGAAAAAATGACGCAATATCCGGTTCGAACTTTTTTCGAATTTTCGACTTAAAAAAATAATTTTTTTTCTTCTTAAAACATTCTGGCATATTAAAACAACCTTCATTAATAACTTAAAATTAGAATTTTCATCATCGGCTTTCTTTTCTTGAAGAGCTAGCTTTTTATCTAACTTTACCTCTAACAAATTTCACTTTTTTCTTTTGGTACATATTCGAAAAATCGAAATTTTCACAACTTTTCATAATCGAAACAGCTCGAAAAATATATTGAATTGAAGGTAAAAACTGGTCATTAAAAAATATACTAATTTCAAGAAAATAAATTCAAAATCATAATAACCACGAAAGTTTTAAAATATTACTTCCATTCTTTACCGGTCATACCTTATTATTATGTTATAAATTGTTTTATTTTTTTTCCTTCTTATTAATCGATGTTGATTCAATCAGATTAGAAACAGAAAATCAAACAATGTACTTAGATTCTCATCACTTGAGATTGATAATTTGTAATTCATTTACTATTAAGATCATCAATCAATTTCTATATACAATATAATCGAAAGCAATCAATTGTAACTCTAGAAATAAACTAAATTAACAAATCTACAATTGTTTTCCGTAATAAATGAATGTGTAAACGATTAGATAACACGAAATGTAAACTCAGGTAAAAATCACAGGTAATAAGTCAACAAGTTAGACAGAATTTATTTATATTAACTGTTTATCCATCGATAACTTTATCATGTTTATCATCATGTTGTTTTCGTCATCATTAAGATAATAATATTTTCCTATTATCATTTTCTTATAATGATAATAAAGAACTTTTTTTTATGCTAAAGATTCACTTTCTCTTGAGAAACAAGAATGAAATTCATTGAAATCACGATAAAAAAAACAAGAAAAATCATCATGTTCAATGATCATTAACTAATCATAGTTAATAACAACTTGAAAGAATCATGTTAATCATTAAGACCATCATGAAAACGATCATGAATCAATCAATGTTTAGTGGCTAAATTACTCAATTAAGTTTTTCGATAACATTTGAACAACAATTAAACGTATTCAGAATTTTCTCAATTTCTTCATCGTTTGATTAACTTAAAGTATTTAATCATTTTGATGATTGAAAATTTAGTAATGAGACTGATGAAGATGCAAAATGATGATGATTAGTTTTGTATTCATGATAATAAATAATATTAAGGTTGAAGATAAGGTTTCGGGTTCAGTTGAATATACTAAATGCTGGGAACCGTTGCATCTGATGCTATTATTGTAGCCCTACAATTTACGGTTAATACAAAAAAAAGTACAATCTATTCAGGACTTTTAATCATAAGAGGTGTTCACTAATTAGAAGGAAAAAGTTCAAATATCGATAACTCGATAACCAGAAAAGATAAATTAAAAATTCAAAGTTTATTATGTTCTCTCAATACTGACAATGGGCCATTCTTAGCGGCATAATGAATTTGTGACTTAGTATTTTGAAATAATCGCTCGAAGTAAGTACTGTCGAAACTTTTAATTTTCGAAGTAATTCGACGTTTTAAACAGTCGAAATTATCAGTTTTCCAGCCATTTTCATAGACCTTATTTTTTAAATGACTCCAAAACCTCTCGATCACCCGAAGTTGCGGAATATTCGGCGGATTTTCGTTTTTTTTCACGAATTTTATCGAAAGCGCATCAAACATTTCGATAGTAGATTTAGCGTAATGACAACTAGCGCCATCAGGCCAAAAGATATACTCATTATCTCCATGATACTTTTCAAGGAAAGGAACTAGTTTATCCTTAATACAATTTTTTGAATAAAGGTCAGCATTTAGAGCATGTTTAGCGGGAACAAAAAAAGGTGAACTACAACCTTTCGCACTGATGGCAATCCAAACACAAAGTTTAGGTTCGAATTTGGCCTTAAAATGGAAACGAATGTCATCGGGAGCTTCGTTGACATTCGTTGTGTAGAATCCATGGCTAAGTGACCTATCCAACGGAAAGTAACTTTCGTCATCCTCGACGATTGCCAATAACGAACTTTTTGAAAAATCGTTTTTAACCAAATTTCGTAGCCGTTTTTTTTGTCTCTTTTTCTGCTCTGGCGACGATTTTGGTGCTTGTATCGACTTACGGTACTTGAATCCATGAGTTTTTAATAACTTGTGGACATAAGATGTCGAAATGTTAAATTTTGAGGCCAAATATCGAACTGAACACTGTTTATTTTCGACGAATTTTTTGAAGCTATTTAGTCGATTTGGGGTCATTTTTATCGCTTTTCTTCCTTGACCTGGTATTCTTTGTATCGATTGACCATTTTTCACACGTTCGAAAATATTATAAACTAAATTTTTACTTATTCCTAGCGATTTGAACTTAATAAACACATGATAAGGTCGATCTGAGGGATTCAATTTAATGTAATTGAAAATAACATTTTTCACTTCATTTACATTGACACACATTTCTAAAACTAATTGTGCTCTGATTTTAATTTAATTAATACCATCAAATTGCCCATTAAATTGCCGTTAATTTAAGGTATTGTTCAAGACTCTAGGACTAGACATTACGACGCTACGATTGTTTAAAGTTTTTCCTTCTAATTAGTGAACACCTCTTAATACATAAACTAAACATCCACTTTAATCATTGTCCCTTTTTTAATTCAATCCTTGATTGTCCTCATTCATTACAATCAATTCTGATACCTTTACAATTAACCTCTCTCATAATCTGAATCTTTACCTTTATCTCAAGGGTATTAGAATATTATTATTATTATTAAGATTATCGGATGAATTTGTAACAATGAATTAATTTGATTTGGATTAATTCATTAATTGGTCCTATTGCGAGATTTTTGTTTTGATCTTTGATGTTTCAATATTTCAAGAATCTTTTTTCTTGTTCATGATAATGAACTTTTCATTTATATCTATTAATATATGAAACTATTTTTCTCTTTCTTTCAACTAATCATCATGATATTTTTTCATGTTAGTGAAATAATTTCATTAGTTAATTTGTGTTTTCCATGTTTCATACAATTCAGTATTCATCATCATTATGTATTATCATATTCAGATGATGAAGATGATCATCAACTAGTGAAGTATATTAAAAAAAAACAAGGAAGATGATGATAATGAAGACAATCAGATAAACACACAGTTACATCATTATCTTGATTATGATTATCATGACTACTCTGGGAACCTTTAAGATCACTTCTATCCCATGGAAGATGAAGATCCTCATCATCATCATCATCATCATTGAGAAATAACTTGTCAAGGTCATGGCCGCCCCTTTGTCCAACAACAACAACAACAACAACAACAAGATGATAATCAACATCATTATCATCCTCATAGTTTCAGTAAAATCTTTAATTCCTACAATGAATAAAAAAGAAAGAAGAAGAAAAAAATAATGATCATCATTTAATATTAAACAGCGACGATAAAAATGACCTGAGAAATAAAGTTCGAGAATGACATTTAATCTTCATTATCTTCATTATCTTCCTCATCATCATCATCATCCTTTTGTTTCCATGAAATTTAATAGAATTAAAAAAGATTATCTCATTATCTTCATCAACCCCTTTTCATCCTCATCTATTCAATGTAAAAACGGGATGAAGATAATGATGAAGATGATGAGGATGAAGATGAGGATGAGGAAGATGAAATTTTCATCTTCATCCTCATCGATTGCTATAGGTTAAGCTAAGAAGGCGGAGATTAAACAGAAACTGGTTACGCCTTTAAACTTACCTTTATATTTGTATTTAGTTTTCAAAGTCATTTGTTGATCAATATTCAAGAAGAGAGCCAATCACAATTAAAGATAATTCAATTCTCAATCATGTTGATTACAATTAATGATTTTCTCCATTGATAATTATGCCTTTTTCTTATATATTATATATCAATTTTGACCTATTTTCATGTTTTCAACGAAAACGATTAACAATAAAATTAATTTGCTTTACTTTTATTTCCTTCTTCCTAACTTGCAATTAATTATTCCAATTTAAATTGTCCCTAACAATTAAATATCCATCATTTTTTTTCATATATATTTATTGATGAAAATTACGTTTCTCGCAAATATTATCAATCATTAAATCTGTTGATTGATTTACTTTTGACAATTTAATTCAAATTCATTAATTTTGAAAAGAAAACACTTTCCATTCAATTGATTATTTAATTCATTGAGAGATAATAAATAATCAAAAACAAGTTAATTGTCGTTGGTGAAAGTTGAGGGGAAAAAAAAGTTCTGAAACAATTTTCATTTCTTTTTACAGATTCGATGTTCATGAAATGATAATTGTAATCAGATCATTATTATTGTTATTATTGAGCATTTTAAATCATCAACTGATTATCAGAGTAATTTTATTATCATCATCATTATCATCAGGCTCATTTAAATTGTCTTCAAATACTATTACAATTATTACATTAGGAAAGGTTAATCATAACTTTCGAATCGAATTTGCTTCCCTTTCTCTTTCGTCTTAATGTTCTAAAAAAAGTTCTAACGTATATATAAATGTAAATATATTTTCTTGCAATTCATTTTGATCACAATTTTGTTAATGTTATTGTACTTATAATCCAATGTATACTCATCATCATCATCATGTGTTCATGGTTATTTGCACCTACATCATACATATAACATCAACATAATTGTGAGTTCCCACGGTGTAAAGTCGTCGGCGACCGGGCTAAGGTGTAACCTACCTGTAAGTCAAAACTTGAGTTTAGTTTATATCTTTCTGAGCACATTAACCCTCACATACAAGAAAAACACAGAATAACAATCATCAAGTAGTAAACCGAAATACTCTGAGTTCAATTCATTGAAATATCGTTTAGGACTTTATGCCAACAACAACAACAACAACAGGAACAGGTTCAGAATTGAGGAGTAAATTTGACACGTTGAAACTTGGAAAATCATAGTAATAATAAGTTCTCACCAAAAGTCACCATGTTGTTCAGAGGGATGAAGAAGAAGAAGAAGAAGATGATGATGATGATGAGGAAGATTATCTTCATAATGTAATGGGTATTACCTTAGGTGTAAACTAATTGCTGGAATTGTTGTTCCTGGAACACCAGAACAATGTAATCTCAATTGTAAATTGTCATCTGTAATTTAAATGTATAATCTAATAACAACAATCAAGATGATAAAGTTTAATAAACTTTATAATAATAAAGGGTTATGATGATGGTATTGTAATGATTATGTTGATTACCATGATTAAGATCACCTTTTTTTTAGCAAATTAACCATCGTCAAGTAACAATTGTTTCCAGTAGTTTAATTGTGATTATTAGTCTGTATCATAAAGGTAAGAAGAAAGTGAAATTGATAAGTAATTAGTATTTAATTGTTGTTGATTAAGGTTTTTCATTGATAATTCAACTGATTGTTAAAGCTTATATGAATCTGTGTTTACATTAAATCAAATCATTTTACCTGGAGATTAACGTTTAATCAGTTAATTGATTTGATGTTGAATAGTTAACAATTATTTTAAATGATTAATTTGCGTGATTATAACAATCTATTAATAAGGTTATCATATATTCATAAATTGTTATCATCAGTTACTTAATTTTTGGCAATTTATATTTACAGGAATGGTTGAAGAATCAGTGATAAACATTTTTCTTAATTAATTGTTAATTACCTTGAGTGTGTATTACTCTTGTATATTGAATGAATGATTTAATGATCACTTGAATAATCAGTTATCCATTTGTGTCATTCAATTATTGTTATGATCATTAATTATTATTTTCGAGGTTGATTAAAGATGGACTTGGTGAGATTCTAATCAATTTGTTGTTTGATTAATTTCTTCCTTGTTTTTTTATATTCCATCATGAAAAAGTTACATGGTTTAATGAATTCATCAGAACTTTTTTTCTTCTTATTCCAAACACCATCATGTGCGTAAGCTCATGTTATCAACAAGTTTGTATCAGTAAACTGAATCAGAATGAAGAAAAAAATGATAAGTATTAACAAAGGATTAGAATGAAAAAAGAAAACAAAAATGTTCTAAGTTACAATGAATTCGATGAATTTTTTTTCTCTTTACACTTTACCATTGATTCTGTTGATTTTTTTGTCTGTTATTGCTTCTTTGATGGAAACATGATCATATTCCATGTACTAATTGAACGGAACTGAATGGATGATGAAAAAAAAAGAAGTGTTGATTGTTGGGTAATGATGATAAAAAGTGTAAATTGTTGATGATGTTTATGGGAATTGGGAAAAAATCATTGGAGTGAAAGGTTAATATTTTATGATTGTTGATGTTGATCAACAACAATAATCAATCAATCAAGCAAATCACAGTCTCTCACAAAATTAATGATAATAATTGTATAATACAAAATAGATTTACTGTACTTACAATAATATCAATTGTTTTTCGATTTTTTTTTTGTTCTCTGTTGTCTTTTCCTTTACAGACTTTTGTTATTGATCAACATTATCATCCTAAATCATCAAAGTTTATAGAAAACTGAAAAACAGTAACAATAATCAAGATCATATTGTGTTGATCGTTAGACGATAATTTGATTCTAATGATACCTAATCAGGTTCACGGTTCACCAAGTCCTTTATCGAAATCTGGTTTACCGAATGATGGTGTTGATGGTAATGGAGGTGGTGGGGGTAATAGCGACGATGATGGGACCAATTTAACGAGATCAAGTACGACAGGGACAATAATAACACCGATGCCTTCACAGGTTAACAAAGGAAAGACAACATCTCCATTAGTTTCAGTAACTGCATCATCAACGACTGGAACAATTTCTGGTGTAGTTGGTAGTTTCAACAGAGAAATCATGAGACAATATATTCGTGAGCGTAAAGAGATGAAAATAGTTATATTACATGCAAAGGTCGCCCAAAAATCTTATGGAAACGAGAAGCGATTCTTTTGTCCACCTCCATGTATTTATCTCTATGGTCAAGGTTGGTCACATAGACAACAGCAAATGATACAAGCTGGACAATCAGAATCATCAACACAAATTTGTGCCTTCATCGGAATCGGTAATTCAGACCAAGAAATGCAACAATTAGATTTCAATGGAAAGGTAATTAGCTCAATTCTTTCATTTCCATTTTCCAATATTTCCAATTTCCAATTTCATTCTTGATATTGATCCATTCCATTTTCTCATTGACCATTGTCCATTGTCCACCCAATCGTCCGATTGTCCAGAACTTTTGTGCAGCCAAAACTCTGTATATAAGTGATTCAGATAAACGAAAACATTTCATGTTATCGGTGAAAATGTTTTATGCAAATGCCGACGATATTGGTGTTTTCTATTCCAAACGGATTAAGGTCATTTCCAAACCCTCCAAGAAGAAACAATCACTTAAGAATGCAGATTGTAAGTAACGACTGATTAATTGATCGAATACTCGATGATTAGTGATTAATTATTGTTCTTGTTATTATCTATTCCATCCTGTTCATAATCATCAGTGTGTATAGCATCGGGAACAAAAGTAGCCTTGTTCAATCGACTTCGATCTCAAACAGTCTCAACTCGTTATCTTCATGTTGAAAACAATAATTTTCATGCGAGTTCATCTCAATGGGGAGCATTTACAATTCATTTACGTGAGTATATTAATCACTTTACAATATAAAAACAACAAGAAAATGAAACTAAACTTTTGTTTTCTTGTCACAAATCACAATCAATTTGTCACCAAGATTGTCATTTTCATTGCATTTATCTGAATCTTTACCGAACTCAATAAATGATGACAGTTAACATAACATAAATTGTTACCTTTCAAATGTTGATATTTACCTGTAACTTGTTGATTTGTCCTTTACCAGTGTCAACGATGAATTAGATTGGTAACAATTTGTCCGATCAAGAGATAACCATAAGATTAATTGAGATGATTAACCTTGAAGGAAGATTTCATGTCATTTTTTTCATTCTTTTTTTACATGTTTGCTGAAATCAAATGAAATTTGTTTTCATGAGAATTCAATGTTTCCATATTGGATAATTGAGCTTAATTGTAGCAATTTATAAACATCGTACTCTTAATGAAACATTTTCCATTCGTGTGATCGGTTCAAACAAATGACATACACTGATCATTATCAGATGATTATTTCTTCTTAATCCTAATCCAGATTAGTTAAAATTATATCTCAGGTTGTTTTAATCACTAATCCAAATGATTTAACGCTTATCCACATTTTTCTTCATCTTGATTTGAATTATCTTATTTTTCAATCAATTCTTTGGGTCTCCTTGATTTCTCATTGTAAATGTTTGTATTACTTTCATTATCTTTAAATATCTTCGGGTGAATCGCTCATCATGGTGGATGTTGATTCAGTTGATGACAACGAATCGGAATCTGAGGAATTCACAGTTCGAGATGGTTATATTCATTATGGATCAACGGTGAAACTTGTTTGCTCCGTGACTGGAATGGCCTTACCAAGATTGGTAATTCGTAAGGTAGACAAGCAAAATGCTCTATTAGATGCCGATGATCCAGTTTCCCAATTACATAAATGTGCCTTTTACATGAAAGATACCGAGAGAATGTATCTCTGTTTATCTCAGGAAAGGATAATCCAATTCCAGGCAACACCCTGTCCAAAGGAACCAAACAAAGAAGTGATCACCGATGGTGCTTCATGGACAATAATTAGCACCGATAAAGCTGAATACACTTTTACCCATGGGAATGGCCTTACAGATCAAATTGGAACAATCAACTCAACAGGTCCAGTTAGTCCAGTTCCAATTGTAAATAACCTTAATCTTAACGGTGGAGGTGAAGTTGCCATGTTGGAATTGACTGGCGAAAATTTTACCGAAAATTTGAAAGTTTGGTTTGCAGACGTGGAAACGGAAACGTTTTTCAGGTAAACAAAGAAAAAAAAAGAAAAATATCACAAGCAAATGTTTTACAACTTCCATTTCTCTCACAAGACTCATAAGTCTCTTCTTCATCTTTACTCTCTGATCACAACAAATCAACAATTAGCAAAAGATAACAATCAGACTAACACTTTCCATAGAGCAAAAAATTACTTTAAATACTAAACAACATCAAAATTTTCTCAAGCAACCGTAGCCGAAAGGTTACAGTCTTGAACTTAGTTCTCGACATCACGGGTTCAATCCCGGGTCGCTTTCTAATACAAATGAATTTAAACTCAAATGTAAACAAACAAACGAAAAACTTAAAACTGACAAACAAACAAAAACGAAATTTAAATGATGAATCTTAAACGATGATAATTTAAACAAAACCCCTTTTTGTTGTTTTTTTTCGTTGGTCAATTGAATTGAATTTTTGCTTTTTCTTTTGTTACGCTGTTTAGATGTCAAGAGAGTATTTTATGTGTGGTACCTCAGGCATCAGAATTTCGTGAAGAATATGAATGGATTCGTCATCCAACCCAAGTACCAATTTCTTTGGTTCGTGAAGATGGGATAATCTATGCAACCGGATTAACTTTCACTTATACACCTGAACCTGGTCCTAGGCAATCATGTCCTTCTGAACTGGACACAATTAACAATGTTGATTCAATTGTTAGACCAGTAAATCAATCGGAATATTCTGGACATTCACCATCTCATCAACAGCAGCAGCATCACAATACTCATAACCATCATCATCAAGTTCACCATCAACAACAACAACAACAATTACATCAAAATATTCAACATTCTCCTCATACTCAACATGGTTATCAATTGAATCAATTGGATTCTCATGATCATCATCAATCTCAACCACAACCACAGCATCAACATCATCTTAACCATTCCCATCAATCAACAATCGCTCACCCTGGTTCACCTCCATCCCTTGTGCACCAAGTGAGTCCATTAAATCAAGCAAAATTCTAATTGTCAACAATTTGTTTCCCTAATTAGTGACAACTTTTTGTTTCTGTTAACCTAGTCCTCTTTCTCACCGAACATGATAATACCAATAGTAGATGAATAGTAAATGTTCACCTAATATCCACCCCACCGACCGTCCCTCTTTCTCCTCCTCCTACACACCTTCATTCATCATCACCCCACTCTCACTCTCTCACTCACTCACTCACTCTCTCTCTCTCTCTACTTAAAAGGGTCAATATCTCTATGGGAAAAAATATTTTTACTCAAGTGAATCCGATTGGATCAATGAATTTGGTTACTTCTTATATTCTTTGTTTTCATCATGTTTTAATTAATGTCCAAGTTAATTAACCTGAAAGTGAAAACTATATTTTAGAAGTCTAATTGTTGATTACAATCAATTATTTCCTCTCTCTCTCTCTCTCTCTCTCTCTCCCTTCCAATGTACTAAAAACACAAATATACAGAAATAGAGATTAACTATTAGTATTACGTTTGAGTGTTCATGCCTTCTTGATTAATACAATGAAAATTAACAGTTAGATAATCATTGGTGAGAATAAATTTTTCTCTCTCTCTCTCTCCTTGCATAATCATAGTAAATGAATAATTGGTTATCATCCACAGGGTCATTGAGATTTAACTTACGATTGTTGCGTTTATTTACAAGTAATCAAACAATCGTGAGTAAATGAAAATAATAACCTTGTGATGATAATCTAAATTGATGTCATTAATTAATCGTCATCTCTCCCCCCTTTTCCACCCACAATCTGTAATAATCAATCAATCAAATTAACTATCCCACAACAATAATAATGATGATGAATAAAATATTCGCGAACTGTTCAATCACGCAATTAGATTCCCATAGAGTCAGTGATTTACCGTTAACGTTTAAACAGTTAATTTTTTTTTCCTTCCCTTTTCAATAATCAATATTAATTATTGAAGAAAATGACCACAATCAATCCTCGTCATTAATCAAATTTAATTCTAATTCAATTTACTTTTTTTTTCTCATAAGGTCCAAAACTGTCTTGAGAATACATTTAATGGGTAAGTCGAATCAATTTTCTATGTTAATTAATTGTCACCGGATTTCCTGATCACAATTATGACTGATTACATGATGAATTTTTAATCACAATTTAGATATTATATTCTGAGAGATTTTATTATTGTCTTTAATTAATTAGCTCCAATTAATTAAAGTCAATTACCCTGTTAAATGTGATATTCAGAATTGAATTGTTCAGGAAATTAAGACATTAACGAATAACAATTAAGATTTTTTTTCTCTCAATATCAAGATAATTAATAATTTTTCGGTTTTCTTTTAATTAAATGTTTGTTCTTGTTTTATTTTTCTGTTAATTTCTTTCTGTGTTTTATATTATATCAGGAGTAAATTATTCAAATTAATTTAGTCAAAATAGTTAATTAACTTTAATCAGAACTAAATGATTGGTGTGTGAAAAAAGTAATTAAAACATGTACAGTTATCATTTACTGTATATATGGAAGGAGCTATTAAACATTACAAATTACACTTCCTCATTAAGAATACAATTAAAACAATGGTCAATCAAAGAGTTAATTTAACAGATTAACAGTTTTGCTGGCAATTAACCAAATGATTCCTTGTACATATTATTATTATTATTGTCTTTACGAACGTTAAATTAAAAAAGTAAAACGTTTAATTGTTGATAATTTTTAATTCACTCATGGGAATGTCAATACGTGACGAAGATACAAGTTGCACGTTAACTAATCATCATCATCTCTCATTTAATAACAATTAACTAACTTTTTTTCTGTTCTATTATCCTTTTTCTCTAGGCATCTCTACCTATTGGATCAACAACAACAACAACAAGCCCAACATTCAACTGCTCAACTTCAATCTTCATCATCTTCATCATCATCATCATCGACAACATCATCTGATCATGCAAATCATCAAAACAATCAGCAACAATCAAATCATTTACTATCAACTACTGATCACCAAAGAGCTCAACAACAACAACAATCGGAACAATCAATTATTGATTCATCTTCATCCAATCAACATTTTCATCATCAGTCATCTTTACCCTCCCCACCTCCTCTGTTAACCCACCATCCGCATCCTCATCCTCATCACTCACCTAATCATATTGTAAATCATCATCATTCATCTTCACACCATTTTGCAATGATGTCTCGATTTTCAGGTGATAATAATTTAAGATCTGATGTTCTAAATCATTCCAATTCTAATCATCAGCATTTTCAAAAAACTAATTATCGATCTCATCCTTACTTTGTACCCGGACACGGAAATCACTCTTCGCCCTCTCATCATCATCATCATCATCATCACTCTCATCCACATTTACAAGCACTTTAATGAATTGAACGGTTGATTGTCTGCATACATATCGATAAAATAATCAAATAATTAGACTGAAAACAAATCATATGTTTATTATCAATCGTCTTTCATCAATTTTATCACATTAATACTCACCAATAATTCAACAATTAACAAAATCACACAACTTATTAGCTAATTTTCACAATTTATCTGCATATCTTTTCAATTTAACAACAGAGCAAAAATATAAATCAAATCATGTTCTACCCTTTAAATTGTTATCAATTAACTCTGTAATCAACAATATTTAATTATCATATATAAATCATCATTAAGGATCACAGGGAAATCTGAATACCTATGGAAAAAATCAAAGTGGAATCGAAAAAGATTATCATGATTATCAACGTAAAAGTTGATCAACTATCGGCACAATTTAAACCACAATGCAAATTATCGTCTTAATCATCACGAAAAAAAAAGATCAATTGTACTTAACAATTTAACGAATTGCAAAAATCACTTCTTTTAATTATTCCTGTGATATTGAACCACAAATAACATTTTTCTGTTCTAATCTTTAATTGTTCCCAATTGTAATAAGAGAAAAAAGTTCCAATCAACCAAGACAATCTCATCTAAATTTCAATTCCAATAAAATCATTTATCTCTTTCCTCAATCCACACCAATCCTAAATTAACTCAATAATTAAATCAGTGTATCAACACCAATTACCAATTTAAAGCAATAAAACCAAATCAAATTAAATCCATAGCAAAGATTGAATAACAATCTAATTGAATCGAAGTGGCGAATTGTAAAATCATACAAAGCAAAAGTCTAAACAAAAATAAAATAAATTAAAAAAAAATCTTATCTTCAACAAACGACGAACTGTGATCTGAATTGATTAATTAATTAATTGGATTTAAATGATTATTGGAATTTTTTTCTTTCTTTATGGTTAATTGGTATTCGAATTTGGCGCTTTTCTTTGTGCGCATGTTTTCCGCTGAGTCATGAGATTGTTGATTTTTGTTTAATGAATTTTGAGAGTTTATTAAGTAAAAGATTAATTAATTTTTTTCTAATCATTTAATTGTTTGATTTTCTCTTTACTTTCTATCAGTTAATTGTGATCAACTTTGTTCTCTAACTGTCATGGCACGAACAAGTAGTGCAGGTTTTGATCGTCATATTACAATCTTCTCACCGGAAGGTCGATTGTATCAAGTTGAATATGCTTTTAAGGCTATTAATCAATCGGGTGTTACATCGGTTGGTCTTAAAGGTAAGAATAATGTTGTAGTGGTTACACAGAAAAAGATTCCTGATAAATTGTTGGATCCAACCAGTGTTAGTTCACTTTATCGTATAACACCTCACATTGGCTGTGTTATCACTGGTCTTGTACCTGATTCTCAATCTCAAGCTCAACGAGCTCGATATGAGGCTGCTAACTTTAAATATCAATATGGTTATGATATTCCGGTAGAATTGTTGACCAAACGAATGGCTGATATTGCCCAAGTATATACACAAAATGCTGAGATGAGACCCTTGGGTACTAGTTGTATTTTCATCTCTTATGAGGATGGGCAACCTCTTCTTTATAAAACTGATCCTGCTGGATATTATTGTGGATACAAAGGTAAAAAATTTGCTTCTTCTTTTTTTCCCCGATTTTGTCTTCTTCTTTGAGATCTAATTCTAATTGTATATTTTCTGTTCTCTATTCTCTTTGTATTTAGGATGTGCTGTTGGTGTTAAATCTGTCGAGGTCTCCAATTATCTAGAGAAGAAACTTAAAAAGAAAACAGATCATGATGCAGATGCAACCATTAGATTGGCAATGGCTGCTCTTTCAACGTCTTTAGGAATTGATTTCAAATCAAGTGAACTTGAAGTTGGGGTTATCGATGAAAGTGAAAAATTTACCATCTTAACTGAATCGGAAATTGAAGCCCATCTTACAGCAGTTGCTGAGAAAGATTAACCATCCTAACTAGAAGAAGAAATTAAATTTTGTCTTTTATATACTTTTTCCTGGCAATCAAGAAAAGATTTACCGAAAGCCAATAAATTCAATCTTTCAAGAGAGATTTGGTTATTTGTCATCGAACCAGTTATTATATTTTCATTTTCAAGATCAAGTTTCGGGTTAACAAGACGCGAGAACAAAATTTTAACGGACTAATAATAAGCAAAAAAAAGAAAAGTACAAAATTTAGAATCGACAAGTTAACTTATTGTATCAACATTTTCTGCTAATCTTTAGATCAAAAATCAACAAAAACATCAACAAAGGTGAACACATAGGAAGGAGGAAAAATCAGAGAAACAATTAATGTATATTTCCTGTTATTCAACAAGTTAAATTGATTTGAACCAGAAAAGAAAACACCATTGGAAATAAATTACCTTTGATAGTTGGACATCAGCTGATGAAAAAAAAATCAGAATTGAACAAAATTATCCTTTGCCATTTTTGATTACGGAAGTTTGGTTGAGTGATCCTTTTATGTATATTCATATTTAGCATCATTGTTACCTGTTGTTGCTGTTATTGTTGATTTTTGTTACTCAACTTGAAGCTCATCATGATTCTGGAAGCAATTATATAGTCAATTCATCACCATCATCATTATATTGTAATAATTTAATTCATTCAATATTTTCTGTTTCGCATTTAACAACATGGTTCGTTGATTGTCCTTGCGTATCTTTCGGTGTTGGTTATTGGGTGAGAACAGAAAAAAAGTTTGTAAAAGAGAAGCAGAGACGAGAGAGAGAGAGAGAGAATCTTTTGTGTGTCATCAATTTGATCACAATTAAAGGAAGATAAAAGGAAGAAGAAGACAATCAAGTCCAGCCCTTGGAAAGAGATGAAAAAAATTCAATCAAATGATGATATTCATTTGGAGAGATTTCTGTCTTTCATCAGCAACAATCAACTTTTACTTTTCTAAATTGTAACCATAATGTCACCAAAATTGTCGCCATCTTAATTTACTCAATATTCATTGATAATATGAGTTAATTTTTTTTGTTTCAATCAAATGATTTGGTTCATTTTCATATTGTAATTAAGAGTTACCTTTAAGACCATGAGATTGGATTCATTTAAATGTCCTTTTCATATTAATTCATCTTCTTTTTCTGATCACCTAAAGGATCAATTACAATCTAAATTGTTTCTACTTTTTCTAATTGTGTTAATTGTTCTCACATGGCTGGTCCCCTGTTCTCGGAATCAATCGTTCTACCCACAGGTGACCCTCACTCAGGGAATTCTAAGAGGTCGACCCATGAGAACGGAAGATGATAAAGAGTTTTTCGGTTTTCTTGGAATTCCTTATGCTAAACCTCCGATTGGACCGTTAAGGTTCAAGGTGATTAATCTCTTGCTTTTTTCGTCCAATCGAATTGTTATTTTGTGTCATTGGATTAATTTTCTGTTCTTCTAATTCTAATAGCAACCAGTTCCACACTCTGGTTGGTCTGGATTAGCCGATGCTTGGACCTACAAGGAAGGATGCCCTCAGTGGGATTCTCGTGGTGTCGATATCGGAAATGAAGATTGTCTTTACCTTAATGTTTACACTCCGAGTGTTGAGGTTTGATTGTTTTCTCAATGTTGATTTTCAGCTTTAATTTCATTCGTAACGTGTTTATATTGGGTTTAATTGTGGTTTGTTTGGTTAATTGTTTTCTCTCATTTAGAAAACACCATTTAATAATTTTCTCTATCCTGTGATGGTTTTCATTGGCGCTGGAACTTTCGAAACGGGAGACAGTGCACTTTATGGACCACAGAAAATTATGGACAAGGGAATTGTTTTGGTCACTTTTAATCATCGAATTGGATTATTAGGTAAGTTGATAACTTAACTTTTATTCGTCGATTTGCTTTTAATAGTTGTTGTTTTCCTTTTCTTATTGAAGGTTTCATGAGTTCAGATGACGAAAGTGCTCCAGGCAATTGGGGATTATATGATCAATTGCTTGTTCTCCAATGGATTAAGAATAACATTGAAAGTTTCGCTGGTGATCCAAATAGTGTCACCATTTTCGGACAAGGGGCTGGAGCTGCTTCTGTTTTCTTTCACCTTTTATCACCTTTATCGAAAGGTAATCTCTAGTCAATGAGTTTTCATGAATCGATCTATTAATTGCTGTTGTATTTTCCTTATTAATTCAATCAATCTGATAGGTTTATTTCACAAAGCGATAATGGAAAGTGGTTCTGGTCTTTGTGATTGGGCATTACAATCAGATCCATGGGATTATGCAGTTCAAATTGGTCAAAGATTAAGATGTCCAGTTGCTCCTCGTGAAACATTAGTCGACTGTCTAAGAGTTGTACCAACACTTGATTTACTTCGTGCTCAAAATAACGGTAAAGTGAGTATCGAAAATCAATTTATTCTTGACAATTGATTCTTATACTTTTCTTTCATTCAGATTCTAGGTGAATATCCAATCAAACCAGTACCCGTAGTGGAAAAGGGAACCACTAATCGTTTCTTACCTCAAGATCCATGGCAATTGTTAACCAGCGGAATAATCAATAGAGTTCCAACTTTGATTGGTTATAATACTCAAGAAACACTTTTCTTTTATCCAGGTAAGAGATTCAATTACAGTAATTAAATTCTACATAAATTAACAAGTATCATTTCTCCATCAACAGTTATCGAACAAGTTTTAGGGAGGAAAGTGGAAAATCTCATGAGAAATTAACTTCACAATTTCTTGATTGCTGTACACCATTTAAAGGAAGATCAAAAGATCGAGTCTCACCATTAATATACTATGAATATTTCAATAAAATGGATCCATTCAATTTAACTCAAGTAGCCACGAGATTTATAAACGTCAGTAGTAAAATTTCATTGAGAGATTAACCTAATGCCCATTAACCTTTTCTTTTGTCCATTTTCCATTTGGATTAACAGTTGACCACCGATGCTTTATTCATCAGCTGTATCGATGAAACTATTCGTTTCTTACGAGAATTAAACTTACCCGTTTATCTTTACAAGTTTGATTATCGAGGACAAAACAGTATGGTTGAGTTAATCATCTCGAAAGCTTTACTACCAATGGACACTGGTCCTTCTCATGGCGATGAACTACTCTATCTTTTTGACATGAAATTAGGAACTCGTCGAAATCAACCTTTCCGGGATAAGAAAGTTTCTCAGAGAATCACCTCTCTATGGACAGATTTTGCCAAGTTCGGGTAAATTGATTTGATATTTTTCGTTAATTTTGTTTCATGTTGATGAAATTTTTCTCTTTTCTCTTATATTAAAGTTACGCTCCTCGAATGGTGACCCAAGAGTATCCTCGTTGGGATAAATTTGATATTAACAATCCAAGAGCATTGATTATCGGTGAATCGATGGGAAATATTAGTTTTCTCAAGACAAAAGAAGCAGAATTTTGGTCGAAAAATTTGAAAAACTTATCCGGAATTAATCCTCACGTCTTAGCTCGTATTCGTCAAGCTCGTCCCTTGTATAAAACTCTTGCTTGGACCATGATTGGTGTTAGTCTTTCGCTTCTGATTATGGTCATCTTATTGTTATCGATACTATTTTACCAAAGGAAAACGGCCAATTTCAGAGCGGCATTAGAGAATGGTTCGAGTCACATTTCCACCGGCTCTTCTGGCCTTTATTAGAGACATTGTATTAAATTAAAAACTCTTTGCCAATAATATAAATTTTCCTTTCTTTCATTCTATCAAATTAAATTGTTTTACTAATTTCTTTTCTTTTTCAATCAACTCAATTTACTCCATTAGAACCTGATATAAGTAAAACCATTTGGAATGACTATTTTGGACGGAATCGATTCCTACCACGAAGCAATCCAACGATATCTTCAATGTTCATCAGTTCCCCGATTGTCTTTAATACTCCAAATCACTTTGATTCAATTCCCGAATCGTCATCAGTTGGATCAAGTGGTGATCTTGACAAATAATTAAGGTGTTGAACGAATTAAATTGTCCAAAACTGTACATTATATGATCAATTTACAATAAAATTCAAATCACTTTTTATATATATGATATAAAATTACATGTAGTCATTTATTGATTTGATTAAATAATTTTCACAATAAATCTAACTGTTAATAGCAATTGAAATGAAAAGAAATAATTAAGTTTAATAAAAAGAAATTGTATATCTGACTAATTGTAGATTTTATCGTAAAACTGGTTGATTAAAATTAATTATTATTATGATGATTCTATGTTGGGATGAGTTTTCTCTGGAAGAGTTAATCGATTAGCTGATGTTGTCAACATTACATTAGTTATATTGGTCTGATTTAGATTAATTTGATTGTTCAACGATTCTGGTTCATAAACAACATTCGGATCGATGAATAAAATGTAATACCAAACACCAATCAATCCTCCTACATGAGGTCCAATTACAGCGACCAACCACCAATAGTTAGTTGAAAGTGGCCTGAGAAAAGTTTGGAAAATTGATTAGTACCATTTAATCGTTGCAATTAAATTGTTCTTACTTGAATACTTCCATTCCATAGCCAGCAACTGAAGCGAATACCCTTGGGCCAAGATCTCGAGCGGGATTCAAAATGGCTCCTGCATTGTAATTAAAAGCAATTACGATTCCAGTGATAACTAGAGTAAAGTAAAGCGGGTGAATTGATCGAGCTAATTTAGGTCCATCGGCGGCAAGGATAGCGAAGGTCAGTAATCCAGTACAAAGAATCTGATAAATTGTGGATTAGAAAAAAGAAAAAGATGAATATCGAATTCCCGTTATTAATTTACCGTTACAATCTATTGAATTCTAAAAGAGTAATTAACAAAATAAGCTGATGAAACTTGAGATAATACAAGTTGATTGACCTCACGAATACAAAGTTAATTGTATTAGTTATGATGGTTGATTGTGGCTCTAAATTAAATTTTTCACTAATTGAAATCTCTTTAGTTTTGGTCTAATGTTTAAATTCAATTGTTCCTTTTGATAAAAATAAATAAATGACTTCCGAAAATGATTAACTGATTGTTGTTATGATTACCTGATCTGTTAAAGCAGCGGTGAGGGAAACTCCTTCACCAGGGAAAGTGGTATAAACCGAGGAGCCATTCTGAGTGAAACCAGGATCAAATTCATTAACGACATCACCGTAAATGAGCCAGGTCACTAATGCCGCTAAAAAGGCTGCGATATACTGAGCGGCAAAATAGTAAGGAACCTTTTTCCAGGGTAATCGTCCGATTGAGGCCATTGCTGTTGAAACTGCAGGATTAAGATGAGCACCTTAAATGTAATCGATTAATTATCCAATCAATAATCAATAATGATCACAACAAAAGAAGAAGAAGAAGAAGAAAAAGATTAACACATTAATTAGAAAATAACAATTCTCGATAATAATCAACCGAGAGAGAGAAAATTTTTTTAGGTATTATTAGCATATTAATGAGAAAGATATTTATGTCAATTGTCACCTAAATTATTGACTAAATTAATCAATAGAATCTAGTTAACAGTCAACAATAAATCTAATCAATAATCTATCAGGTTTTGAGGTTTAGATGATTTTCAATCACTCGGTGGACAATTAATCAGGTCTCGTAATTGTTGAATTGTGTTTGTCCTGCAAATTAGCTCGCAAAAGTGTGTGTGACTAGATTTTCCTGTTAATTGTGAAATTTAATCCAACGACAATCAACTAATTATTACCTGAGACATCGAGAGAGGCAGAAATGCCGATCAAACCTCCGACTCCGAAGCAAAAAGCGGCAGCAAATGTGTCCATAGTTTCGTGTCTCGCTTTGTAAACAACATGACAAGCAAATCCAAAGATCTGATTGTCACAATTAGAATGTTAATTTTAAGCTTGACAATTAAATCAAATCAACTTACCAATAAAATAAATGTTCCAGTTAATTCAGCTAAAAATTCACGAAACATTTGATTAGAATGCCAATTTTTGAACACAGGGACCAAAGCCCCGAACATCAATTGGGACTTTAATTTAGCCATTAGTTGATTGTTAATCTTTGTTAATTAGTCTCAAAAAGGTAAACATAATGATAATGATGAGGAGGAGATTGTAAACCTAATTGGATTAGAAGCAAAGAAAAGAATCAAATTAAAATTAAAATTCGGAAATTGTAATTGTAATTGTAACACTAATCGAATCCTTGATTAACTTTCATTGTCTTTTTTTCTTGATTGTTGGACTTTCTAACAATTTAATCATTCAATTAATTTGTGAATAAGTTAAGAAATGGTGAAAATTAGACACAACTCACGCTGGGAACTTAATTGTTGTCAGAAATTCATCTAAATTGTTTCGAAGGAATTAAAATGTAAACAAATTAATGGAAGTTGTTGTTTTGTCACAACACATAAGACAAGATGATCTTCTTGAAAGAAGTGAATTAAAATTGATTGTTAATTGGCACAATTAGAATTAATTTTGTTTCTCAACGTCAACAGTTAACTGATACAATGTGAATTTCAGTTATTCAAAAAGTTCATATTTACTGAGCAAATCACAGAACTGAAAACATGATGTAATTCCCTATGAGGTGGTTACATCATATTCTTGTGTTATTATTACACTTTTCGTAGTTTATTTATATCACATAAACAGAGGAAATAAATTTCAAGTTCTGACTTAATTGTTGACAAAAAAAAGACCTAAAAGACAATTAAAATCACCTTAATGTTGAAATTTACAAATGTCAATTAAAACAGTAAAATCAAAGGATTAACTCAATTGATTGGTAATATGAGTTAATCGTGATCAAATTGTGAGACATTGAAAGGATCAAATTGATGATGAAAGTGATCAAATCACAATTTAAATATTAAAACAAAAGTGATTAATTGTCAACTTGTCACGAGAAGTTAATTTTTATCTCATCCCAATTGTAATTTACATTTAATTCTGTTGATTTTATCTCTAATTATTACAATTGGAGACAATCAACAATAATTAGTACGAAACTTACCTAAGGATATAAATTGATTTCCTTTCAAGTGGTTTGAGGATACAAACATAATTTTTATGTTCAAATTTGATTAATCGGATTAGTGGTTAGCTAATCCAATTTTTTTGCGATGATTTTTTATTCATCATCTCAAATGGTTGATAATTAATTTATCATCATCATAATCATCTCGGTCTCACGTTAAGGATTTTCCATTCGTCACCTTGATTGATCTTGTTGATTTTTTGCCTTTTTGCTTTTTCTTTACACACATAAAAAAAACACTTTGGTGTTGATGATGATCAACTTAATCAAAGAGCAATCATTAAGCCGTGAAACATGATTACCTATTTGGATAAAATTTCCCATCAACAATCAGTTGTTGTCCATTTATCCTCCCAAGAGGCTATTTACTGGCAATTTCGGGAAACACGCGACGGATCATTATGTTAGTCTCTCTCTCTCTCTCCTTTTCAATTGTGATTGTTGATTGTTTTGTTAATTTCTCTCAACAACAAATCTCATCTTTCTCAATTTCTGTTTATATCTGTTGATTGAGATATAATAGTCATCACATAGTTGAATTAATTTATTCATTGGAATAGGCGAGAGATATGATGATGACACTGATGATCCTGATGATGAGGACATTTAACCTTCAAGTGTAACACAATGACAAAGTGAGAGAGATAAAGTCAGAGGGATAACAGTTGATGATGGTGGTAAACATTGTCTATTGTAATATTTTAACAATCATCATCATCATCATCACAGAGAGAGAGAGAGAGAGAGAAAAGGGAAGATGATAAATTGCACCCAATTGGATATTCCAGTTAAACTCCTAACCATCCATGGTTTTCAATAAGTGAATAAGATGAAGATGATGATTCCTCTGGTTCATATTCAGTTAACTGGTGGTGATGGATAAAGATGATAACAATTCTGATGATGATGATGATGATGAGATTTATAGGTATCTGGAGACACTTTTCACAATATTAGAAGTATTTTTCTTCTTCATCTTCTTTTCTGTTAAACTGTAAATGTCTGTACAGTTGCGATAGTTATGGTTGAAATGGAAAGCAAGTCAACTGGAAAATGGTAACTTGTTGGTCTCAATGGTTTCACTTAACACCAACATCGATTGTGTCACCAAATCAAACGAATTGTAATAGAAAAACAAATTGAAAATGATCACTTTTTTATCTACCACTTTCTCCATCAACATGGTTATGCTTCGATCAACAGTTAAATTTAATTAACCTTCTAAATCATCACAATGATAAAGATAAAATCATCATAATTGTAAGTATCTTTTTCTTTTTCTCATCAATTTCTCTTTTTTTTCCATTTTCTATTCTAACGACTTTAAGTCTCCATTTTTTTTCTTCTCCTTTTGGAGAAGAAGAGAAAAAGATTAACCCAATTATTCACTGGAGACACTTTGTCATTGTGATAATTCAATTTTCTTCTCTATTTATCTTTGATTTTTTTGTTCTTTTCTCATTTACATGAGACATTCAATTGGAATTTTCATCTTTCTCTTTGTTTTCCAACTTTAGTTCTTCGCAATGGTTAGTCGCCATTTTGTTTACTTCTCTCTCTGGATTTTTTTTTCGTTCTCACTTTTTCATTTGGTAATGATGATGATGGAATTGGTTCCATGGCCAAGGAATTAGGTGATAATTGAACATGAATGAAATTCATCCATTGGATGAATTTGAAGGCAGGTGAATATCATGAGATGTTCTCGGAAGCAGGTGAGATACTTACACTTAATATGATAACTTAACTGTCAACATTTTCGCCACCCTGAGTATTTATGTCGTGTGATGTGTGTGGTTCCTGATCATTATCATCATCATCATCATATGAAACATTAGCATTTATAAAACGATTGCATGTCAATTTAGTCCATAGATTAGTTTATGTTGATCAATTTTGGATTTGCTCACCTTTGACAAGGTAAATGTTGATCATTTCTCATCACATGTATTAACTTTGAACAGAGGAAAAGACAAGAGATGATTTACTTTTTTCTCGGTATGCTTATTAATCCCTTTAATCCCTTTATCGTGATTATATCACCAATACCAGTACCAAATTTGCGTGATTTAAGTTAATCAACAAGGAAAAAAAGTTCAACAACAAAATCAAGTTAATCCAAAAACAACACTTTCTTTTTAAAATATCGATTATTAGATTCTTGAAATTGACCAAAAAAATATCAAATGTATCAATGTTTTAATCATCCAAAGAAAATCTCTGATTAATATTGTAAATGTAAATTCAGTTCATCGTTTAATTCACAACTTCTAATAACAAGATAATAGGAATTTGATTGACTGGGAGTTAAAATGATGAGATTATGATGATGATGATGTTGAGCTTTTCTTTTCATCCTCCTCCCTCTTTCGTACGGTCAATAATCTGCAAAGATGATGATGATTTTTTTACGATAGAAAATGATGATGATGATGAAAGAGGAATAAATGATGAAGGTGATAGAGTTAAAGTGATGCGGATGCGCTACACTTTCGATCTGCTTATAGGATACACCTTTGATCCGCTTTACGCATACATCTTCATCTTCATCTTCATCCTCATCTTTATCATTCTCTTTCTTTATTTCCTCTCTCTCTCCTCCTTCATCATCCATTTCATCACTTGCTCCCTCGGTGTATCACCGTATAGGAAATAACTTTTTTTCCGCATCAAAGTTAACTCACTTTTCACCTTAACACTTGACCTTCCGCATCCTCTTTTCATTAGATCAGTTGAACATTTTCACTTTCTTTCCACATCGGATAAGTAACAATTTCTCATCAAAATCATCTAAAAATTGTCTAATCTCGTTTTCATTCACCTTAACAATTAACCTAATTGTCTTAATTATTTACATCTTCAATCTTCCAATCATCTAAATCTAATATTATCAATGCCACATACGGGTAAGATTTTCAATCTATTTAATTTATTGATTGTCTATTAAGCTTCTTTCTCTGTAATTAGCTAATTATCACTGATTCAAATTTGCTCTGATTCTTGATTTAGTTTCATTGATTAATTATTTTTCCTTGGTTAGTTGTAATTTCTCAACTCATTTAGATAATTTTTTTTTTGAGATCGAAATTGAAGTTTCGTTGAATGAATATCTCATGTATTGATTGATAGTTTAATATAATTTAGATAGACTTAATTAACTATCAGTAAGGTTGATGTAAATTGTTCAGTTGATTGTTGAAACAATTGAAACTTATTGTCAAGTGGAAATGCTGAGTGAATGTATTAAGTTATAGATTCAATTCCAAGTTATATAATAACTGGGAGTGAATCTTCATGATATAACCTATAGAACTTGGAACTATTCCTATTATCATGAAGAAAAGAGAATAGAAAAAAAAATTATTACTAAATGGAGATGATTAACTGATTTCATATGATATCGAATTGGCTTGGAAGAAAAAAGTTCCAACATGAAATCAATTCGAATGCTAATCAACCTTTACTTTCATGATTCTCATTACGATTTCAAGTTAATCATCAACCGAATCTGAATCATATTATTCTTAGGATTGAATTTTTTTCTTTTAGATGATTAATAAAAAATAATCGCGATTAAAATGTTGATTGTAACTCATAAGCTAATCTCTCAAATGGAACATGATTTAGTAACAATTTAGCTTTTCCGTTTCAATGATAACCCTAAATAAGATTCATTTTATTTATGATTACAAGTTGATCATTAAAGATGATTTTTTATTAGATTTGATTATGATTATTGTTATGATTATGTTGTTGTGGTCAATTGATTGCATACACACAACTAAATAGCTGTAAAATGATTAAAGCTAATCAGTGTTACTTTATCAAATTGGATTAAGTTAACCATAAACAATGAGAGAGGGAAACAATTTGCTGTATTAATACAAGAATCAGGAAAAGTAAAAGTTAATTTTTCTTGTCATTTTTTTGTTGTTGTTGATTGTCCAGTTTTGTTTATTGTTGACACTTTTTTTTCTTGGTGATTCACTTATACAGGACAAGCTGGAATCAATCAATTGGGTGGACTATTTGTTAATGGTCGTCCATTACCATTACATGTTCGTCAACGGATAATTGAACTGGCCTTAATGGGAGTAAGACCTTGTGATATTTCCCGACAATTATTGGTCTCCCATGGATGCGTTTCCAAGATATTGACTCGATTTTATGAAACTGGATCAATCAAACCAGGTAACAAATTTCTCGTTCTTTCAATTGTTATTAGTGAATTCATTGGTTCTGTGATGTTAATTACGATTGTTGTTGATTAGGTTCAATTGGAGGTTCTAAACCTAAACATGTAACAACTCCAAATATTGTCAAGAAAATATTGAAGTTAAAGCAGGAAAATCCCGCTCTCTTTGCATGGGAGATTCGGGATTTACTTCGTCGTGAAATTTTACAATCAAGATCTGGTGATTCAAATAGTTACAATCAAGATATTAATCTGAGTGTACCATCAATTTCATCGATTAATCGTATCATCAGAACTGGAACTGAAAGTCGAGAAACTTATGGTTCAAATTCTGGAAACAATGTTACCTTTACGGGTTCAAATGGGACTGGAATAAGTTCTGGATGTGGTGTAAATTCATTTAATCATGTAATCTCATCTTCATCTAATTCATTTGACTGGAATTCAACTGTTGTTTCATCTAATAAACATGTAACTATGAATACAGCAGCTTCTTCATCATCTTCATCCTCATCTTCAATCTCATCTTCATCTTCGATATCACGAATAGTTAATGTTTCACCGGTTCGATTATCATCAACTGATTATCAGCATCTTTTGAATGTTCAACAAGGATCTGAGAGAGAAGGAGGAAGAGGAGGAGGAGGACAAGGAGACGGGAATGGGAATCAAGATCATGGTCATGGTGGAACAGAGGTTAAAGGTAGTGATTCTAAACGAGTATGTGAATTTAGAAATTGTAGTTTTAATCAACCAAAGAAACGGAGGAAATTCACTTCATTCAATATTGATGATATACTCAAAAGTGATGATGATCAAGTTGATTATTGTGTTGGGAACATGAATGTTGAACCGATAACTGTGGCCGCAGCAGCAGCGGCAACAACAGCAACAACTTGGTTAGTTAATCACTATTATCAAATTCATCCGATTAACAGGGAATCCAATGAGAATGTCCCAATTACACCAACATCTTTCTGGAATCCAAAGTAATTTAAACATTGCAATTAAACATTAGGAAGGATGAGGAAAATCAGAATTTAGAATCTAGAGTGAAATTTGTAATTCTCCATTTATGTTAACTATATTACCTTTCCCATCGTAAATTGTGTACATTATGTTAAGTTCAAAAATAAAATCTTTTAAACTTATATTCGTTTCGATAAAATTTGAATCTTTAATCAACCCCGAGAGATTCATTAATTAACGTGATTGTATATCAAGATATAATTTTTTTTCCTCTTTTTTATTGGTCTCTTATATTGGTGAGATTTTGACTGGTTCACTAATGAAATGTATTAACAAGTAATTCCTTGGATACATTGTTGTTTACTGTCTAGGGAAGATAATATATCATCTAAATCAAGTGGAATAATTTATAAACCATAGTAAATTACAGGGAAATCGGTTGACATGATTGAACTGGAGGAGAAAAAAAAATGAATAAGAAAATCACTTGTCAAAATTGTCTAACCAATAAAGAGAGAGAAGATTGATAAAGGAGGCATTCCTTCATCGGTTCCTTGATTAAATCCAAAGTAAAGTACCAAAGGTAAGAATCCATATTGGAAACAAAATCTAAATAGATTTAAAAGTGAAGCCAATTTTCCTCCTCTTCGTGATGGGAACATGATGACAATGGAATATCAATAATTTCCTTCAAATGAATTAAACCTACAAAAGAGAAAACAAATCAACACATAAGTGAACACAGTCAAAGAATAGGAAATTATTTCATCTACTTACTGACAAAAAGAACAATTAAAACAAAAGCACTTTTTAATAACAACAATTAACAAATGTGCTCTTTGAAAATCAGGCAGTACAAGTGTCCATCAACAAATGGAATAGATATTATCAGATGTTAGTATCCGATTCTATCGAATCCTAAGCTGAAACATAAGCCAAGAAAAAAATCAGCTCGAAGTGAAAATGTTGAGCTGATCGACTCACCTCATTTTGTTGATTGTTTTTGATTTTTTTCTGTTAATTATCTTCATCAATTAAAGATGAATTTCTTCAATTATTGTTGTGTAACATCATGGAGAAGAATCTCAACAACGGCTTCTCTTTGGGCAGAACCAATGAAAAAGAAACGACGAATTGATCCAATTTTATTGAAATTGAGAAATGAGAGGAAAGTTAAACGTTTGGAGAAAAATATTCTGAAAATTGAAAGAGGAGCAAAACAATTAAAACCAATTGTTGAACTTTCTCTTCCCCCTCATGTTCAAAAAGAAATGGAAATTCGAACCCGTGCCACTTGTGATTCCAATGCTGAGACCAATTTTCGTAAACTATTAAGATTATGGAATGTGTATCGGACTTACCAAAGTAGATCGGAGTATCGATGTGCCAGAGGATTAATTGCATCTCAGGAGAAAGCTCTAGATGAGTTAAAGAAAGTTTCGCCTCATCTTTGGGCTCAGGCAATCGGATTTGATCAAAATCTAATTCCTTATATTGAGAATCAAACTGTCAAAACAACACCAGCTAATCCAAATTACACACCGCCTGATGGACACATTAAAGAAACAACCAAAGAATGGAAACTCTAATTATGTAAACTGTTTCGATTGGCTTTACTTTAAATAACAAATGTAAAATGAAGTATTGTGTTGAATAGATTTAAGAAGATTCAGATGTCATATTTTGAATTTCATCAATTTCTCATTTTTTCGATTTGCAATATGAGCTTCGATTATTGTCCCAAACTCTTTCCTATTCAAAAGCTCATAAGAAGTATCGAGCAAGAAGATTGTCAATCTGTTAAAAAACTCGTGGCCAAAACAGAAAAGATCAATTCCTAACTCCAAAGTCATTCCAAAGTCACATTCGTCATTCGCTAAATTAGTTAAATTGACAATTTCTCTCAGTGATTCGTGAGCTTTGCTCCTCTGTCGATCCTCTTCTGGAATATTAACCAGCTTCAACAGTAATTTTTTGAGATTTTCTGGATTAAAGATATTAATTATCAAAAGTCAATCTTTACATGTTTTATCATCAAACTTACGATCAGATTCAGGTAAAGGTCGGTAGCCGACACCTTTTTGAAATGGGACAACAATTCCAGCGCCATGGAAAGTTTTGGTGACAATTTTTTTCTTCCTTTGTTTGATCTCATCGTTTGTTAGAAAAATGTTGTTTTTTTCAGCATAATTTTTAATTTTTTCAATCATTTTTTCGGAAGCGATCTTCTTTTTACCTCCTAATTTTCTACTTTTGGCCAAATCCTCACTTTTTGATAGAGAAAAGAACGGATTAAAACATTAATTTAATTGTAAAATAATTGTATCTTACCAATGAGCCAATAGGCCTGAAAAAAGGTTGTCACCAAGTGGATTGATAAGACATGATTTATCTGGATCATTTGAAACCACCATGGAAGGTATTTCAGAGGGCGAGTCTCTATGATTAAAACAAAATATCTAAGTGATAATGATTCTACATCTTTTATAAGAATATTTAAATTTACCTGAAATACCCAATGTGAAAATTGGACTTTGGGTCACGAAGGACAGTTTGAAGCTCCGGGACATCATAAAAGAAACGATAGTAACATAAAATCATATTTGGATCCGTTTGATCCAGAGTTTGATCGTTCAATTTTCCATTAATTAAATCGAAAGGTCCAACTAGAAGAAGATCAAGTTCATCCAATGAACCTAAAACAAAGGATGAAAAAATGAGCTACAAAGAAAATAATAGAAAGAAAATAAAAATAAATTCACCTGTTGGATTGAGAGGATTTAATGATGAACAGAAAGCCCAAAACTTGAAAAAATCTTCCGGCATTGAAACAAGAAAATGTTTCTTTATTTTCTCGTTGATTTGCTTAGAATCAATTGATTTCGATTTTTTGAACATTTCAAAATTCAACACGAATGTAAGAGTAAATGTAGATAATCAACAAAGATGAGTTGAAGAAATGTGAAGTTTACTAAAGACCAAGACATGAACAAGATAAGTGTGTCTTTTAGTCGAAAATCACGTGAGTTACTTTTTTTTTCTTCTCACATGTTAACTTGTTTTTAAAAGGAAGAAAGTGAAATTTGAGTTGTCTTGATTGTTAATTTATTTTAATTTTAATATTATTGTTTTATTCCCTATCAAAATGGTTAAACTTGATGCTAACATGTTGAAATATTTGGAAAGTGATGATTTCCGGGTTATCACTGCAGTGGAAATGGGAATGAAAAATCATCAACTGGTTCCTGGATCATTGATAAGTTCAATTGCTGGTCTACGTGGTGGTGGAACATCTAAAATTTTGAACAATTTAACTAAAAATAAATTGTTAGTCTATGAACGAGGTAAAAAATATGATGGATATCGATTGAATTTCCATGGTTATGATAGTCTTGCCCTAAATGTTTTGTCTCGACGTGGAGTTGTCAGTCATCTTGGTAATCAAATAGGTAAATTATTTTTTATGTTACTTTTATTTCTTTTATTTCTTCTTCTCCTTGTTTACAGCTTGAATGATTTAATATTTTGTCTGTAATTTTCATCTTGTTTATTTACTTAGGTGTTGGAAAAGAGTCGGATGTTTATATTGTTGGCAATGAAGAAGGAGAAAGATTTGCTATGAAACTGCATAGACTTGGTCGTACATCTTTCAGAAAAGTTCATGATAAAAGAGACTATCATCATCATGGCAAAGTCAACAATTGGATCTACATGTCCAGGCTTTCAGCTGCCAGAGAATTTTCATTTCTCAAGGCTCTCCATGAAAGAGGATTCCCAGTTCCCAAGCCGATTGATATTAATCGCCATTGTATTGTCATGGAGCTTATTAATGGAACTTTGTTGAATCATGTGGCCGAGCTTGAAGACAAAGCTACTATTTATGACAGCCTAATGAATTTGTTGCTTTCTCTTGCTAATGATTATGGTGTTGTTCATGGTGATTTCAATGAATTTAATATCATGATTGACAATGAAAACTTAACACCTATTCTAATTGACTTTCCACAAATGATTAGTACTAACCATAAAATGGCAAGGGAATATTTCCAACGAGATGTTGAATGTGTTGTTAACATTTTCAAAAGAAAATATCATTTTGAAAGTGAAGATATTCCAAATTTTGATCGTGATGTGATCATCGATGAAAAAGAAGAAGGAATAATCGGAAATTTATCAACAGAAGCCAATGAATTTGAACCAGTTATAAACAATGATCTTAGTGATTTAGATGACAATTCCGTTTTACCAGGAACTTCAGAATCAATCTCCAATGAAGAGAATCCACTCAATATTGCTGGTTCAAAAGTTGGAACTTATTCAGTCGCTGGAAGTACTTTTACCACCGAGATGATTAAAACAAAGTTGCAGAATGAGTTCGCAAGTCGTTCAAGACGAGAGGAATTAAAGAAAGCGTCCAAAAGTATCAAGGGAGAGGATTCAAGAGTTCGAAGACAAAGACGTGATAATGATGCAAGAATCAGAGATGACAAAGCTTTAGGTAATTCTGATTGGTTTGTTAATCAGTATAAATAATGAAAGTTGTTCATCAATATATTGATTGATTGTCCAAATAAAATTGTAAATGAATTCTGTAAAACAATTGTATTGTTATATTTTTCTCGCACTAAAAGTTTCAATGCTCATTCAACCTTTGATCAGAAATGAAATCTAATCAGTCTCATTTTCCTTTTAATTATACTTCAAATGGTCGACTAATTAAGTATGAAAAAAATGGAAGATAATTGATTTATGATAAAACGTCAACTTGTAATTTATTTAATTGTAAATTTATTGTTTAATATCAGAAACATTGGTTACAGTTTCAAATGAATAATTAAAGAAACTTGAAAATTAATTAAACTAAAGGAGATCAATTAGAGTGAGAGCTCAAAAAGATGAGCTTAATTGTGATAAATTAATAGATTGTAATCAATGAGAAGCTAATTGTAAATCGATTTCAATCCAGATAATGGCAATGGTTAATTCACATGATTAGATTAAATAGGATTTAGATGAAACAATTAAGTATAAAAGTCAAAATAAGAAACCATTTAAAAAAAAGATATTGATGAACTAAAGAAGATCATGATAAAGATCAATCAATTGAGTTTAAATGTAGGAATTAAATTATCAATAATTGAAGAAGAAAAAACATCATTGACAATCAGAAAGTCATGTTGATGTTTAAAATTATCAACTTAATAAAATGATACAAATAATGACATGAATAGAGTGAGACTTGATTACTTCAGGTTGATTAAAATGACAAAAGTGCTTAGTTAATTTAGATGATTAGAACGATTTTTTAGCCTAAAAATGGAGAGTAAATTGATAATTGACAAGGATACGAAATCGAATTGATGAGCAAGATAAATTTTCGATCTATTGAGGATAATCGTAGAAGTGTCGAGCACCTCCGAGAGTAGAATTACGTTTTTCTGTACCAACTGGTATTTTCGAGTAAGCAGTCGGAAGTTGACCATTGAAAGAATCTTCGAAAGGTTTAGAAGCAACTAGAGACATTGTCTTATCATGGTCAACGAATCGTTGAACTGTTCCAAAAGTGGTTCCAGTGGATCGATTGTAAGCCAAAGTTCCTGCTTGAGATGCTTGACAAAATTCAAAGTTTGTCTTGGCCATGGCTTCAAGTCGAGCCTTTTTCACAAAGACAAAAGCAATAACAATAACAATAATGATCGAGGCAACACTGATGGTGATAGCGGGAAAATAAACCATAGCACCAAAAGATGATGACATTGACCCATGAACTGGACCAGCACCTCCTAAAAGTGAGGTCGAATCGTAAGATGAACCTGAGAATGTTAAATCATTAAGAGATCGACCAGTTTTAGAGGTTATTATTTGACTCGGATCACTGATGCCATGTTCATTTGAAGCAGTAATGTAGAGCTTATAAATTGTCGATGGATTAAGTGAGGTCAAAGTGTATTCATTGACCTCTTTACCATCATAGGTTAATGCTAATTCCTTCCAGTCGGGTTCATCAAATTCTTTGAAATGTAATTGAATCAATTGAACAGAATCCGTTCCAGAAGTAACATTGTATTTCAAACTAAGACTGTCTGGTGTTGTCGATAGGACTTTAAATCGAGGTGAGGGCGGAACATTGCCCAAAGGGTTTCAGCCAAGATTTCCTGATACTCAGGTCCACTTCCAGCTGAATTATAAGCTTTGACTGTGATCGCATAAGTTGTTCCCTTGACCAATGAGGTTAGCAAATATTCATAAGTGTGGTTGTGAGAAGCAGCATCAATCGTTTTCAGAGAGTGCGGTGTCTTGAAGTCACCCGCTCGTCGATAGCCAACATAATAGCCCAAAATTTTGCCGTTCCATTTATCTCGAGACGGTGGTTTTCACGAGACTCGAATAGTAGTTGGTCCAGTAACGGACAATATAACCTAAAATGGGTGAAGCATTGGACGACGGGGCTGCCCAGTTAAGGCTTACACTTCGAGACCAAGCTTGGCGAATCATCAAGTTCTGAGGCGCAGGTGGAACTTCAATAATAGTAAGATTTGTCTGGATAATTAGAAACAACCATGGAAAGTATTTCAGAAGGTGAATCTCTATGGTCGAACAATGATAAACATTCATGAAAATTTACTTTTTTAATTAAGTGGATCTAATGATGAACAGAAAGACCAGAATTTGAAAAAAATCTTCAGGCATTAGAACAAGAAAATGTTTCTTTATTTTCTCATTGATTTGATTAGAGCCAATAAACTTTGACTTTTTGGTGAACATTTTAAAAATCAAATCAAATCAAAAGTAATTGCAGAATCTACATTTTGATTTACCATAGACGCTGATTAGATTTTGAAAATGACCTCTAGATTACATTAAGGACTTGTTTAAGGTTAATTTTTGGATTAATTACTATTAACTTAATGACAGAATATGTAAGTTAAACCATAAGATTGCGAAAATAAGTTGGAATTAAATTTAACATCAAATAGATTAATTATTTTAATCCAGAACTTTTTCTTTCCGAAGAGAAAGTTCTTGAGGATTATCGAGTAGCCGATTATTTACTTGGTTTGGATGAACCAAACTGAGCCGTAGGTTCAGTGAATGGAAATCGACTGAAATCTTCCGATGAAAGATATTTTTTGATCCCAGGCAGAGCCTCAATTCGTGATAAATAGTTGTTAATTGTTGATACATTTTCGTCTTCCAATTTACTTGAATCATAGAGACGAATGTAGTCCAAAATTGAATACAGCATAAAGTCAACGTAAGTAATACGATCACCCATCAGGTATTGATTTTTACCGATAAATTTTGCGAGTTGAGATAATTTAACAGGTAAATTAGCTGATAATTTACCTTCTAACTGTTTAAATGCCTCTTTGTCTCTAGAGTACCAAACTTCAGCACAGGACGCATCTAATTCAACTGTAAATTGTTCAGCAATGTCCAATTTAGTAATTTCCTCAAATGATTTACCAACCAATCCATGTTTTCGAGCTAAGTATCGTAGTATAGCCACAGTCTGTTTGATAATTAAATTAGATTTTGATTAGATGATAGAGAAAACAAAGATTGGGTTGATCAAATTCCCTTTATCATAGACCAACAGACAATTAATAAATTCAATAGAATAATTAACTGAGTAACTTACCTGAGTGATTTTAACACCTTCGTCCTTGTCTATGTAATAAGGTAAATTAGGAAAGTCAAGGTTGAGATTGAATTTCTCGTCAAGCCATTCACTCCGATCGAAATCAGGCTCAGGTCCAAAAGAGTAGCTTTTCATTTCGTACTCTTGACCAACATGAGCTAATAATAAGCGAATAGGTTCACAGAGGCCTCGAAACTTCCAATAGCCAAGAACTGGAGCCATAATTAGATCAACGGTCTAAATGCAACACAAAACGAAAACTCTAGTTTATCAAATCTTCTGATACAATAACAATGAAAGAATCACTAAGTTTTTAACTGATTGAGTTCTTGTTTTAGATACGCAATATTATGGATGGGTGAGGCTCTAGGGTAACACGATTCAATTTGTTCATAGATATGTTCAGTTGAGGTGCTTGAAGCACCTGGAAAAAGGTAGAAGACAAAACTAAAATCCAATAGATGGCAGGGTTCGTTCAAATTTGAGAGTCTGACCAAAGAGTAATAGAAGTAAATTTTTACCTGAACAGTTCAGGCTGAACTGAATCAGATTAGTTTTCTAGATGATTAAGAAAAAGTTTCAGCTCTACAAGTAGTCAGATTAATTTCAAGTTTAGTAAACAATCAGTTGATCTTAATCACTCTAGTCAATGTTATTAAAGTCGTAGACAAACCAATTTAATCAATTTGTTTAATTAACTCAAGGTGTAGACTGATTTTGATTGTTGATTATTAAATTTAGTTACCGATCAATAATTTGTTCATCATTTTGGGATGATGGTTGAATTATAAGATGATTTGACAATTATTACTCTTTGGTTCTGACTGTATCGTCTTTCCGGCTCAAGATTTGTCCGTAAGCTCAACTTTTGCAATTTCAGCTGACTTTTTTCGGCTTACGATTACAGCTACATATGGAAATTAACTTAATTGCTCAATTAATTGTGTTTGTTTAAATTGTTAGGTTAAATAATAAAAGATTTACCTTCAATTGGAATACTTAATTTGCTCCAAAAATCTGGTGATGTTCAATGTTCCCCAATTCCTGGACCTCAACACTAATCATTTGCTACTCGATTTGCTGACTATCCATTAAGTCCCGAAGTTGGTGAAGGTCCATATTTCATTGAAGAAGATATCATTCGGTCCAATATTATTGAAGATCGCGAAGGGACATCTCTCAATCTTACTTTAAATCTAATTGATTTCGCTACATGTAAACCAATTGAAGGAGTAAAAGTTTACATTTGGCAACCCGATTACTCAGGTAATGTTATTGTATCACTTTTCTTTCAAAATTAAGACTTAATGATTTACTTTTTCATTTGTGTTAACATAATTTCAGGCATTTACTCGGGATTCATGGATAAGGCAAGGATAAAACGAGAAAAAATGTATCCCAAAGATGCCAGAAGATTCTTACGAGGAGCTCAAATAACCGACGACAATGGTACAGTCTCTTTCGAAACACTATTCCCAGGACATTATCCAGGACGAACACCTCATATTCATTATCGAGTCCACACTAAAAATGGAAACGTCGCTCATATCGGTCAAATATTTTTCGACGAGTTCACAAGTAACATTATCCATTCAACGTTCCTTACAATACAAGTCCCGTTAAGCTTAGCGATAAATCCGATCAACCTTTGATTAGAAATGAAATCTAATCAGTTTCATTTTTCCTTTTAGAATTAGCAATTAATTGATTTATGATAAAAACTCCAACTTGTAATTACTTGGTAAGACTTGTAAGAAGTGCCGAGCATCTCCGAGAGTAGAATTACGTTTTTCTGTACCAACTGGTATTTTCGAGTAAGCAGTCGTAAGTTGACCATTGGAAGAATCTTCGAAAGGTCCAGCAGCAATTAGAGACATTGTCTTATCATGATCGACGAATCGCTGAACTGTTCCAAAAGTGGTTCCAGTAGATCGATTGTAAGCCAAAGTTCCTGCTTGAGATGCTTGACAAAATTCAAAGTTTGTCTTGGCCACGGCTTCAAGTCGAGCCTTTTTCACAAAGACAAAAGCAATAACAATAACAATAATGATCGAGGCAACACTGATGGTGATAGCGGGAAAATAAACCATAGCACCAAAAGATGATGACATTGACCCATGAACTGGACCAGCACCTCCTAAAAGTGAGGTCGAATCATAAGATGAACCTGAGAATGTTAAATCATTAAGAGATCGACCAGTTTTAGAGGTTATTATTTGACTCGGATCACTGATGCCATGTTCATTTGAAGCAGTAATGTAGAGCTTATAAATTGTCGATGGATTAAGTGAGGTCAAAGTGTATTCATTGACCTCTTTACCATCATAGGTTAATGCTAATTCCTTCCAGTCGGGTTCATCAAATTTTTGAAATGTAATTGAATCAATTGAACACAATCCGTTCCAGGAGCAATTTCGTATCTGTTGTTTCAAACTTAATTGTTCCAAAGGATTTAATGAAAGGTTAACCGATTCCAACCTCATTGAGAGCGATAACTTTTCTCCTCTGACAAAACAAATGATGAAAATGAATAAATTTGATTTGATTATCGGTTTGGTTTTAATTGTTCAATTGTCTAATTGGTTCTGCTAAAAGGATTTTAAATAGGAATGATACAACTTTGATATTAATTGAATTCCCTAATAACTTGTAACATTGTTTATTGGTTAAATTTGTTGGGAATTTAAAATTATCTGGGAAACACATTAGATTAGCAACTTCTCTTGGTGTAAAGTAACGTAACTTTAAATCACAATTGATTGTTTTGTTAAATTGATTGCCGGTTGATTGTTTGTCAGGTGAAATGTTCAACAACGACCCAGTTCCAGTAATCAGTGTACCATAGGAGCGGGTGAAACAACAGCTTTTAACACTTTCCATGTTAACAATATCCATGGCGGGTAAATATTTATCGACAATATTTTTGGGAACATTAAATTGATTGTAAATTAATTGATTATATTGTTCATCATTAGGATCATATTGTAGAAATTTTTTTATCCTTATTGGTTCATTGTTGATGGTTTCTTCTATGGGAACATTGATTGATAAATTATCTCGACAATGGAAACAAATTTGATCCAAATTAATCTCGGGAACATTCATGATGATGGAATCACTTTTAGGAATGATAAATGATGAAGATGCATTATTTTGATTTGGCAATTTAGCTAAAAGATAATATCTTAATCTGGTGTTGGGTATTCCAAATTGATTAGGTGATAAAAGAAATTCTCGAATCTCGTAACCACAATTAGTAAACACTTCCAGTGCGAGATCATGAGCTTTGGAGGTCTCGAAACCTTTTACATTTTCCAATAAAATCATTCGAGGTTTTTGTTTCCATTGAGGCCAAACATTGGTCATTAAATGATTAAAAGCATCAGATCTTAAATCATCCAGATCTTTTTTCAATCCTAATCTGGTAAATGGTTGACATGGTGGTGACATTGTTACCAAATCAATTGGTTTCTTTGTGATTTCATCCAATTTTAGAGCGGTAATGTTACGAGAGAGTAAATTGTTATCCGGAAAATTATAACGGTAAACACAATTAGCATTTGTATTTATATCAATTGCTGTTACATTCACTGGTGAATATAAATTACCTGCTCCAGATGATTGTAAAGCCAAATGCATACCACCAATACCACTGAACAATTCAAGTAAATTAAATTCACCAGGTGATTGTGAACAATAATCACACTTTTTCAAACAATTCATTTTCTCACAAACAAATGATCAACTAATCTTAATTTAGAACCAAAACAAAAGCAAACAAGCAATAAAAGAACCATGAAAATCAATAAGAAACAAAACCAATGAAAATATCACCAGAATTTGAGGAAAACTGTAATACAAAAAGAAAACAAATTGTCACAATTAATTGTTTTCTTTAAAAGGTAAACACATGGAAAAGATAAGTGTGACTTTTAATCGAGAATCACATGAGTCACTTTTTGTTTTCCTCTGAACAGCTGATCGACTCACCTCATTTTGTTGATTGTTTTTGATTTTTTTCTGTTAATTATCTTCATCAATTAAAGATGAATTTCTTCAATTATTGTTGTGTAACATCATGGAGAAGAATCTCAACAACGGCTTCTCTTTGGGCAGAACCAATGAAAAAGAAACGACGAATTGATCCAATTTTATTGAAATTGAGAAATGAGAGGAAAGTTAAACGTTTGGAGAAAAATATTCTGAAAATTGAAAGAGGAGCAAAACAATTAAAACCAATTGTTGAACTTTCTCTTCCCCCTCATGTTCAAAAAGAAATGGAAATTCGAACCCGTGCCACTTGTGATTCCAATGCTGAGACCAATTTTCGTAAACTATTAAGATTATGGAATGTGTATCGGACTTACCAAAGTAGATCGGAGTATCGATGTGCCAGAGGATTAATTGCATCTCAGGAGAAAGCTTTAGACGAGTTAAAGAAAGTTTCGCCTCATCTTTGGTCTCAGGCAATCGGATTTGATCAAAATCTAATTCCTTATATTGAGAATCAAACTGTCAAGAGCACACCAGCTAATCCAAATTACACACCGCCTGATGGACACATTAAAGAAACAACCAAAGAATGGAAACTCTAATTATGTAAACTGTTTCGATTGGCTTTACTTTAAATAACAAATGTAAAATGAAGTATTGTGTTGAATAGATTTAAGAAGATTCAGATGTCATATTTTGAATTTCATCAATTTCTCATTTTTTCGATTTGCAATATGAGCTTCGATTATTGTCCCAAACTCTTTTCTATCCAAAAGCTCATAAGAAGTATCGAGCAAGAAGATTGTCAATCTGTTAAAAAACTCGTGGCCAAAACAGAAAAGATCAATTCCTAACTCCAAAGTCATTCCAAAGTCACATTCGTCATTCGCTAAATTAGTTAAATTGACAATTTCTCTCAGTGATTCGTGAGCTTTGCTCCTCTGTCGATCCTCTTCCGGCAAATCAATCAGCTTTTTGAGTAATTTTCTAAGATTTTCTATGTCAATTAAAGATATCAATTAGTTAAAGCAAGGATAATGTTGTGTCATGAAACTCACGATCAGATTCAGGTAAAGGTCGATAGCCAACATCTTTTTCAAATGGAACAACAATTCCAGCTCCATGAAAGCTTTTGGTGACAATTTTTTTCTTTCTTCTTTTCATCTCATCGTTAGTTAGACTAATATTGTTTTTTTCAGCGAAACTTTTGATTTTACCAATGAGCTTTTCGGATGAGATCTTCTTTTTACCTCCTCTTTTGGCCAAATCCTCGCTTTTCGAAAGAGACAAGAATGGATCAAAACGTTAATTTAACTGTAAATAAGATATTTTTTTGGAAATAATTGCATCTCACCAATGAGCCAATAATCCTGAGAAAAGATTATCACCAAGAGGATTGATAAGACATGATTTATCTGGATCATTTGAAACCACCATGGAAGGTATTTCAGAAGGTGAATCTCTATGATTAAAAAAAATATCTAAGTGATAATGATTCTACATCTTTTATAAGAATATTTAAATTTACCTGAAATACCCAATGTGAAAATTGGACTTTGGGTCACGAAGGACAGTTTGAAGCTCCGGGACATCATAAAAGAAACGATAGTAACATAAAATCATATTTGGATCCGTTTGATCCAGAGTTTGATCGTTTAATTTTCCATTAATTAAATCGAAAGGTCCAACTAGAAGAAGATCAAGTTCATCCAATGAACCTAAAACAAAGAATGAAAACATGAGCTACAAAGAAAAAGAATAGAAAGAAAATAAAAATAAATTCACCTGTTGGATTGAGAGGATTTAATGATGAACAGAAAGACCAGAATTTGAAAAAATCTTCAGGCATTGAAACAAGAAAATGTTTCTTTATTTTCTCATTGATTTGATTAGAGTCAATTGATTTGGACTTTTTGGTGAACATTTTAATAACAAAACAAATCAGAATTTTGATGAAGCGAAAGAGCAAATGATGAAACTTTTCAGAAAAAGAAAACAAGTTGTGACAATTGTTTTGTTTACTTTTTTTCTTTGAAAAAAAATGGAAAAGATAAGTGTGTCTTTTAGTCGAGAGTCACATGAGTCACTTTTTGTTTTCTTCTCACATGTTGACTTGTTTTTAAAAGGAAAAAGTGAAATTTGAGTTTTGATTGTTTATTCATTTTAATTCGGTGATATTATTATTTTAATTTCTACCAAAATGGTTAAACTTGATGCTAACATGTTGAAGTATTTAGAAAGTGATGATTTTCGGGTTATCACTGCAGTGGAAATGGGAATGAAAAATCATCAACTGGTTCCTGGATCATTGGTTAGTTCAATTGCTGGTCTACGTGGTGGTGGAACATCTAAAATTTTGAACAATTTAACACGAAATAAATTGTTAGTCTATGAAAGAGGTAAAAAATATGATGGATATCGATTAACTTTCCATGGTTATGATTATCTTGCTCTAAATGTTTTGTCTCGACGTGGAGTTGTCAGTCATCTTGGTAATCAAATAGGTAAATTATTCTTAATGTTACTTTTTATTTCTTCTTCTCCTTGTTATTTGAAGCTTTAAATGATTATATATATTTTCTTCTTGTTTGTTTACTTAGGTGTAGGAAAAGAATCTGATGTTTATATTGCTGCTAATGAAGAAGGAGAAAGATTTGCAATGAAACTCCACAGACTTGGTCGTACATCTTTCAGGAGAGTTCATGATAAAAGAGATTACCATCAACATGGTAAAGTCAACAATTGGATTTACATGTCCAGACTTTCAGCTGCCAGAGAATTTTCATTTCTCAAGGCTCTCCATGAAAGAGGATTCCCAGTTCCCAAGCCGATTGATATTAATCGACATTGTATTGTCATGGAGCTTATTAATGGAACTTTGTTGAATCATGTGGCCGAGCTTGAAGACAAAGCTACTCTTTATGACAGCCTAATGAATTTGTTGCTTTCTCTTGCTAATGATTATGGTGTTGTTCATGGTGATTTCAATGAATTTAATATCATGATTGACAATGAAAACTTAAAACCTATTCTTATTGACTTTCCACAAATGATTAGTACTAATCATAAAATGGCAAGGGGATATTTCCAACGAGATGTTGAATGTGTTGTTAACATTTTCAAGAGAAAATACCATTTTGAAAGTGTAGATATTCCAAATTTTGATCGTGATGTGATCATCGATGAAAAAGAAGAAGGAATAATTAGCAAATTGTCAACAGAAGCCAATGAATTTGAACCAGTTATCAACAATGATCTTAGTGATTTAGATGACAATTCCGTTTTACCAGGAACTTCAAAATCAACTTCTAATGAAGAGAATCCACTTAATGAAGGAGTTAATCCCCATGATTCATATGAAAGTGAAATGACCGTTAAAATTATTGATGAGAATAATTTAATTGTTTCTGATAGAAACAGTCATCATAATTTAAGTTCTGATGATGATAGTTGTAGAAACTCTGAGATAACATCTATTGCTGGTTCAAGAGCTGGAACTTATTCAGTCGCTGGAAGTACTTTTACCACCGAGGAAATCAAAACTAAGTTGAAGAAAGAGTTCGCAAGTCGTTCAAGGCGAGAGGAATTAAAGAAAGCGTCCAAAAGTATCAAGGGAGAGGATTCAGCAGTTCGAAGACAAAGACGTGATAATGATGCAAGAATCAGGGATGACAAAGCTTTTAGTAATTCTGATTGGTTTGTTAATTAAAATGCTATTTGATTGTTTATCAAACTCTCGATTGGGTAAATGATTTTTTTACTTCACGTTTCAATCAACTTGTAACAATAGCTGATAAAGAAAGAATCAGTTGAAAACAATTTGATACAGTAGACGGCGAAAAGTTAATTTAAGTTGAAAGTCCAATAATAAAATGTAACAAATTATTATTATATTAATCAGTATAAATAATGAAAGTTAATTTCAAGTTAACTGGATAAAGTTTTATACCGAGTTGCTAACCTTTAGTAACCACCCGATATCAGTATTGATTATTGTTATTATAGATTATCAAGTTGAATGTTTTTTTATTGGTCTTTTATGTTGAGATTTTAACTGATTTACTCAAGTAATAACAAGTAATTCCTTAGATACATTGTTGTTATTTGGTGTCTAAACAAGATAATATATGAATTATCTAAATCAAGTGGAATAGTTTATAAACCATAGTAAAATTACAAGGAAATCTGTTGAACTGGAGGAGAAAAAAAATTGAATAAGAAAATCACTTGTCAAAATTGTCTAACCAATAAAGAGAGAGGCGAATGATAAAGGAGGCATTCCTTCATCGGTTCCTTGATTAAATCCAAAGTAAAGTACCAAAGGTAAGAATCCATATTGGAAACAAAATAAAAGTTACAATTGAGTATCTTAGCTGAGATTAGATGTAAATTTAGATAATCAAATTATTGTTGATAAAATGGCCAAGAAACGATGAAAAGGTAAGCACTTATTTCAACTTCCTTTTCTGTCTGAAATCAACCAAACACCCTTTAGTTTACTTTCGATTTGAGTAAACAATCATTTGCGAGAAATACACCCTCAGCTATCTGGAATTTGAAATTATCGTGGATCATCTCGGCGATATATTACAACAGCTCATCAATTGTTCATCCTTTTGTCAGTATGTAAAATAATTTTCTTTATTATTAAAAAAATTCGATTTTCAAAGTACTCTAGGTAGTCAGATTGTATTAGCTAAAGATTTGAAAACGGTCTCATTGTTAGGTTTGAACATTAAACAAGAAACTTTCATTTTACACAATTTTATTAACAAATTTCTTGACTAATTTTATGTTAATTAAGTCATATTGAATTGGTTAACATTGGGTAAAAATCGAGATCATTGAATGCAATGGATAGAAAGCACTAATTTTTGCGAAACTCTAATTTTTTGCCATTGATTCCAACTGTTATCTTCCTAGTTAACACGATTAGTTAATTGTCATGAAGTGGTGTATTATCTTAACTTTATTTGTGATAAGCTCATGCAATGTTAACAATGAATTGAATTTTCTATTTAAGGTAAGATTCATCATTTAAACCACAACGCCCTTTAGTTTGTGCTTAAACCTTGGTAGTTTTTTACCTGAGCGAACAGTAGCTTCAAAGTTTTCTCTCTGTCAATTCACCAATTGAATTGAAATGATTTGTTTTCTAGTAAATTTTATATTTTTCTCAAACTTTTACATAATCCAAGTATCTAGTGGTAAGTTTTAACGATTTATTCATTATCTCACTTTATCTTTGAATAAATATCAACCTTTCATTGTTTTAGAGTCTCTTCATGATCTTCCTTGGTCAGTTGATAAAGGAAATTGGATAATAGTTGCAAAGTTAATCTCGGTAAGTGGATCTTCATTTCCTTGTTTAATTGTTTGATTAATCGAATATTTAATTAAGTCAAATGATGAAGTTTACGATATTCGAGAGTACGTTCACTCAAATGAAATTGTTCGTGGTAGAATTACAATATCATCAGGAGATGATAAGTTGGATATTTTTTATTCCAGTGAATTTGAAAACGATAGATTAGTTATTCATGGTGAGTATTGTTAAAGCTATTTAGTGACTTTATATTCTTGCTGATTATTATTTTTACGTATTACCAGACCAACAATGTAATATATTTACTTTCAAAAACAAATGGAATTATAATTTATTCAACATCGATTCGAAAAAACCTCTTCTTAATCATCTACTGATGACGGGACCTTCGATTCTGTTCAGGATCAATGGAAAGAGATTTAATTGGGTAAATAGGACAACAATTTAATTTTCTTTTCTTGTACTCAAATATCATTTAAATCGTGTTATAATAATTGAATAGAGACAAGGAGGAGATACGAGTATAAGAGGATTCCCAGTCCATTCTGCAAATACAGCTTTCGATAAAAATCTTGATATTGTTTACTATTACAAAGGTAAGTTGATGGTCCGAGAATAGTTTGATTTGCCTTTCGCGTAATTACTTGTTAACTTTAGTTCATTACCAATTCTCTAAAAAGCACATTTAGATTCTCCCGGAATATTACAAGCGAGTCGATTACAGTTCGAGGGTATGGACTCATCTCTTCAGCTTGTAACTTTCAGGGAAAATGTTAACTTGGATATTTATTCAATTACTAAAACACAGGAAGAGCTTGATAAAGTTGTTACGGTAAGGAGAATACAAAACATTTCTATCGGTTAATGTAAGAATTTTTCACCTTCAGGTTACACCAGGAATCGGTTGTCCTTTGCACCTCATAACATCAAAATCTCATGATTGGTGTGAACCGCCACGATTCTCAAAATCCAGTTATCATTTCGTTGCAAGAACTACTGTTGATGGCCCAAAAATATCAATGACTCTAAGTGAGGTAAAATAAAATTTTTGATACTTTTTCAAGAATTCACTAAAAAAGAGTGTTACGGTTTGCACGATTCAAAGCGTAATTATGTATATTTTTCTTATAAAGTGAAAAATTCTATTTCTTAGATGTTCGTTAACAGTGAAGATCTAACCACAAGTTTGAAAACAATAGAACAAGGGATTGTAACAGAATCTCTGTACGATTATAATTTGGGAACTGTACATGAATATCTGAGTAAAGGTCGTTGTTTGAACTCTGCTGTTGGTCCGAATAGTCCAGGAATAAGTATTTACGGAACATTTACTCCATATGATTTTCTCAATTATAAAAATACAAATAAATACTCATACCTTGGTAAAGTTTTCATCGTAAGATTAAAGTGTCGAGAATTTTTTATCACTTTTAACATTTACAACTTTCTTTTCATGAAATGAAACAAAGAGATCAAAGTACGAAGCTCATGTTTGGGAGAGGGTTGATTACGATTACACATTCGAAGGAAAAAAATATGATAAATTTGTAACCAGCCATTATTTTGTGAAATCAGTAAGTAAACATGCAAATCGTTCATTTCATGATTAAAAGTTCTTATGTATTTCTTTTTCGATCTCTACTCTTGATAATCAGACTGATGCCAAATTATTCAAAGGGTTTATTCTCGTTAGAACTACAACTAACAATCATAAAAAAATGAACAACGTACGTAAAAAAATCAAAATAAATCTACTGGATGTTAATATTTTTGCTAAACATGCAGAATACTTTTAAATTACTTGAAACAAGAACAAAAGATTATTATGGATTAGAGGAAGCAGAATCAGGCCGTGATTATGAAGCTGAACTGTCCTTAAGATTCAGTGACTGTTATCCTGATTCAGGTGATAGAAAAACTTTGGCCATTTATTTCAAATGTGAAAAGGACGATGGTTATGACTTAGACTGTATAAAGTTTGCAGAAAATCGTTATAACAGATTTATCGAAAAAGTCAAGGATACTTTGGCGCAACAGGGTATTTCTCCCGGAAGAATAGCTAATATCGAACTCGTTTTCGACGATCGAAACATCATTGCCTTGGTGACCTTTTTAAAAATTCCAAATATTGAAGGTGAGGTTAAACTGGTACTTGGATAAGTATCGAAGATGGAAATAATTTTGACTCTTTGACTTGTGTCAACAGATAGTTTACAAAAAGAAAGTATGAAATTGTCTCAAAAGACGATTTCAAGCTTAGAACGAGTTTCTGCAGAATCAGTTAGCGATTGTCTTTACAAACAGGTTGGAATCTATTATGATCAAGAGTGAGTATTAATACAAGGTGTCAAAGTGGGTAGGTCAAAATTGAAATGAGGATAACTTTTGTCACATTGATGGTATCTTGATGAAATTTTTTTTAATATTGAGAATTTTAATTGAAATTAATGATAAATGTGTTCGAAATGACCACCTTCTTTGGCGATCACCGCAGTGAGTCTGTTCTCAAAACTTGACATAACTTTTCGTAATGTTTCTTTTGAAATTTGATTAATTTCGTTTTTCACTGAACTTTCTAGTTCAACTAGTGTCTTAGGTGAGGATCTGAATACCCTTTCTTTTAAATATCCCCATAAGAAAAAATCGCAGGGGTTTAGATCGGGCGAGTATGGAGGCCACTCTAACTCATTATCAATGGCATCAGGGTAGTCCAAACCAATAACCCTCTTATCAAAATACTCGCTGAGTAATCTGAATACATCTGCAGTACGATGAGGGCGCGCTCCATCCTGCATGAACCAATAATCTTCCAAAAAACCATGGGCTTGAATGAAAGGGATGAATTCCTCCTGCAGAACACCTTTATATCGTTCAGAATTCATAGTACCATGGATAAAATATGGTCCGAATATCCCCTCAGCTGAGATAGCGCACCAAACGAGCACTTTCTTTGGGTGAAGATTGCGTTTGATAAAGCTGTTAGGCTTTTCTTTACCCCAATGACGAAAGTTTTGCGTGTTACACCCCCCTTCTAGTGTAAACCACGCCTCGTCACTAAACCATATCTTGTTGGGAGATATTGCGTCATCATGGAACTTTTCTAGCATGTTCTGGGCAAATTGAAACCTTATTTCCTCATGGTCTTCGTTGAAGTCCTGTAGGGCTTGGATCTTGTAGGCGGATAGCTTGAGGTCTTTCATGATGTTAAAAAGAGTTCCTCTATTGATACCAAGCCTTTGGGCAGCTCTACGGACACTTTCATTGGGTTCTTGAAGGAAAAACTCTTCAACTAATTCTCTATTAGTTTCTGTCGAAACTGTCGCTACCTTTGTTTTCATGGAGTCGACATCATCATGGACTGACCCTGTTCTCATCCATTTTTCCCAACAACTTAAAAAAATAGAGAAAAAATGAACATTTAGGAAAAAATCACAAAAAAAGCTAAATTTCACTTACTTTTGAACAGTTTTTTCCAATGGCACTGAAGTGGGTTTAAATTCTTTTTTATAGTCCCTTATAACCGCTTTGACATTTAATTCACGAATATTCATCCTATTAACCCAAAAAATTCGTTCTTGAATGTTATATTTCGACATTTTATCAAAAAAAAAAATTTTTTCAAAAACAATAATAAACAACTTTTCAATTCATAAGACATCTATTGATGTGAAAATCAGCGCCCTCTGGTGTCTGTGGCAAAAGTTATGGACGCGCGAAGTTTAACCTACCCATTTTGACACCTTGTAGTAACTTATTGAATTATTACTAATTAATCTAACTAAATGAAGGGCGATTGTATTCTGCAATTTTCAAGTCAAAGCTTCAATCATTTGTGGTCGGCTTCAATCTAAAGAGGCGATTGTCAATGATGACGGTGGTATAAATTGCGATGTATATTATCCAATCAATAGTTATACTCGATTTAAGAAGGAAGTTCATCTTGATAAACTGGAAAGTTATATTCAGAATAACGCAATACACCTCTATTTGAAAGATGATGGTGTTACTTTTTACGAATCTACAAAAGTCATTGATGTAACTAATGAGTTAAATCAAAACAGAGACTCCTTCGTATTGGTTGCCACTAATAAGAAATTACTTGATTCCAATGGTGATGTTTTATTAGCGAAAGATGTTTCCAATCTTGCTGATTGTTATCGTACTTGTTTTCATGATGATGTCAATCTTTGTGAGACTTTCGTCTATTGTCAATATTCAGATAAATCGTCTTGTTACACATCAAATATAATCTATGCTAATTCATCTTCACAATCGACAGAAGATGAATCTTGTAAAATCTATTCAAAGAATCGACTATTGGATTATATCAAAATATCTTCGAGAGAATTTAAACAATCGACTAACATCGCTATTGATGTTCCACTCGATAATTGTGCTTCAATGTGTAGTTCATCTGATGAGTGTTTCTCATTCCAACAATGTGGTGGCTCTTGTACTTTAAGTGGGTATTATACTGATTCGAGAACACAGGAAAGTCGTTTTTGTAATATTTATATTCGTGAGTGTTATTGTTTTATAAAGAGAAATTGAACAAAATAATTAATCCATCTCTTTATTATTTCAGCCAAAGTCTCTCAACATTTTAAATCAACTGGACGAAAGATCATCTCTCAAGTTTTTCACACTGAGGTTAATTTAAATTTGGATCAATGTGCTGCTCTTTGCCATAGCTGGAAAAATACTGGTGAACCTTGTAAATCGTTAAATTATTGTCCTCGTAACGACGAAATAAGTTCATGTAGTTTATCTGCATATACAATTAATGATAAATCAGCTAATTTGATTGATTCAGGAGTTTGTAAGAATTATGAATATAAAAATCTCCAAGCAAACGATGGAAATGATAATGGAAGTGATCAAGTTACCGTGGGAGGAACAAGTGGAGGAGCGGCATTCGGTATAATCATGTTGTTCATTACCGTTGGACTTTTGCTTGGATTTATTATTCCAATGCTCATCAATGGAAAACTAAAGGAAACTATCACTGGAAAGTTTGTTTCAACATCTTCATCTCAACGAGAAATCAATTCATTTGAATGGATGAGACAAATTAATCAAATCGACAATATTTAGTCATATCAATTTTTATTTATGAAACTAATTGTAAATACGATTTACAATCAGGTTTGAGATGAAGGTTTGAAGACAAAAGTCTGTCATAGTGAAACGAACGGAGCTTTCAATAGTAGATATACAATTTTTTAGTTGCAGAAAGAGGTCATAAATCGTGCAAGGTGAGAAAAATTGAGAAAAGGCTCCAAAGAAAAATTAAAATCCTTTTTAATTGTTTGTCAAACACTGGATTGGGTAAATTTTTTTTTCACTTTGCCTTACAACGAAAGAAACGAAAACTTCAATTAGTTGAAAACAATTTAATATATGGCAATAAGTTAATCAACTTAAACCTACAAAAGTCAATTCAAGTTGAAAGTCTAATAATAATCAGAATAAATAATGAAAGTTTTTCATCAATATATTGATTGATTGTCTAAATAAAATTATGAATAAAACGATCAAAACTTTTATGAGAATGGAGCTCAATATTGAGCTTTAAGTTAAGATATAAAAATGACAATCAATCGATTAGAAAGGTGGGAGACAAAATGATCAGTTAATTAAAAGAAAAAATTTCGGCAATTTGATTAGAAAAGAAAATGATAAGAGATAAGAGATAAGAGATCAATATAATTAAGCGACTTGAACAATTGTGACATATAATTAGATTGTGTGTCAATGAATAATATCAGAAGCTGATGAGAAGAACATTAATCAACCTTTTGAGCGAAAATGTGTTGATTAAATTGTCTAATTCCATAGAAATCAAATCAATATTTGACGATGAAAAAAAGGGAATAATAAAAAAGGAAAACATGACAATTAGCTTCAATAATAGAGTCATCATCGTGGACAATCATAGACATGGTTGTGATCAACTAGCACGGAATGTTTCTGTAATTAGAAAGTAAAGAAAATTAGTAAACAGTAACAATTAGATTGATTTAATTACTTACATTATTGCCATCGACCGTAAGTTTAGAGTAAGGGGTTGGATATTCATCCACAAGTGACCCATGCATCAAGGGTTTATTTGTATTTACATCGATGTCCACAAATCGTCGGACTGTTCCCGTCGGTGGGATTGACTGGTTATAGCCCAATGTACCCGCTTGTGAGGCGAGAGAAAATTCGTAAGCAGGTTTGGTGGCTGCTTCGAGTTGAGCTTTTCGAACGAAAACAAAAGCGATCACGATAACGATAATTATAATGGCCACGGCGATTGTGATGGAAAGGACAGTGATCATGTTCCAATACGAGCCGAATGCATCTGAGGCTGGATCAAAGACTGAACCAAAGGTGAAAGCATCACGAGCTGGACGAGATGTTTTCGCTGTTACGATTGAACTTGGATCACTGGCACCGTGACTATTTGAAGCGGTCAAGTAAAATTTGTAAACCATTGATGGATTCAGGCCAGAAAGTGTGTACTCGGCAGTTTCTTTACCATCAAAGAAAAAGTCAATCGACCGCCAATGAGGTTCATCATCTTCCTTGAAATGTAAATCAAGATGATCAATCGATCCTAAAGCTCCTTGAGGTAAAGTGTATTTAAGTGTAATTGAATCAACGGTGGTTTGGGTGATATGAAGACGAGGTGAAGGTGCCACATCTCCAGCTAAAGTGGCCACAGTGATTTCCTGATAAGCGGGTCCACTTCCTGCTGAATTAAATGCTTTCACAGTGATTGAATAATCAGTCGCTTTGGTGAGTGATGTGAGTAAATATTCATGAGTGACATTGGGTCCTAGAGAGTCAACGGTTTTGAAGAAATGGGTTGACTTGTAATCATCTGCTCGCCGATAGCCAACATAATATCCCAACAATTTACCATTATGAGAATCTCTTGGTGGTGGTCTCCAAGTGATACGTATTGTTGATGGACCTCGAGGAGTAGCCACAAGATCAACTGGAGCTGATGAAGGTTCTTCTTCCCCTGTGGTAAAACTAATCACTCTCGACGGTGAACCCAAGCCAACTTCATTCACGGCCATTAGAGTTGCTTCAAACATGGTTCCCGGTTCAATATCTTTAATCAGATAGGAATTCATTGAGGCTGAAACATTAACTTCATGTAATTGCTCATTGATTCCTGGACTGGACGTTTTCCAATATCTAATGACATAACCAAGAATCGGAGTTTTACTCGATGAAGATGACAATTTACTCCAACCAACATTGACACTTCGAGACCAAGCTTGATGAACCATGAAACTTTGTGGTGATGGTGGAGGTTCAACAATAGTTACTTTAATTGTCTTCTCATCTTTACCGTATTTATTTTCTGCTTGACATTGGTAAACACCATCATCAACTGAATCAGCTGATTTGATGGTCAATATACTTTTGATACCATCAACGGTTGGTAACTCATTAATATCCAATCTTGGATTGTCAAATTTATTTTGAGTGATAGAGTTTTTAATCCAGTTCATGTTGATTGGTTTATCTCCTTCAACTTCACAATCAATTTCCAATTTATTTCCTTTCTTGACTGACACAGAACTCGAAGCAGTATTTTTGTTTTTCAATTTTGCCGGAAATCCTAAATTAAGAATGAAACAAATAGAAATTAATTTGATTAGAATCAAGAAGATTAACTTATATTAAACTGTAAGAAAAAAGAAACAGATGAAAAAGGTTATTTGAGCTTTGAGAAAGGCGCTTTCATTGTTACAATCAACCCATGTTTAGTTAATTTGTTCAATTATTTCTATGTACCAATTATATCAATTGTGACTTTTTTGGATATTGAAGGTAAAATATCATTTTCAGAGTAGCAAATGTAATTCCCTCCATCAGAAGGATTAACTGATTGGAAAAACAAAACACTGGAAGAAAGAGAAGTGGTTAATTGTTGATTATTAGCAAGTGATTTCCAAGTGACCCTTGGAATTGGATAACCAGAGGAAGAACAATTAATGGCCAAAGGTTGACCAATCGTAGCATTTATCATTGATTCTGGTTCTTTAATCCAATAAGGTGGAGCTGATAGAGTAAAGATAAATAAGAAGGGAAAGAAAATAGATTATCATTAATCACAAATTTCACGATTTCTTCACGGAATATAATCAAAATATGAACATTTCGAAAACCTTTCATAAGAAGACTCGAAGTGAAAGAATCAATTCCAAAACGATTTGATGCTACACAAGTATAATTGCCAATTTGATTTGCTTTTAAGTTCTTCAGCTCGAGAATTGAAAACATTTCATGGTTCTTGATAATAGTATCTTCCGATTGTCCAGCAATTGCTTTACCATCTTTTAGCCATTCAAATGTTATCGGTTTATCGGATGAATAAGCTGTACAAAATGTAACTATAATTGGTTGATTTAGTTGAAGATCACTTGGAAAATTGAATGGTTGAATCTTTGGTGGATCTGTGAAAGAGATAAGTGACAATATTAGAAGATGAAGAATGAAAATTCAGAAAACCAAATGAATAATAATCTCACCATTAGCTGAGACTTGGATAGCAATCGAAGTCAAAATCAGAAGAATAGATAAACACAGCGATCTATGTGAAGAAATCATCTTTGTTTATATGATTTAGATCAACCCAAGTTGACAATTAAATTACCAATTTCATTTAAATACCCAAGATAAACATTAAAAGTGACATTTAACAAAGACTTGATTGGTACAACAACATTGACCATAAGCGAATGTGCCGCTTTTTTTGAAAATTTTGCTAAAATTTGATCTAAAACTCAATTGTCAAAACTAACTGATTTCCTTTTAATCCTTTGGTAAAAGATTATCTGTTAACTTGACAATTAGTTTAATAATCTTACCGAGAATTTCAATTTTAAATGAATTAGAAATAGTTCCTAATTCATTTGAGGCTTTACACTCGTAAAAACCTTCATCATCTTTTTTCACTTTCATCAACTCTAAAGTTGCTCCCGATCCAATTATCCTTGATTCCTGAGCTAAACACAGTAAGAACAAGAAATAAATCATCCATTAATCATCTTAAACAATTAGATGATTCCAAGAAAATCAAATGATTACATAAGGATGAATTCTTGGTCCAAATTATTCTCGGAGTTGGATAGCCTTCTGATTGACAGTTCAAAACAATATCTTGTCCGAATGTTACTTGACCCTTTGGAGGAGATAAATTTGACCAAATAGGAGGACCTTTAAAGGAAATTAAATTGATTGTTTAGTTGAGAATAAGTTAACAGAATATTGAAGAAAATTTTACCTTTGACAATTAAAGGTGAGGTGAATTTATCTTCTCCAAATAGATTACGAGCAACACAGGAATAATTTGCTGAATGTTTCACTGAAACTGATTGTATAATCAAACCAAGAGCATTAGAAATTGGCTCGAACATGATGGTTATCCCTTCATTAGCTCCTTTTTGATTATCAATCAACTGATCATTACGATACCATTTATAAGTGATCGGAGGTGAGCCAACATCGGCAACACAGTAGACAAGGGTTGATCTGCCAAGCATCGGATTATTTGGAAAATTAAAAGGACGTATTTTGGGAGCATCTGAAACGAAAGAAACAATTTAAACTTAGTGATTTGATAAACAATAAGATTGTAAAATTTGACTTACCTTGACAGTAAAGACCCGAGATTAAATAGAGATACAAAAATGACGAAGAAAAGTTAATCATGTTCAATCGAAGCTCAGTGAAAGATTCACTGATTGTACTGATTGAAAATGAACAAAACAAACCTAAAAGTTACTAATCTTGCCCAAAGAAAGTGAAAGATAGAGACAATTGACCGCGAGCTATGAAAATCGCTTTCGATGAGGCAATTGGAAGAAACTATTTCATCAAGTTGCTGGCGAAAAGGTTTCAACCAGAGAAACAGAATGAAATATTTTTGTTAAACATTGCGATTACTTAAATTGTAAAAGAAGGAACTTGATTGTGATTAAGATAAATCATTAATCTTGAATGAATAAAGAGAATCCATTCAGATTGCAGAACGAGAATAGTAAACATGTTTGAATAATCAGATTCCTTGAGAAAATGATTATGTACAAGTTAAGCGCCTCACATCAAGTCAAGTTGATTTTACTTGGTCACAATTAATTATTGACTCAATTTACCCTCGATTTCAATATTAAATTCACTGATTAGATGAGGTTCTATCCCGTTAGTTACAGTACATCCATATCTTCCCGAGTGTTGAGTTGAAGCTTTTTCAATAATCAACGAATCGCTTTCAATGATTCCATCTCCTAAATTGTCAAGTCTAAGCCATGAAGAACCTAATAAATTAATAGAAAACCAACCAATTAGAGACAATTAACATGGAATATTATGAATCAAGTTAATTACCTTTGAATATTTTCCATTCAACTTTAGGTTTAGGCCAACCTTTTCCAGAACATTTGATTAAACCATATTCACCATAACGAATCTTAATATTTTCTGGTTTATCATTCCATGAAGGTGGACCTTATGAACGGACAATTAACGAAACGTTGTAAATTTTTCATTAATAAAATCCTTTCTGTGATTAATTACAACTCACCTTCCAACTTGAGCTCAATAGAACCAAAGTCTGACCCAAATCTATTTGATATTTTACAAGTGTAGTTACCAGAATGACTCGATGATATTGAATCGATAACTAGATTGGAAATATCTTCATTGGTTCTGATTCTCATTGAATTAACTTCTTCTCTGATCTCTTTACCATCTTTAAACCAAGAGATTTGAAGAGGAAGAGTTCCCGATAATGCTTGACAAGTCAATGATGATTTGCTTCCAATCTTGGGTTTGATTGATGGTGTCAATAGACTAACTTTAGGACCTGAAACAAGCAAGAGAAATAAATTAAAATTAATATGGACACTTGGGGAAACGGTTAATTACTCACCTTCTTGACCATAAGTGCTTATAATTAGAGGGATAGAGAAACACAGGACAAGAAACATGATAGAAAAGTTAAAAAGGTCAACAACTCATTCGACTAATAACAATCAAAACAAAACCATTTGTATATGGAAAGTAAACCCAAGGGAAAGTTTAAAAACCCGAACAAAGTCAATTTTCTATTCGAAAAGCGCCATTTTTCAAATCAAGCTCAAATTCTCTCATAAGATTCACATGAGATTCACTTTACCCTCAATAGAAACTTGAAACTCATTCCAAAGATTTGGTTCAATTCCATTGGTAACTTGACAAGCGTATTTGTTGGCATGTTTGGCATTTTCTATGATTAATTCATGTTGATTGTTGACAGTTAATGATGGATCTGAAAGCTGATTAACTGATAACCAAGAAGAACCTAGAAAGAAAATGAAAAAGTACAATTAGAACTTTTTTTTCCTCGATAAACAAGAAATAATTTTTACCTTTCATTACTTTCCAGGATATTGTAGGTTTTGGATAACCAGAAGCAGAGCATTTGAAAATACCATTATCACCATAACGTATTTGGGAATTTTCTGGTTTAATTATCCAATTTGGTGGACCTAATTAGTTGATCAAGATTTATGAGTGATCATTTCTAAACCATTGGAAATTAGATCAACAATACCTTCAACTTTAAGTTCAATTGAATAAGTATCAGCTCCAAATCTATTTGACATTACACATGAATAGTTGCCTGAATGACTTGATTTAATTGAATCAATCATGAAAATAGAAACATCTTCATTTGTCCGAATTCTAGTTGATTCCATTTGATTAATTTCTTGACCATCTTTGAACCAAGAAATTTTTAAAGGTAAAGATCCAGTGAGAGCTTGACAAGTGAATGATGATTTACCTCCAATCAGTGGTTTAATCAAAGGAGCAAATGGATTCACTTTTGGACCTAAACAATGAATAAAAGATAAATGGACAATTAAAGATTCGAATTCAACTAAACACTCGAATACTCACTTTCTTGTTGATAGCTACTTTTAACAAAAAGGAAAATTAGAATTAACCTCAACATAATCGTGATAGTTTATCAAAACTAAATCAACTCAATCACTATTCGGACAAAATATTATATCAATATCTCAATGATGATAATAATGATCCTAGAAAAACCCGAAAATATTGTCAAATTGTAAACGAAAGCGCCAATTTTCAAGCAGAAAACCTGAAAACAATTTATACACATTTACCATCAATGGAAACTTCAAATTCAATCCATAGATTAGGTTCAATTCCGTTGGTAACAACACATCCATATCTACCCGAATGCTTTGGATTAGCTTTTGTGATAATCAACTCATTAGAATCAATTTTGAATGAATCATCAAAAGAGTCAATCTTTTCCCATGTTGATTCTGTAAAACAAGAATAAAAAAGATAACAAACAATTAAAATCCGAAGAAAATTCTTACACAAAGAATGAGTTTACCTTTGAATCTTTTCCATTCAATACTCGGCTTAGGATAACCATAAGCAGAACATCTTGATGAACCATGTTCACCGAAATGAATTTTTATATTTCCAGGTTTCTCATGCCAATTAGGAGATCCTATTTAATCATAATCACGAATAAAAATAATTATAATCAATAGGTAAATAGAAAGAAAAACAAAAATTCATCACCTTCAACCTTAAGCTCAATGGAACCAAAATCTGATCCAAATCTATTTGAGATCTTACAAGTGAAGTTTCCTGAATGACTCGATTTAATTGAATCAATCATGAAAACAGAAACATCTTCATTTGTCCGAATTCTTGTCGATTCCATTTGATTAATTTCTTGACCATCTTTGAACCAAGAGATATGAACAGGCAATGAACCAGCCATTGCTTGACAAGTGAATGAGGTCTTACTCCCAATCTCTGGTTTGATTTGTGGAGCAAAAAGGTTCACCTTTGGGACTAAAAAACGGAAAAACAAAACAATTAGCAGAATAATCAATAGTTACAAGCACTTTTACTCACCTTCTTGTCCATAACTAGACACAATTAAGAAAAAAATTACGAAAACAATCAATCTAAACATAGTAGACGCGAATGAAATTGTCACATTCAAGATCCAAAATAAGTTCTTGACAATTTGATAACAAAGTGATATTTTAGTTTCCTTTTAAATCTTTCAACAAATAACCTTAAAGCGCCATTTTTCAAGTAGATGAAAGAAAGAATCACATTACCATCAATGATGATTTCGAACTCAATCCAAAGATCGGGTTTGATATCGTTCTTAGCTGAACAACCGTAGATTCCAGCGTGGGAACGTTTTGCTGAATGGAAAATCAGCTCATTGGGGAGAGTTTGAATTCCGAATGATTTATCATCAATATAAATCCAATTGTTATCTGTTAAAGAAAGAAAATATCATTAGACATTAAAGAGATTATCAAGAGAGGAGAACAAACCTTTTTTCATTTTCCATTGGATATTAGGTTTTGGATAACCATTAGCTGAACATTTGACAGAAATTTTCTCTCCTAGAATTGATTTGATCACATTTTCTGGTTTCTCTATCCATTGTGGTGGACCTGAATTAAGAAAATTAATAAATCATTAAGTCAATGAATATCGAATTGATCATGAAACTGTCTTACCTTCAACAGTAAGTTCGGAGGTGAAAGAATCTGAACCAAATCTATTTGAGATTTTACATGAATAATTCCCTGAATGACTTGATGAAATAGCTGAGATACTCAACATCGATGATTCTTCATCAGTTCTTATACGAATTGTATTTGATTCTCGAATTGATTGTCCATCTTTAAACCAATTGATTGTAAATGGAGGTGATCCAGTAAGACTTTGACAAGCAAATGACGTTCTACCTCCGATTACTGGCTTGATCAATGGAGAGAATGGATTCACTTTTGGACCTAAAAAGAAACTTAAATTAGATCGAATATTTTGAATAGTATTTACTTACTTTCTTGAGCTTCATTAACAACAACATGAACCAAAACAATGAATATAAACCCGATTATTGAGAACATATTGACTGATTCGAGTTGATTACTCAATTTAAAGGTAATTCGTCTTTTCTTATGACTCTTTGTGTTTACCAAATAGAAATGGACAAACCAGTAAAATGTTTGTTTTCTAGAAAAGCGCATTTTTCAAGCTAAACTAAACCTTCACCAATGTAAATTAGTTTACCATCAATTGTGACATCAAATTCTGAAGTTAAATCAGGTTTGATTCCATTGGAAACGACACAACGATATTTTCCTCCATCTTCACGGGTAACCGAGACAATCGATAGATTATTACCAGAAAAACTAATCCTTGATGAATGTAAGAAATTGTCTTCAATCGGAATCCAAGAGAAACCTAATTAAAAAGAGTTGAGAAAAAAATTAGAATCAATATTCAAAGTCAATCATTTCATCTTTCAATTACTTTGTTGTTTCTCCCATGATATTTTTGGAACTGGATAAGCTGAAGCAAGACATTGAACCTTAATTGTTCCTCCAAAATTAGATTTAATGTCCATAGGTTTCTCGATCCAATTAGGTGAACCTAAAATTATATTAAATCATTAAAAAAAATGGAAGCACAAGTCAATCATTTTGTTTACCTTCAACCAATAATTGGGATGTATAAGAGTCACTGCCATAACTGTTTGATATTGAACAAGTGTAGTTTCCCGAGTGACTTGATTTAATTGAATCGATGATTAAGGTTGACAAATCTTCATTAGTTCGTATCTTGATTGTTGAATCTTGGTTAATTTGTTTTCCATCTTTATACCAAATCATTTGAAATGGTGCAGATCCAAAGAGACTTTGACAAGTGAATGATGTTTTTCCTCCGATCACTGGTTTGATAAATGGACTGAATGGATTCACTTTCGGACCTAAAGATGAAAAAATATATTAATTAACTGTTCCAAATTATGAATTAACTTACTTTCTTGACCAAAACACGAAGAGATAATGAATAAAATCAAGATGTGATCAAGGTGAATCATGATGAGCTACAAAAACCTAAACAGATTGACCAATAATAATAATGAACAAATTGCGAAAATCCCAAGGAAATGATCAGATTTTTATCCTCAGAAACATGAAAGAGATCAGAGAAACAGTAAAAGCGCCAAGTTTCAAGCAAATAAAACCTTTTCCATTAAAACTCTCAATCAAATGTTACCCTCGATTGTTATCTCGAACTCTGACCAAAGGTCAGGCTTAATCCCATTGGAAATGGTGCAACTGTATTTGCCATTATGTTCACGAGTTGCATTACGAATGATCAGTGTTTGCTGATTGTAACCTTCGATTTTTTCAACAATTATATTTGCATCAATTGGGTTGATCCATAATGAGTCTACAAGGAAGTCAGAATAAAATTAAATTAGAAATTCAAGTTTAGTTGTACGAGAAAAAAAAATTACCTTTGAACCTTTTCCAGGATACATTAGGCTTTGGATAACCTGATGCACTGCATTGAACTGTCATGGAATCACCATAATTAACTTTAATCGTGTCTTTCGGCTGAGATATCCAATTAGGAGAGCCTAATTTCAAAATACAAAATAAATCAATATGGTTAATAGAAAGGAAACAATTTCTAGTTAATAATAAGCTTACCTTCAACTAGAAGCTCTGATGTAAAAGCATCTGAACCAAATCTATTTGATATTTTACAAGTATAGTTACCAGAATGACTTGATTTAATTGAATCAATTGTTAACATTGATGAATCTTCATTGGTTCTAATTCGAGTAGATGATGAATCAGTTAATTGTATTCCATTTTTATACCAAGAAATTGAAAGAGGTGGTGATCCAAATAGACTTTGACAGGCAAATGATGTTTTACCTCCGATCATTGGTTTTATCATTGGTGCAAATGGATTCACTTTTGGACCTGAGAAAATATCATCGACTATCAGTTCTGTCCCTCAATATCAGATATACTTACTTTCTTGTCCATAACAATAGCTTATTGTACTTAAAGAGGTGATAAAGATTAAAAGTAACATCGTAATGATTGAACACAAAGTTTAAAATACAAAAAGGTAAACCTTTCAGACTCAACCCAAAATCTAATTCTTTGGGTCAATCTTTGGGTTGTAAGTTGAAAATGAAAGCGCTTTTTTCAATCTATCAAATGATATAAATACTATGAGAATTTACCATCAATAGTAACTTGAAATTCTGTCCAAAGATCAGGTTGAATTCCATTGGAAATCGAGCATCCATATCTTCCTCCATTATCTCGGGTAACATTACGAAGTATTAATTTTTCATTATTCGACCCAATTGTCTCCATATTAGAATAGTAATCATTAATTTGGTTCCAAGTTTCTGTAAAATAAAATGAAATAATGATGAGAAATGAATCAGAGCAATTGAACTGAATCTAACCTTTCATACGTTTCCAGTTCACTTTAGGCTTTGGATAACCAGAAGCAATACAATCAATTGTAATTGTATCTCCAAATTGTTTTTTCATATCATTTGGTTTCTTAATCCAGTTTGGTGGACCTATTGATCAATCAAATAATATGAATTAAAATATGATCCATAATGATCTTTAGTCCAACAATACCTTCGATGATCAATTCAGTTGAGTAAAGATCAGCTCCATATCTATTTGATATCTGACAAGTATAATTTCCTGAGTGACTTGATTTAATTGAATCAATAATCAGTGTGGACACTTCTTCATTGGTTCGTAATTTAATTGATGGTAGTAAATCTTGAGCTAATTGCTTTCCATCTTTAAACCAAGTGATTTGAAGAGGTGGTGAACCTGATAGACTTTGACAAGTGAATGATGTTTTTCCTCCGATCACTGGTTTGACCAAAGATGAGAAGGGAACAATTTTTGGACCTGAGAAAAGTGGAAACAAACAATTAGAATTCAAATGAACCAAAATCTATTGTACTTACTTTCTTGGCCATTCAATGTACCGAAATTAATCGCGATTAAACTGAACAATAAACAAATCATCTCGTAATGAAAATCTGGATCTCGTAAAGATTGCTCTTTGTTAGGAAAATTACATCAAGTTGCACATCTCTCTGTAAAAGAAGGTTAATTTTTTCTTCTCGAAACTAAACATGGTGACTAGAAAGCGCTTTTTTCAATCTATCAAATGATATAAATACTATGAGAATTTACCATCAATAGTAACTTGAAATTCTGTCCAAAGATCAGGTTGAATTCCATTGGAAATCGAGCATCCATATCTTCCTCCATTATCTCGGGTAACATTACGAAGTATTAATTTTTCATTATTCGATCCAATTGTCTCCATATTAGAATAATAATCTTCGATTTGATTCCAATTAGATGCTGGCCCTGGTTAAATGAAGGATTAGTTATGATAAATGTTGACGAAAATCATAAAAATACCTTTCATCTTTTTCCATGTAGTTTTAGGTTTAGGATAACCTGAAGCACGACATTCAATTGAAATTGTTTCGCCAAATTGTTGTTTAATGTCTGATGGTTTTGAGAGCCAATTTGGAGGACCTAATTAAGTGTAAGAAAATCAAGTTAATCATGACAATCAATGAGAAAAAATCTAACCAATTTTACCTTCAATGAGTAGCTCTGTTGTATAAGAATCAGATCCATATCGATTTGATATTTTACATGTATAATTGCCCGATGAACTTGATGTAATTGAATCAACAATTAATGCTGACAAAGCTTCCATACTTTGAATACGAATTGATTTACTTGGTGAATCAGTTAATTGTACATCATCTTTATACCAGATTATTGTCAATGGTGGAGACCCAAATAAGCTTTGACAGGTTAATGATGTTTTACCTCCAATCATTGGTTTAATTGGAGCTGAAAATGGAACCACTTTTGGGCCTGGCAAAAAAGATAATTATAACAATCAGAGTGCTGATTAACTACTAATTATACTTACTTTCTTGTCCAAATGCTGAAAGAAAAAGAAATGCTAAACCAAGTAATCTGAATATCATTTTAAATGTTTTCACTTCACAGTCACAATTGATATTTGGTTATTTCTTTACGAAAGGTTATCAATATTAACCAATAACAAAGAAAAATGTTAATTTTTGGGTTTAACTAAACATGGAAGCGCCAGTTTTGTAAGTAATTGAGAAAACTATGTTACCAATAACCGAAATTTCAAATTCTGTCCAAAGAGATGGTTCAATTCCATTGGTAACTGTACATCCATACTTTGATTCGTGATTTTTGTTCACCTTTGAAATGATTATCTCTTCATCTAATATTTTCATGTTATTATCCATGTGATTGTCTAATATAATCCATGATGAATCTGGGAAAATAAAAGGAAATGCAATTAGAATTTAAATTGTCCAAGAAACGATATCAATATCGAACCTTTGAAAACTTTCCAAATGGTTTGAGCTTTTGGTGAACTCTTTCCGGAACATCTTATGTTTAAATGATCATTTAGGTTCATTTTATAAAATGAATCGGGTTTAATTGTCCATTGAGGTGAACCTAATCATATTTGATTGAGAAAAAATTATTTTCAATATTAGATTGGTAACAATTTACAAGAAAGAAATCGCTAGATTTGTATTACCTTCAATTGCTACTTGGATTGTAGATGAATCTTTACCAAATCCATTTGTTACAACACAAGAGTAATTACCATTGTCATTGGTTGATAAAATTGGATCAATCATTAAGATTGAACTGGTTGATAAATTTTCAATTCGAATTGTTGATTGTGAATCAATTGGTGAACCATTTTTGTACCAATTAAATCGTAAAGGTTTAGATCCACTTTCAATTGTACACATAAATGTAGCAGCACCGCCGTCTTTAGGCTTAGAGTTTGATGTTATTGGTCCAATTTTAGGAGCTTGATGTTGATATATTTTGGACAATTAATTTTATTGCATTCAAATACACACTTACGGGTTAACCATACTTACCATTTTGAGCATTTGTAGTGTTTGAAATGCTAAATAAAAGGAAACAGTTCAATACAAATCGCGAAACTTTCATGGTTGCTAACTGAGTAGACAATTGAATATAAATCTCAGTACTGGTTCGAAGTATAAATTAACTTGATTGTAACATGAAAACGCTCTGCTCAAGCCCGAATTTAGATGAAATAAACCGCGATCTCTGAAAAATTATCAGAGATCAAATAGATTCCTTTATATCTTACCAATAATACCAATAGTAAATTCATTCCAAAGGTTTGGCTCGAATCCATTTGATACGGCACAACCGTATTTTCCTTCATGGGCTTTATTAACGTTGCGAATATTTATTTCCTCGTCTGTAGTTTTCTCAATTATATCGTCATTATCCAATAGTGTCCAATGAGAACCTGAAACAATAATCGAAAGTGTATCAGCCATTGATGATCTTTTGTTTTCTATCTTGAGTAACTTTCTAACCTTCAAATTTTTTCCAAATGATTTTGGGTTTTGGATGACCAGAGGCAGAACATCTCAAGATTACATGGTCTTTATGGTTAAATTTCACGTCTTGTTGCTTAAATATCCATGAAGGAGGGCCTAGAGATGCAAATTAAATCTTGATTATTAGAATTTCAATGTACTAATTAACAAACTTACCATCAACAGTCAATGTTATAGCTAATGAATCGCTACCAAATAAGTTGGTAACTCGACAACTATAGTTACCATTGAAGCTTGAAGACATTGAATCAATGGTAAGAATTGATGAATCTCGAAGTTTATCAATTCTAATAACATCAGAATTAGTAATTAATCCATCATCTTTGTACCAATTAAATTCGAATGGAGGAGATCCATTGGAAGCATAACAAACCATTGATGATTTCTCTCCGAGTTTTGGTTTAACCATTTGGGTGAGATGAGCTTTTGGAGCTAAAGAAAAACAATACAATCATTATGGGAGATTAGATTTACAATTTAGATTATTGTCTTTTCTCAACACTCACCTTCTTGATGTGATAAAACGACAAGTGAACAGGATAATAATAAGTTAATCATCAGAATCACCGACATCTTGATGATTGAAATCAATCAGGACAGTATCTCTGCTCAATGAATGGACTCTGTTTACATGTGTCAATGTTTATTCAATTGTTTACAATCAACCAATTGTAAATTACCCGCCAGGTCTAAAAAATTACAATATGCTAAATGTTGAGGTGAAAATCGAAAACCACAAAAACTTGGATAATCAATTTACTCTAATTCTTGAACAGTAGTAATGTCGATTTCCTTCCTATTGAGAAAACCTCTGATGCTGAAACACATCCTATTAATAAGATGAAACGGATGAAACCATGAATGATTGGGCAGTTGATTGTGAATTAATGATTGAATGAAAACGGTAAATCACATCTGAGGAGCAAATAGTTTTTGTATCTTATTTTATTTCTCATTGAATGAGAAAAGTGAAAGATCACAAGCTGAAACATAAGAGACACTGAAGAACATCTTGGAATATTAGTGAAGAGAGTATAATTAAGCAATTAAAACTATTATAATTAGTTAATCTACATGTTGAATTGATGATTTAACCAAGAAAATTTACTATCAAAGGTGAAACAATTAGTAAATGTTTGAGAAAAAATTGAAGAAAACAAAATTATCCAGAAAACCTCAACACGTTACACTTTCTTGAGACGAGCGCCTCTTGTGGTTAATTTGATTCTAATAATAAAACCAAAGAGCACACAGAATTTACCCCAAAGTCCTATTTTGAGGTCAGTATTATGAATCGATTATCAGATGACCTCTAGACATGTTCTTCTGATAATGATCTTCAAATTCGTAAGAAGAAATGATTAAATGAAACCTAAGTGTTGAATAATGTAACAAATTGAACCAACGAGTTATCTTGACAATCTATCAAATGGATACAATAAATGATGACAATGTAATAACTCCCTTAATTATCTCGAACCTTGAAATTATCGGGAACAATGATTACGATCATTTATCATAAAACTCATCCGTTAGTCAATTTAAAAAATCAGGTGTTTATCATCATCACTGGGGAAAAAATTCGGTTGATTGGTAAAATCTTGAGATAATTAGATTGTATCAGCATTTAATTGCTTACAAATTGGCCTCATTGTAAAGTTTGAACCGCAAACAATAAGCTCTAATCTCACTATTAATACAATTGATCAAAATCAATACATCTAAACGGTGTTGCGTGCAAAAAGTATAACATTTTTCACGACTGTAAGGTAATACAATTATTTATGATCAGTTAATTAACATAAAGCCAGAATAATACCTGAGTTTTTTCAATGGTTTAATAGTGAAGGTTCACCTCACAACGTTAATTGTGAACTATTAACATTAGCCCCTTACTCCCCGGACTTGAATCCAATAGAAAACGTTTGGGGACTAATGAAAAAGGATTTACTTAATTCAAATGAATGAGCAACAACAACGGAAGAAATGAAAACATTGATTATCAATTGGTGATCAACTAAACAGTTAAATTCTAATTTTTGTAAATTGCTATTCGATTCAATGCCTGACAGGGTTGAAGGTGTAATTAGCAACGATGGTTATCCATTAAAATACTAAATCGTAATTGATAAACATGAATTGATTATCACTGTTCCCTTGTGATACCTGCGCAAATGATATAAAATCACCGTCAAACTCATTTTCTCCGACTGTGTAATGTTGGTTCATTTGTTACATATTCAATTCAGGTTTAATTAGATAAGATATAACTAATCTAAAAAAGGGAGCCATTTCTAATAGATGACAATAACTTTTAGTGAGCCTCACGTTTAGTTAATACAAATAATTTTATTAATGATCAGTTAATTACCATAAATTTATATTATAATAAAATTTATTCTATCTCTCTCTTTAATTCCTTTAATTTAGTTATTCATTGATTTTGTAAAATGATTGTGAATTTCTTAGCCTTAATATTTCTAATAAACCTTTACATACTCCAAATATCTACTGGTGAGTTTCGACGATTAATTAAAAATAACAATCCATCTCAATTAATCAATATCCACAAACATCAACCTTTAATTGTCTTAGAGTCTCTTCATGATCTCCCTTGGACAGTCGACAAAGGTAATTGGATAATAACAGCAAAGTTGATCTCGGTAAGTGAATCTTCATTTTCTTGTTTAATAGTTGAATAGTTAATTAATTGAATGTACAATTTAGTCAAATAATGAAGTTTACGATATTCGAGAGTACGTTCATTCAAGTGAAGTTGTTCGTGGTAAAATTACAATATCTTCTGGAGATGATAAGTTGGATATTTTTTATTCCAGTGAATTTGAAAACGATAGATTAGTTATTCAAAGTGAGTATTGTTGACGGGACCTTCGATTCTGTTCAGGATCAATGGAAAAAGTTTTATCTGGGTAAATATTGGGAATATTCTCATAGCTTTATTAGAGTTTATTTGCTGTTTTGATCTAACTTTAATAGGAAAAATATGAAAGTACCACTATGAGAGGATTCCCAGTCCATTCTGCAAAGACAACGTTCAATAAAAATCTTAATATTACTTATTATTACAAAAGTGAGTTGATTATTCAAGAAAAGAAGATGATTTTAGCTTATTACCAATTCTTTCCAAAGCTTATTTAGACTTACCTGACATATTACAAGCAAGTCGATTACAGTTAAGTGGCTTGGATTCGTCGTTTGGACTTATAGCTAATAGAGAAAAGTTTTATTTGGATATTTACTCATTGGAAGAATCAGAGGAAGAGTTTGGTAAAACAGTTACAGTAAGAAGAATACAAGACATTTTTATCAAACATTTTACTATTATTAAGATAATTTATCATCTTCAGGTTACACCAGGAATCGGTTGTCCCTTGAACCTCATAACATCAGAATCTCATGACTGGCTTATGATACCAGAAATGTCAAAATCAAATTATCATTTCATTGCAAGAACTACTGTTGATGGACCCAAAAAATCAAGCACTTTGAGTGAGGTAAAGTAATATTTCTATTAGCTGAAAGATTATTACAACACTTTGTTTAGATTTAAATCATTTCGAAATTAATATTTATTAATAATTTGTTTTCTGTATATTCTAAGATGTTTGTTAACAGTAAAGATCTAACCACAAGTTTGAAAACAGTAGAACAAGGGATTTTAACAGAATCTCTTTACGATTATAACTTGGGAACTGTTTATGTCTCATTGAAAAAAGGTCGTTGTTTGGTCTCTAGTGTTGGACCAAATAGTCCAGGAATAAGTAAATATAAAACATTTGGTTCAGATGGATTCCTCAATTATGAAGAATTATCGAGATACATTTAAGTACTCATACCTTGGTAAATATTTTATCGTAAGTTTCAATATCATCCACCAACAATTCCCTACTAAAATTGAATAATTTCAACTCTTTTCATATTGAATACAAAAGAGACCAGGATACGAAACTTATGTTTGGGAAAGAACTGATTACAATTACGCATTCGAGGGAGAAAAATATGATAAATTCGTTACTAGTCATTATTTTGTTTCGTCAGTAAGTAAACATGAAAATTGTCCATTTTACGATTAACTTTTCATCCATTTTACGATTAACTTTTAACTTTCAAAATTTCGAATTATCAACAGGCTGATGCAAAGTTATTCAAAGATTTCATTCTAGTGAGAACTACGACTAACAATTATAAAAAAGTAAACAACGTAAGTAAAGAGAAACCAATTAACTAAATCAACTAACTAATAATATTTTTCTCTCAATGTTCAGGATACTTTTAAATGGATCGAAACAAAAACAAAAGATTATTATGGATTAGAAGAAGTAGAATCAGGTCGAGATTATGAGACTGAACTATCATTACGTTTCAGTGATTGTTACCAGGACTCTACCGAGAGAAAGACTTTGGCAATTTATTTCACTTGTAAAGATCAATACAATGAATTGGACTGTGTAAAGTATGCAGAAAAACATTATAATAAATTTCTCGAAAATCTCAAGGATACTTTGTTGAGTCAAAATATTTCTCCTGCAAGAATAGCCAATATTGACTTGGTTTTTGAAGGTCAAAATATCAAAGCATTAGTGACCTTTTTGAAAATCCCTAATATTGAAGGTGAGTGCAAACCGATAATTGAATATAAACTGATAAATAAAGTTCGTCGTTTCTTTTGCATCATCAGACAGTTTACAAAAAGAGAGAATGAAATTGTCTCAGGAAGCTCTTTCAAGCTTAGATCGGATTCCTGCAGAATCGGCTGGAGATTGTCTTTACAAACAAGTTGAATTCTATTATGACCAAGAGTAAGTATTCATAGAGAAACTATTATATGAATTTTTCTAATAACAATGTAACTGTTTCAAAGGGCGATTGTGTTTTGCTATGCTGATTACACAAGGCCAAGCATTTGTGGTAGGATTCAATCTTCAGAGAAAATCGTCAAAATGGATGCTGGTACAATTTGCGATGTATATTATCCAGTCAAAAGTTACTCTCAATTTAGAAACGAAATTCATCTTGATAAAATGGAAGATTATATTCGCCGTCGATCATTAGCAATCTATATGACTGATGATGGTTTCATCTATTACAAATCGACAAAAGTCGTCGATGTCACTAATGAGTTAGACAAAAACAAAGACTCTTTCATCTTGGTTGCCACTATTAATAGGAAATTGATTGATTCCAATGTTTTATTAGCCAAAGATGTTTCCAATCTTGCTGATTGTTATCGTACTTGTGCTCAAGATAATGTTACTCTTTGTGAGACTTTCGTCTATTGTCAATATCCAGATAAATTGTCTTGTTATACATCTAATGTTATCTTTGCTAATTTATACAAACGAACTACAGAAGATGAATCTTGTATAATCTACTCAAAGAATCGATTATTGGATTACATCAAAATATCTTCGAGAGAGTTTAAACAATCGTCTAGCATTGCTATTGATGCTCCAATTGGTGATTGTGCTTCAATATGCAGTTCATCTGATGAATGTTTCTCATTCCAACAATGTGGTGGTTCTTGTACTTTGAATGGCTATTATACCGATTCGATATCCCAGAAAAGTGGTGATTGTGATATTTATATTCGTGAGTATTATGGTTCATTTCAATAGTATAATAATTGCATTTCTTAATAATTACAGCGGAAGTCTCTCAACAATTCACATCAACTGGACGTAAGCTCGTCTCTGAAGTTTTTCACACTGAAGTTAACCTAAATTTAGATCAATGTGCTGCTCTTTGTCACAGTTGGACAAACACCAACGAACCTTGTGTATCATTCAATTATTGTTCTCAAAATGGTGAAATAAGTTCATGTAACTTATCAAAATATTCAACCAACGATAAATCAGCAAATTTAGTTGATTCAGGAGTTTGTAAGAATTATGAATACAAAAACCCAGCTAATAGAGGAAACAATTATTTGAATGATCGGGTTAGCGTCAGAGGAACAAGTGGAGGGGCTGCTTTTGGTATAATCATATTGTTCATTACCGTTGGACTTTTGCTTGGATTTATTTTCCCAATGCTTATCAATGGAAAACTAAAGGAAATTGTCACTGAAAAGTTTGTTTCATCATCTTCGTCGGAACGAGAAATCAATTCATTCCATTTTTCGAGACAAAGGGATTAAACAGAAAACAACTATCCCATTCAAATTGTATTCATGGAACTATTAATAAATTCAAATAGTACATTTGTATTCACAATCTTCCAATGCTTACAAAGTGAATGTTACACGAAATTTTTTAAATTTTCTATTAGGATCCATTTTCGAGATAAATGTATAATAAAATAATGAATAACTATTGATAACTAGAACAGGACACTTTATTATTTTTCGGCTGTAGAAAAAAATTAGCATCCGCCAATTCACAAAAATTGAGCTTAGGCCAATTAACTGACGATTCAAGACGTAATGTAGATCAATATACTTTCTATGGTGAGGAATATCACACCAACATACTTCATGTAATATTGTCGGCAAAATAAAGAAAATTCTTCACTTGAACTAAGCAATAAAATGTTCCAATAACTATTCCTAACTGCTAGATAAATAATCTGAGTGCAAATACCAACAATTGAGATGCCAAGACTCCAAGAATGGTTGAAAAAACTTCGAAAGTTCAACGTAATCGTTGTATCAGCATTATCAATATCTTTTGTAAATCCTTCCCATGGGTGTTGTATCATAAAAGCTCATTGGTGCTCGAATTCTTCTATCCAATATTTCGATATGAATCCAAACAGCTCCACTTAGGAATCCTAATGCAATGATGTGCGTTACCGCAGTTATCAATGATCCAATAAAATGCTTCTCATCGTGAACATTTCTTGTCATTTCTGCTCTTAGGGTCCAAATATTCAATCATTGTGAAAGCCTTCAATTCTGGTGATGTTCCATTCATCTCTACTTTTGATATTTGTCTCATTTGCGACAATTGGCTCTATCCTTTAGGATACTCAATTCTTTTGGTTGGATATAAAACCATAATAAAAAATCTTGATCTACATTTGAACGAAGGCGATAATGCCACTTGGCGGGAGATGGATTGCTTTGTCGAAAATAAAGAATCTGGTCAAGATGAGCTTTTGGAGCTGAAGAAAAACAATACAATCATTATGGGAGATTAGGTTTACAATTTAGATTATTGTCTTTTCTAAACACTCACCTTCTTGATGTGATAAAACGACGAGTGGACAGGATAACACTATGATATATACAGTATGACAATTTAATCTACTACAATTAGTTAATCTACATGTTGAATTGATGGTTTAACCAAGAAAAATTTAAACTAAAGATGAAACAATTAGTAAATTTTGTGAAAAAATTATCCTGAAAACTTCAACACGTTGTACTCGTATGAAGAAATGATTACATGAAACCTAAATGTTCAATAATGTAACAAATTGAACCAACGATTTATCTTGACAATCTATCAAATGGATACAATAAATGATGACAATGTAATAACACCCTTAATTATCTCGAACCTTGAAATTATCGGGATTAATAATCACGATTATATATCATAAACTCATCCGTTAGTCAATTTAAAAAATCAAGTGTTTATCATAATCACTGGGGAAAAAATTCGGTTGATTGGTAAAAGCTTGAGATAATTAGATTGTATCATCATTTAATTGTTTACAAATTGGTCTCATTGTAAAGTTTGAACCACAAACAATAAGCTTTAATCTCACTATTAATACAATTGATTAAAATCAATACATCTAAACGGTGTTGCGTGCAAAAAGTATAACTTATCGCACCTAAAATTGTGATAGGAAAATGAGAAATGTGTACAATTGAATTAAATTGTCATCTTCTTATCACAATTTTAGGTGAGATAAGTTATACTTTTTGAACGCAACATCCTGCAGCAGATTTACCTTTATTGATTAAAATTGTCTTGAAAGATTTGATTGTTTAATCAGTCATCACCTGAGGGAATTGTTAAATACCATTCGAAACTCATTTTTCACGACTGTAAGGTAACAAATTGAACTCTGAAAAAAAGTTCCATATGCATTTTCGGTTCATTTAAATTTCAAACTAAAACTTTTCTAAATATAATTTTGGTTCATTTGTTATATATTCAATTTAGGTTTAATTAGATAAGATTAAACTAATCTAAAAAAGGGAGCCATTTCTAATAGATGACAATAACTTTTAGTGAGCCTCACGTTTAGTTAATACAAATAATTTTATTAATGATCAGTTAATTACCATAAATTTATATTATAATAAAATTCATTCTATCTTTCTCTTTTCAATTCCTTTAATTTAGTTATTCATTGATTTTGTAAAATGATTGTGAATCTCTTAGCTTTAATATTTCTTTCAAACTTTTACATACTCCAAATATCTACTGGTAAGATTCGACGATTAATTAAAAATCACAATCCATCTCAATTAATCAATATCCACAAACATCAACCTTTAATTATCTTAGAGTCTCTTCATGATCTACCCTGGACAGTCGACAGAGGTAATTGGATAATAACAGCAAAGTTAATCTCGGTAAGTGAATCTTCATTTTCTTGTTGAATAGTTAATTAATTGAATATACAATTTAGTCAAATAATGAAGTTTACGATATTCGAGAGTACGTTCATTCAAGTGAAGTTGTTCGCGGTAAAATTACAATATCTTCTGGAGATGATACAATGGATATTTTTTATTCCAGTGAATTCGAAAACGATAGATTAGTTATTCAAAGTGAGTATGGTTTAAGTGATTAAGTGGATTTGTATTCTTATAATCTTTTCGTATCAACAGACCAACAGTGTAGTAAATTTACTTTTAAGAAGAAATGGGACAACATTTTATTAAATATCGATTCGAAAAATCCTCTTCTCAATCATGTACTGTTGACGGGACCTTCGATTCTGTTCAGGATCAATGGAAAAAGTTTTATCTGGGTAAATATTGGGAATATTCTCATAGCTTTATTAGAGTTTAATTGCTGTTATGGTATAACTTTAATAGGAAAAAGATGAAAGCACAATTTTGAGAGGATTCCCGGTCCATTCTGCAAAGACAACATTCAATAAAAATCTTGATATTACTTATTATTACAAAAGTGAGTTGATTATTCAAGAAAAGAAGATTTTTTTTGTTAATTGTAGCTCATCACCATTTCTCTGAAAAGCTTATTTAGACTCACCTGACATATTACAAGCAAGTCGATTACAGTTAAGTGGCTTGGATTCGTCGTTTGGACTTATAGCTAATAGAGAAAAGTTTTATTTGGATATTTACTCATTGGAAGAATCAGAGGAAGAGTTTGGTAAAACAGTTACAGTAAGAAGAATATAAGACATTTTTATCAAACATTTTACTATTATTAAGATAATTTATCATCTTCAGGTTACACCAGGAATCGGTTGTCCCTTGAACCTCATAACATCAGAATCTCATGACTGGCTTATGATACCAGAAATGTCAAAATCAAATTATCATTTCATTGCAAGAACTACTGTTGATGGACCCAAAAAATCAAGCTTTTTGAGTGAGGTAAAGTAATATTTCTATTAGTTGAAAGATTATTACAACACTTTGTTTAGATTTAAATCATTTCAAAAATATTAATAATTTGTTTTCTGTATATTCTAAGATGTTTGTTAACAGTAAAGATCTAACCACAAGTTTGAAAACAATAGAACAAGGGATTTTAACAGAATCTCTTTACGATTATAACTTGGGAACTGTTTACGTCTCATTGAAAAAAGGTCGTTGTTCGGTCTCCAGTATTGGACCAAATAGTCCAGGAATAAGTAAATATGGAACATTTACTTCGTATGGCTTCCTCAATTATCGAGATACATTTAAGTACTCATACCTTGGTAAATATTTTATCGTAAGTTTCAATATCATCCACCAACAATTCCCTACTAAAATTGAATAATTTCAACTCTTTTCATATTGAATACAAAAAGAGACCAGGATACGAAACTTATGTTTGGGAAAGAGTTGATTACAATTACGCATTCGAGGGAGAAAAATATGATAAATTCGTTACTAGTCATTATTTTGTTTCGTCAGTAAGTAAACATGAAAATTGTCCATTTTACGATTAACTTTTAACTTTCAAAATTTCGAATTATCAACAGGCTGATGCAAAGTTATTCAAAGATTTCATTCTAGTGAGAACTACGACTAACAATTATAAAAAAGTAAACAACGTAAGTGAAAAGAGACAAAACGACTAAATAAACTAACTAATAATATTTATCTTTCAATGTTCAGGATACTTTTGAATTGATCGAAACAAAAACGAAAGATTATTATGGATTAGAAGAAGTAGAATCAGGTCGAAATTATGAAACTGAGTTATCATTACGTTTCAGTGATTGTTACCAGGATTCTACCGGGAGAAAGACTTTGGCAATTTATTTCAGTTGTAAAGACAATCAATACATTGAATTAAACTGCGTAAAGTATGCAGAAAAACATTATAATAAATTTCTCGAAAATCTCAAGGATATTTTAGTGAGACAAAATATTTCTCCTGCAAGAATAGCCAATATTGACTTGGTTTTTGAAGGTCAAAATATCAAAGCATTAGTGACCTTTTTGAAAATTCCTAATATTGAAGGTGAGTCTAAACCGATAATTGAATATAAACTGTTATAAAGTTGCTCGTTTCTTTTGGTCAACAGATAGTATACAAAAAGAAAGGATGAGATTGTCTCAGGAAGCTCTTTTAAACTTAGATCGGATTACTGCAGAATCAGTTAGAGATTGTCTTCTCAAGCAAGGTGAATTCTATTATGACCAAGAGTAAGTATTCATAGAGAAACTATTATATGAATTTTTCTAATAACAATGTAACTGTTTCAAAGGGCGATTGTGTTTTGCAATGCTGATTACACAAGGCCAAGCATTTGTGGTAGGATTCAATCTGCAGAGAAAATTGTCAAAATGGATGCTGGTACAATTTGCGATGTATATTATCCAATCAATAGTTACTCTCAATTTAGAAAGGAAATTCATCTTGATAAAATGGAAGATTATATTCGCCGTCTATCATTAGCAATCTATATGACTGATGATGGTTTATCTATTACAAATCAACAAAAGTCGTCGATGTAACTAATGAGTTAGACCAAAACAGAGACTCTTTCATATTGGTTGCCACTATTAATAGGAAATTGATTGATTCCAATGTTTTATTAGCCAAAGATGTTTCCAATCTTGGTGATTGTTATCGTACTTGTGCTCATGATAATGTTACTCTTTGTGAGACTTTTGTCTATTGTCAATATCCAGATAAATTGACTTGTTATACATCAAATATAATCTATGCTAATTTATCTTTACAATCGACAGAAGATGAATCTTGTAAAATCTATTCAAAGAATCGATTATTGGATTACATCAAAATATCTTCGAGAGAATTTAAACAGTGGCCTAGCATTGATATAGATGTTCCGCTCGATAATTGTGCTTCAATGTGTAGTTCATCTGATGAATGTTTCTCATTCCAACAATGTGGTGGTTCTTGTACTTTGAGTGGATATTATACTGATTTGGAAACACAGAAAAGTTGGGACTGTGATATTTATATTCGTAAGTATTATGGTTCATTTAATAGTATAATAATTACATTTCTTAATAATTACAGCGAAAGTTTCTCAACAATTTATATCAACTGGACGGAAAATTGTTTCTCAAGTTTTTCACATTGAAATTGATCTGAATTTGGATAAATGTGCTGCTCTTTGTTACAGTTTGACAAATACTAACGAATCTTGTGTATCATTTAATTATTGTTCTCAAAATGGTGAAATAAGTTCATGTAGCTTATCAAAATATTCAGTCAACGATAAATCAGCTAATCCAATTGATTCAGGAGTTTGTAAGAATTATGAATACAAAAACTCAGCTAATAGAGGAAATAATTATTTGAGTGATCGAGTTAGCGGCGGAGGAACAAGTAGAGTAGCTGTTTTTGGTATAATCATGTTGTTCGTTACCGTTGGACTTTTGCTTGGATTTATTTTCCAATGCTCATCAATGGAAAACTAAAGGAAATTATCACTCAAAAGTTTGTTTCATCATCTTCGTCGGAACGAGAAATCAATTCATTCCATTTTTCGAGACAAATGGATTAAACAGAAAACAATTATTCGATTCAATTGTATTTATGGAACTAACTTCAAATGGTACATTTGTATTTACAATCTTCCAATGCTTACAAAGTGAATGTTACACGAAATTCGTATGAAGAAATAATTACATAAAACATAATTGTTAAGAATAATGTAACAAATTGAACCAACGAGTTATCTTGACAATCTATCATATTATCAAATGGATATAATAACTGATGACAATGTAATAACACCCTTAATTATCTCGAACCTTGAAATTATCGGGAACAATGATTACGATCATTTATCATAAAACTCATCCGTTAGTTAATTTAAAAAATCAGGTGTTTATCATCATCACTGGGGAAAAAATCGGTTGATTGGTAAAAACTTGAGATAATTAGATTGTATCAGCATTTAATTGTTTACAAATTGGTCTCATTGTGAAGTTTGAACAAACAATAAGCTTTAATCTCACGATTACTAAAAGTAAATCTTCTAAATGTGTAATCTAAATTAGTTCATCTAATCCAATCGACCGTTAATTCAAGTCAACAAGAAAATGAATGCAAACAACTTTTGCTCTTAGATTTGATTCCGTTTGATTTCCAGTTTTTTCCCTAATCATTTGATGACCTTTTATATTGATTTTGTTGGTCAACATTTAACTATTATAATTAGATAACTGCGAAAACCTCAAGTTAACTATTGGTGGCAGGTCGAGCTCTTCATTAAATTAAGTTCATTTACCTTCAGTGTGATAACATTTGATTTCTTGTTCATCTCTTTTCATCTGATTAATTATCTTTGGTTTTATTTCAGTTTTTACTTTCTGTTAATTGTTTCCTCATCAGGATCTTTGATCACTGATCAACAGGGTAATTATTTAATCAGATTTTCTTCATTTATCATCATTTCAATGAGACTTTGTTTTTATTTCTATCGATATTGTTTATTGACATTTTCATGTTATTTTCTTACATTTTGTTTCAATCATTTCCTTTTATCTTTTTCTAGACTTTGCTAAATCAACTTTCTTTTAATCAAATTTTTTCACTGTGACAATTTAATTCAATCGATCATCTAATCTTTTTCTACTTTTGGTTTTGTTTACATTCAAATGTAAGTTGACCTAAATTTTGGGACCGTGGTAAAAGGCCAAAGAAGACAAAAACACTTTTTAAATTTAATTCTTTTTACTTGTATTTAATTTTTACGATTTGAAGGTGAACTCAGGTCAGTATATGTGGTCAAATTATCGATGAGAAAAATAAAATTTTCAGTTAGAATTGGAAAAAAAATTATTCATAAATTGACGTTCAAACTTCGCGCATCAAAAATCAGAAAAATTGAATTGTCTTGAAATTTTGGTGATTATTGTTTTGTTTAAGTGTTATTATTGTCAATATTTCGCCGAAAACTCAGAATAAAAGTGTCCTGAGGCCCTTTTTTGCTTCTTTCTGTGTTTTTTCTTTTGCCACGGTCCTGAATTTTGTCTTCTGTTTGCATTTATAGTGTTAACTCATTTTTCTGGTTTTTTTTATTTTCTTTGTTTACGTTTTTTGGTCCAGTATTTTTTTCATTATGTCCTCGTTAATATTGGCTAAGTTGGTTCGAAACTGTGGTGCTTTCAATGGAGCCCGATGTTTACCTCTCACTTTGCATCCACGATCCTCATTACAACGACTTGTGGCCACTCAGGCTCAACGAATGGAGGAGAGACGAGAAGAGTTGGAAAAGGAAAAGGAAAAGGAAAAGCCTCCCGAAACCAATTCTTTCGTGACGAGTATGTTTTCTGGTCAGTTCAAAGTGAATCAAGTGTTTCCTTATCCTGATGTTTTAACGGAAGATCAATTGGAAACTCTTGCGATGATTCGTGAACCCAGTGATAAGCTTTTCTCTGAACATGATGCCTTAACCGCTGAATTGAAAGGAGCAGCGGATGAGAAAGTGATGAAAACCCTCGCCGAAATGGGCTTACTTGGGATTATGATTCCTCCTCAATATGAAGGTGCTGGTATGAATACCACTCAATACGCTGTTCTCGCTGAGATCATGGGTGCAAGTGATTTAGGTCTTGCGGTTACCTTGGGGGCTCATCAGTCAATTGGATTCAAAGGCATTTTATTGTATGGAAATGAAGCTCAAAAGAGTAAATATCTTCCCGATCTAGCGACTGGACGTAAATTGGCCGCTTTTGCTTTAACTGAACCAAGTTCGGGATCGGATGCTGGTTCTATCCAATCTCGAGCAGTTTTATCTCCCGATAAATCTCATTATATTCTTAATGGAACTAAAATTTGGATATCCAATGGTTTCGCTGATGTTTTCACCGTTTTCGCTAAAACTCCAGTAGTTACATCAAGTGGAGAGGAAAAGGAAAAAGTGACCGCTTTCATTGTTGAACGAGCTTTCGGTGGTGTTTCATCAGGGCCTCCTGAGCAAAAAATGGGAATCAAAGCCTCGCATACCTCTGACGTTTACTTTGAGAATGTTAAAATTCCCGTGGAAAATGTTCTTGGTGAAGTTGGCGAAGGTTTCAAGGTAGCAATGAATGTCTTGAATAGTGGAAGGTTTGGAATTGGAGCTTTACTCAGTGGAACAATGAAATTCTGTATCTCTAAAGCAACAGATTTCGCCAACAATCGTGTTCAATTTGGTGACAAAATTTCCACCTTCGGAACCATCCAGGAAAAAATTGCTCGAATGGCCATCGCTCATTACATAACCGAATCTATGACTTATATGGTGGCCGGTAATATGGACAAAGGATCAACTGAGTTCCAATTGGAAGCGGCAATTTCTAAAGTTTTCGCCTCGGAAGCGGCCTGGTTTGTTTGCGATGAGACAATTCAGATTCTCGGTGGAATGGGTTATATGAGGGATGCTGGAGTCGAAAAGATAATGAGAGATCTTAGAATTTTCAGAATTTTCGAAGGTACAAATGATATTCTCCGTTTGTTTGTCGCTTTAACTGGAATCCAAAGTGCTGGTTTCCATTTGAAAGAATTACAAAAAGCAATGAGAAATCCAGTTGCCAATTTGGGAATGATTTTCGATGAATCAACCAAACGAGTTTTCAGAGCCGTTGGTCTTGCTTCAGGTCCATCACTTGCTGAATTTGTCTCTCCCGAATTAGCACCTTCAGCGTCTCAAGTCTCCAAAGCCGTGACCAATTTTGGTGCCACCGTTGAACATTTACTAATCAAATATAATAAGAAAATTATCCATGAACAATTTATCCTCAACCGATTGGTCGATTCAGCGATTGACATTTACTCCATGATTGTAACACTTTCACGAGCCACTCGATCGATTCAGAAAAATTTCCCTTCAGCTCAACACGAGGTCAACATGGTCAAAGTGATTTGTAACGAAGGATCAACGCGAGTCCAAGCCAATCTTGCCGCTTGTCGAACCAGCGAGAAATTAGCTGATTTTAACAGTTTGAGAAAAATCTCTGATTCTCTATTCGTTAACAATGGTGTTTCCCATCGACATCCAATCGAACGAGATTAAGCAATTAATCTTGAAACCTTCAAACGTATTTCCATATCAATCAGCTTTGATTGTCTCTTCTTCAATATTAATTACTAACACTAATTATTTCGAACCGAGTCAAACTCTTAACCGAAAGTCGAAAACAATAACTGTTGATTTCGATAAAAAAACATTCTCATTTTTATATTATCAAATATCAAAATACATTGTATATTGTAAATTTTTGACAAGTTTAATTCATTATTGTAGTAAATTGAAAAAATGTGATTAATTTGTGGAACAAAATGAAATGTGAATTACATGTAGACATTAATTGATTCTTCGCCATTTGTAATCCTTACGAATCCGAGTCTTCTAATTGTCGCTCTAATTGTTTCTCTCCTCATTTCGGGTGTGATGGTCGAAGCGGCATCCACAATGGCTTCTATTAATTGTACCAACGAAGTGATTTTTGTTCTATATACGTGATTCCTGATGTGTCCCTACAAAAAGAAATCACAAGATGAAATGAAAGGCGAATTAGTATGATTATATTCACCGTCTATTATTACAAATCTACAAACGTCGTCGATGTAACTTATGAGTTAAATCATAACAGAGACTCTTTCATATTGGTTACTACTATTGAAAGGAAATTGATTGATTCCAATGGTGATGTTATATTGGCGAAAGATGTTTCCAATCTTGGTGATTGTTATCGTACTTGTGCTCAAGATAATGTTACTCTTTGTGAGACTTTCGTCTATTGTCAATATTCAGATAAATTGTCTTGTTATTATATCTAATGTCATCTATGCTAATTTATCTTCACAATCGACAGAAGATGAATCTTGTAAAATTTATTCAAAGAATCGATTATTGGATTAAATAAATTGTACTTCAATTTACAAGAAAGAAATTTCTAGATTTGTATTAATCTTCAATCAATTTACTCTAATCCTTGAACAGTAGTTATGTCAATTTCCTTCCTATTGAAAAAACCTCTGATGCTGAAACACATCCTATTAATAAGATGAAACGGATGAAACCATGAATGATTGGGCAGTTGATTGTGAATTAATGAAAACGGTAAATCACATGAGGAGAGAAAATATATTTTGTATCTTCTTTTATTTCTCATTGAATGAGAAAAGTGAAAGATCACAAGCTGAAACATAAGAGACAATGAGGAACATCTTAGAATATTAGTGTCGAGAATATACTTAAGAAATTAAATCTACTATAATTAGTTAATCTACATGTTGAATTGATGATTTAACCAAGAAAATTTATAATCAAAGGTGAAACAATTAGTTAATTTTTGACAAAAAATTGCAAGAAAACTTCGACACGTTACAAACACTTGACACTTGAAATGAGCGCCTCTTGTGGTTAATTTGATTCTAATAATAAAACCAAAGAGCACACAGAATTCGCCCCAAAATCCTATTTTGAGGTCAGTATTATGAATCGATTATCAGATGACCTCTAGACATGTTCTTCTGGTAATGGTCTTCAAATTCGTAAGAAGAAATGATTACATGAAACCTAAATTTTGAATAATGTAACAAATTGAACCAACGAGCTATCTTGACAATCTATCATATTATCAAATGGATACAATAAATGATGACAATGTAATAACACCCTTAACTATCTCGAACCTTGAAATTATCGGGGGTAATAATTACGATTATTTATCATCATCACTGGGTAAAAAATTCGGTTGATTGATAAAAACTTGTTTACAAATTGGTCTCATTGTAAAGTTTGAACCGCAAACAATGAGCTTTAATCTCACGATTAATAGATTACACATTTAAAAGATTTACCTTTATTGATTAGAATTGTCTTGAAAGATTTGATTG